GCCAAAGAATCTCAGCAGTTGTGTTAGCAAGAGCTCTATATTCAGCTTTTATTGAGGACTTAGCAACTGTTTTTGTTTGATTGACTTCCAAGAGATTAGATTTTTTCCAGGAAATAAGATATAACCTGAGGTGGAGGTTATGTGATCCAAGTTTCTTGCCCAATCAGCATCACGAAAGGCTGTAAGATTGAGAGATGATGTTTTGTAGGAAATTAGACCATGGTTAATAGTCCCTTTTAGGTATTTAAGAATCCTTTTGAGATTTATCCAGTGAAATGCTATTGGTGCGTGTATGTATGGTGACATCTTGTTGATTGAGAATGCGATATCTGGTCTTGTTAGAGAGAGATATTGAGGGATCCTACTAGTTGTCGAAAAGTAGTGGCATTAGCAAGCACCACTTTCTTGTTAAAGCTTGAGGTGATTACTAGAGGACGATAGTGTTGTTTCCTTGGCATTTTACATCTTAAATCTGCGAAAAAGATCTTGAATGTGCTTGTGTTGAGAGAGGAACAAACCTGATGACACAGAAATGACTTTAATTCCTGTGAAGAAATGTAGATCACCTAGGTCCTTGAGGGAGAATTTGTTAGAGAGCTGAATGACAAACCTATCAATAATGCATTAGTTGTTGCCTGTGATGATAAGATCATCCACATAAACCAAAAAATAGATGAGGTCTGAGTTCTTAGCATATACGAACAAGAAAGCATCCAAAGTAGAGCTGTAAAACCAGACTGAATGAGGAAGTTGCTCAATTCTTGATATCAACCCCATGTGGCTTGTTTCAAACCATTGATGGCTTTATGCAATTTGCAGACATGATCGGGATGGTCTTTGTTGACAAAACCAGGTGGTTGAGCCACATAGACCTCATCCATTAAATTTCTTTGCAGAAAGGCATTATTCACGTCAAGTTGTTTCAATGCCCAACCAAAGTGTAAGGTAATACATAGAACTGTGCGAATGGTCGTTGGTTTTATCACTGGACTAAATGTTTCATTAAAATCTAATCAAGGCCTTTGATGAAAATCTTTTGCCACTAATTGAGCCTTAAACTTGTTAATAGTACCATCAGCCTTTCTTTTGACTCGAAATACCCATTTATTGCCTATGACATTTTGTGATGATTTGGGTGGAACCAGTGTCCATGTACCATTAGTAACAAGTGCATTAAACACATCTACCATAGCTGCCTTCCATTTTGGTAGTTGAATCGCTTCAGTTGTAGAAGTACGGTCAAGTGAAGAGGGAAGGGTGTGTTTAGAAACAAGGTAGATTTTTTTGGGTTGTAAGATATTATTTTGTGAGCACTGAGTGGTCATTGAGTGTGTTCTAGTGGGCTGTGTGTACGTGTCTGAGTTGGTTTGCCGTGAAGGTGATGAAAGGTCTAGTGATGAAGAGGATAAGGCAGTTTGTGGACTTGTGAGTTGTTTGTTATTGGTGTGAGATTGAGAATCATTACTTGATAAGGGATCGACTGAAAGAGTTCCACTGATGAAAGGGGATGGCATAACAGTATCATTAGAACTATTAGTGGCAGGATACGGAATAGAATTAATGACTGAGTCAGAGATATATACTAGATGCTAGACAGTGTCAATAGCTGGTGATGAGGGAAGCACATTATTAACTTTCTCAAATGGAAAACCATACTCAAAAAATCTGACATGCCTAGATATGAATAATTTATCGGTAGATAAATCTATGCATTTGTAATCACTCAGATTACGTGAGTCAACTATAGGATAAAATATTGTTGCTGCTGAGTCGACCCTTAAACTGATATTGTTGTTGCTGGGGCTGATCCTTTATAGAGGATCGACTTTGGTGTTCTTGGTTTAGTTGCTAGTGAAGCTGTTGTGTTCTTACAACTGTTGCCATAAGTAATATGGTCGCCTTAGGTAAATGGTGTGGGTATATTCTTAGCGTATCATATAATATCATCTCATTATAATAAAAATATATAAAAAATTAATATTATTTAAAAAAATTTATTCATTAATGAAATAATATAATCGGATTTACATAATTAATAAGATTATATTATTTGATTCACTAATAATACATAAAAATCTATAATATGATAATATATCAAATATAAACTTATATTAATTTACCTTTTAATATCAATCCATCATATAAGGGTCATTATTATTTTGTTTAATTACTGTTCTTATTTTGGTTACTGAAATTCAAATGTGATTCCCTTTTTATTTTTTAATAAACAAGATAAAATATAACTGCACAATTTTGGAGTTTGTATGCAACTTTAATACCACTTTTACCACCATGTAGAGTATAAAATAAAATTTTTTAAGTATAAAAAATCTTTGAATTAAAATTAAATGATAATTCAAGTTGTTATTATTTTAATATAATTAATTGATTCCTTAAATATGTATTTATGCTCAATTGAACGAAAATTGATTAATTATCAATATCTATTTTTATTTAATTTAGAATTTAATTAAGTGAAATATATATGTTTAAAAATTTAATTGTATGAAAACAAATATTTAAATGTTCAATTGATTATAATAAAATGATAAGGACTTATATAATTATTTATTTTTACTTCAAGAGCTGTTTTTATATTTAAGCCAAAATAAAACCATTTTACTTAGGTTTAATTTGGACTTTCCCATCTAAACTTTAAATTTTACTTAGGTACAGATATTTCCCCTCCCTTCCCTTATGCGTGCCACGTGGCACAATACTTGCTTTTTCTTTTTAAAATTTTTAGATTTTTTTTTAGATTTTTAGATTTTTTCAAAATTTTTGAAAATTTTATAAATATATTTTTAAAGATTGCAATTTTTTTAGGTGAGATTCACTTTATTAATCTTTTTTTATAATTTTTTTTAAAATTCATTAATCCATTATATAAATTTTATTCCCACACAAAGCTTAACTACCACGCGGCACTCTTCCTTCTTTCTTAATTTTTTTAATTTTTAAAAACTTTTTATTGCTTTTTATTTTTTTTAATTTTTTAATATTTAATAATTTTTTCCCTGTAATAATTTTTTAAAAGCAGAACTTACTTTATGTAATTTTTTTTTTTGGTTTGCGTTGCTTTTTCTTTTTTTTTTTGTAATTTTTTATAAATATTTTTTTAAGATTAAAAATTTTTTTTATGAAACCCATGTGATATAAGAGTATGCTGCATATTTGTTTTTTTTTTTTTTTAACTTTTTTTGTTCTATCATTTTTTTATATTTAATAAATGTTTTAAAATTTTTAAATTCTTTTTTATGTGACCCACTTTATATCTAGATATGTCACATGTCAAGTCATTTGCTTTATTTATTTATTTTTAATATTTGATGAATATTTTTTAATATTATAAAATTTTTTTAGTGATGCCCATTTGATATTTATTAAAAATATTTTTTATTTAATTTCATATATATGTTTTATATTAATTAAGTTATTATTTTATAACTTAATTTAAAATATTAACATTTTAAACTTGATTTAGATGTTCATTTTTCATTACAATGATTTCTGTTTTCCTTTTTCTATTTTTTCTCCTTTTTCTTTGCTTATTTTTTTCCTTTTTTCTTAATTTTTTTTTTAAATTAATAAAGTTATTATCAAATACGTTAATTTAATATATTAATACTTTAAACTCAATTAGAATGTCATGTTATGCATAGATGAGCTTCATTTTCCTTTTTTCTTTTTCTCTTTTTTCTTTTTTCCTTTTTTGTTTATTTATTTATTTATTTATGGGATTTTAAGTTAAATTAATTTTGTGAAAAAAGAAAGCCAATAAAAATGTCCACATGGCGCCTTCAATTGGCTTTTTATTTCTCATATTTTTTACTTTTTAATTAAATAAATTTTAAAATAAAAATATAAATTCATAAAAATGTTAAAATAATTCGTATTCAATGAGTTTTGATCTATTACGATTCGATAGGGGATGATTTTTTTAAAATTGAAATAGTTGAAACAAGGTTAAGGTTTTTGGAAGAAATGAGATGGGAGCATAAATGTATTTAAAATGTTATGTCTAAGCTTATTTTTTGCATATATAAAAGTATATATATTTTATTTTTAATTTTATTATATATATTTTATATTAATAAAGTTATTATTTAATAGCTTAAGTAATTAATATTTTAAACCCAATGAGAGCATCGATATTGCACCCTCTATACCTTTTATTTTTTTTTGTTTTTGTCCTTTTTATTTTTTTTTGTTTTATTTTCTTAATTAGATAAATTTTATAAGAAAAGTGAAACCAATTAAAATATCCACATATTACTTCATTTAGCTTTTTTTATCTCCCGTCTTTTATTTTTTAATTAAATAATTTTTATAATAAAAATTAATAAATAAAAATAGAAAAAATTTCGCAACATCGCACAGGTATTATGCTAATAATATATATAAAAGGTAATAGAATTTTTTAGTTACACAACCATACAAATCCTCTTTGATTTCAAAATTTTTTGGTACAAAAAAAAAAAGAAACTTTTCTTTTTAAATAGTGGGTGCACTTTGAAATCTGAATTCTAACCAACAGAAATGTAATTTATGTGTAGAATATTAAATTTTTAATTTTAGTGTTAAGAATTAAATTCTACTAATTCAAATAAAAAAAAGTTTGGATTTTAGCCAAAATGAAATGATAATAAAATGTGACAAAATTCAATGTAACATCCACCAATTTGTACTTATATTATTTTTAATTTGTAAATTTTTTTTATAAAATAAAATTATAGGGTTTAATAGACTAAAACAAATAATAACTCATAAATTGATATGAATTATAATTTTGATATCAAAATCAATTTTGAGGATATTTATGATATATCATTAAAAACGATAAATCTTTATTAAAGTGAGAAAAAATATCATGATTTTAAAAAAATATCATATATCTTACATTGATTGTATATTAAAATTAATTTTAAGATATAAATATTTACCTTCAATTTATAAGATATTTTTAATAAAATAAATACATAATCAATAAATTTATGATTCCTCTCTAAAATCATAACAGCAAACTACATGCTGCCCATATTTTAGTAAGAAACAAAAATAGAAAACAAATTTTCAATTAGTGGGTCATTTGCCTTTGTTTTTAATTCCGTATTGAACCACTCACTCACCCACGTGCCCACTGCCCAGGACAGCCCAGCTACACTTCCGTTTTGATTTTTCTTTTGACGTTTTACCTCGAGCTGCGAGAAAGAGAAAAAAAATTTATACATTAATTAATAATTAACTATCAAGAAACCAATTTGTTTTGCCATTATTTAATTGGAAAAAGGTAAATTGAGGAACCCCACTAAGATTTATTTTAGTAGCCTTTCAACTTATGTTCAAATAACATATACACGTCGTTAAGTGGTCAAGGGATGCTTCGAACTAAGTGACTAGGGATCGCAATTAAAATTTGGAGGCAACCATTTTAGTGAAAATTCTCCAAGATACACGCTCTCTTGTTTTCTTGATGCAATTTCGTGATCAACTTGCTTAACTCAAAAGCAAAAAACGTGTTTTAGATAGATTTGCCCACTTGGAAACAACTGCCACGTTTGGTGGGTACTTATCAAATGTCAACACAATGGCAAAAAGATGCTTAAAACTTTAATCAGTTTAGATCTTTATTTAGAACTAAACTTAATTTTGAGATAATCAATCCCTTAACTATCTCCTTAACATGCTATCAATATTCAAATTGAATTGAAATTTTGAATGATTTTTTATTTTATTTTGTGAGTTATTATTGAAGTTTGGACCCAAAATTTTTAGTTTTAAAATAAATTTTAATATCATTAAATTAACAGTCGTGAATTATTAATTCTTTTTTAACCTAAGAGGGAAAACTAGAAGAGTAAGATTTTTTTTTCTAATTAAAATAAAAATTCAAGATTTCTTCTCATATTCTAAGGAATTACTTTCCCTGATAGATTAAAGCAAAACCATGATCAAACATTCAAACCCAACAAGTAAATTAGGAAAAAAAATGATAAGATGTTGTGTATACTCTAAAATTACATTGATGAAAGGATTTTATGTATGAACAAATTTTTACACCCAAGTACAGAGCAGCCAATTTTGATTTAAGACATCCTTAGTTTTCGCAACAATGGATTTACAAGGCCAATTTAATAAAAAAAAATGGCATCAATCAAAATCCTTTCAAATTTTCAATCAACAACTAACAAAATTTTCTTACCTCATCACCCTATGATCTGCAATTATTCTAAAACCAGAACAAAACCATGATGCCAACATCACAAAGGAGCCAAAATTTATTGATTCCCTTTCATATTCATTTTCACACCATAGCCGTTATGGCCAGCTGATTGTCTTCCTCCTATTCTTTATATGATTCCAGTTGCTGCTTCCCAGCCTCATGAACCCCGGCCAAAGCTGGTGACGAAGACGGAGAAGAATGACAAGAAGCTGCTGCCATAGCCAAGCATCCCTCACTCCAGGCTCTCCTTATAGGATAAGACACGTTCTTGCTTTTAGGGAATGCATGGGGACAATTCCCGCGTGACTTGTCATGTAGGGCACAGCGGCAGTTCCGGTGGTATGGCCGGCGCTCGATGCCTTTGTCACAGCCGGAGATGCACCCTTCGTATATCGACCGGAAAAGTCCATCAGCAGCTCCTGCGGCCATGTTCCTTAATTACCGCAACCACAACCTTGGTCTGTTTTTTCTTGCAATGTGCGTAACCATTCAATTTAATGGAAAAATGGTGGCATTTTATAAAATGTAGTTATGGTAATTATATAGTGGGGAAAGACAAAGGGCTAATTTGTTGGGGAGCGGTATATGCGGCAATGGCGTGGCCATCAGCGTTGTGGGAGCCGTGTCTTGAGGGGTCGGTCCATGGATTAATTTTTTTGGCCTTGAATTTGGTGTTAGGGAAGATCAGAAGAACAAAAATTAGGAGAGAAGAATGAAGTACTGGGAAAAATAGCAACAAGAAACATCATAGGTTGCCACAAAATGCAGGCTTTACTTTATTGACTAAAATTTTGTAAGGGAAATGTTTTGGTATGATTCTATAGGGATTATTATGCTATTGAATGTGTGTTCAGTACACTGATCGGTTTGTCCTGTGAATTTGATGAGAATTCAAGGGTTAAACCAATTAAGTTTTAGGATGATTTGGTCGGAGTGGGGACATTAGGTTTGGAATGAATTAATTGGACTGGGTCGTAGGCCTGATTAATTTAATGCAGCCTGGTCCTGATGAACAAATGGCTAAATTGACTGCTTCCTGGTTATGCTAAATATTGTTTGATAGGGCTCCAAACATATTAAATTACAATAATATTAAATTAAATTTTGCATCTCATAATTTTAAAATCAGTTATATAAAAAGTTAAAAAAATATCATGCTATATCGTAATTTTAAATTTTTTTGTGTTACTTATTTTATAACAAAATAATTAATTAATTATTTTTTTAATTTTCATATCATTTTTTATCATTTGTATCTAAACTAAAGTATGAAATTAAGATCTCACATAGTTCATTTGATGCTAATGAGTTACAAATAACATCTAACAGTCTTTTAATCCGTTTGCAAATTAAAACTTCCTGGCCAACACTTCTTGACCGAGTAATTAAAGAAAGATTTGCAACATGCTGTAACGTTTGTGTTCGAGTACTAATCCCTACCTTCAACATATATATATATATATATATATATATATATATATATATAAAAGAACTCCTGGAAGGAGTGGTACTCCAGTAAAGCATTAGACGTCAAGCCTTAAAAGACCAGATTTTAATGATTTTGCATGATTAAGAATATTGCTCTTGAACAGAAAGATAATATATTATTGTGGTGTTTTCCAGGTTTGGGCTTGGGAAAGAGGGCCAACTTACTTGAACAGCAAGATAAGATTACTTATTTACTTGTCGTTTGAGGAAATAGAAATGTGGGTATCTTCAAACTCAAGATAAAAGAAAAGATATGGGATGAAATCAAGAGAAAATCTGCTAAAGTTTATTGCTTCCATGAAATGCATGGCAACTACATGTATATTTATCTCCTGTTTTTGCTGCTTACAATATTTCATACCTGCTTCACCAGCAAGAGATTGCTTGATAATTTTAGATTCTAGAATTAAGACAAGCATGATGGTTTTAACTTGAATTTATATATCAATTTTCATGACTATAAAAAGAAAAAAAGAAAAAGAAAGAGATTCACTTATAAAAGGTATAAAATTAAAAATTTTATATTTTTAAATCATTGATTTATATTCATGAAATTAAATGGTTTTTTTAATTGAAAAATTAATGTGATTTGACTTTTATAATTATCCGCTAGATGATAGTGAATTAATGAAAAAAATATAAAAATTTTTAATTTTACAAAAAATCTTATATTTCTTGAGATTTAAATATGACATCCAATTTTATTGGGGAAAAAAATTACATCGCTCACTAATGAATTAATCCATTGGCTTGGCACTTGGGAAAAAGCATAAAAGAATCAAAACCAACCGAACGATGATATTCGGTTCACCACGTGGCAGACCGATAGCAGGTACAGCTAACCTCCATTAACGGCCCAGATTGATCGTGGAACACTAAATTGAAAGACCAAAGAGCAGGTAAAGGCTCTCTTCAATTTTCCGTTCCTTGTGTCTTTGAGAAAAAAAAAAAGTTGATTTGATCGATAGGCTTAACAGCAGCCATGGGAGGAGGTGGAAATAAGAGAAGATCAAATAACAATAGAAATAAAAACAACAGCTACAACAACAACAACAACAATAACAAAACGAAGAGTAGCAGAGGAAGATCAAGAACAGACCCCAAATCTTCATCTACTCGAATCAGGAACTCTCTTTTTGTGGAGGGTGGTCTTTTATCTGATTGGCAGTTGGATTCTCGAGGTCCCTTCTCTTATTTTCCTTCAATAAATTTTCTAACTGTATGTTTGGTTGCTAGGAAAATGAAAATGAGAAAAACAAACTTAACTTGTTTTCTTTCTTCATCAAGAATTGTTATTGCACTCCAGAAATAAAATTGGTTTTTTATAAAGTTCTATGAAGGTTAGTTTGGTTTTGTAATTGTAAAAAAAGTTGCTTTTGGGTGTTGAGTTGGACGAAGGAATCGAAGCATCAAACCGGTTGTCTTTGTATTAGTTAATTTCTTTGGATGTAGGGGTGGAATTGTGAAAATTTTCTTTTGGAGTGTTGAATTGCAGGCAGGAATAGAAATGGAAATTCAAATTCTGGGTTGAATCCCGATAGAGCAAAGGCTTCTGCTTCTAAAAATGGATCATCAATGAAATCTGGTGGGAGTTTTATACGATATGAGTATCCTTCACTCGATATTCAAGTATGTTCCTTTGCATATCAAAAGTTTGTTGCTTTATATGATTCGAGTCTTTATAAAGTTGAGTTTTGTACACGTATGTAGTATGTTCCCCTCATTTTATCAGTGTCAAACTGGCATTTTTACTGGGGTTGGTTCTGGTTTCTACTGTATTCAAGAAACTTGGATTTCTGTAAGAGGTTAAATATTGGTTATAACATAATTTTCCTTTGCTAGTTATTTGAACTGAAATAATTTGTTGCAGAAGAAGATTCACTGGAGTATTTTTTATTGGAAGTAGTTCCAAAACATCTCTCAATAATGCCCTCGTTTTTGAGGATTTAAGTAGGAAAACTTAGTCTAATATGAGCCCTAATTACTGAAGATATCCTTGGCAAAAAAAAAAAAAACTGTAAATATCCGGTTCAACAGCATGATGAACCTTTCTTTTTCACATTTTTCTTTCCTTTTTTTATTTTCTTGTGAAGGTCTTTTTTTCCCCTTTTTGCTTGTTTTAACTTTTTAGGAGTTTTGTTTTATTTGTTACTTTACTTGAGAATTGAGACGGATGATTAACCTTGATATTTGACAATCATTTTTCTCTTCCTTGCCCCTGGTATAATGACGGTAAATGATGAAGTCTTCCTACTCTGCATCGTTAGTTTTATCCTTAGAGCATCTTTCTCTTTTTCTGAGAAATAACTTGCAATGAAGCCAAAAAACCCTAGTCATCTATGCTGAGTAGATTCTAATGATAGTTTTTTATGTGGATTTCTAACAGGATCCAGAATCAAGTGTTCAGGTACATAGGGGAGATAATAAAGTGGATGAGTCACATCCTATTGTTTTGGTTGATTCAAAGGAGACTCAAATCATTGCTTACATGGATCAAAACACACCTCCAAAGCCCAGTCATGTAAATTATACTTATGAATACAGTTCAGATTTTGTGCTAGGTGATAGCTCTCATGGAGGATTGGGTTTTGATGTCGAATCAGAGGCAACCCCCAGTGGAACTGAGTCATGTATGAAGCAAATGGAAGAACAAAAAGGAGCATGTTCTAATTTATCATCCTCTGGGAAGGAAATGGATGCTGATGATAATCATAGTAATAATGGCAAGGTGGATGATGACGAAGAATTGTTTTCTGATGAATTGTCCCCAAAGAAAAATTCAGGGTTTTTGTCAATTGGAGGTGTGAAGTTATATACTAAAGATATGTCTGATGGAGAAACTGAAGAGGACTATGATAGAGAGTCACTAGATGATGAAAGCCCTGAGACAACTGATCAGGAGCAGCAAGATGGAGTATATGGGAGTGATGCCTCCGAAGTTTTGTCTGATGATGATTCAGATATTGATGAAGAGGTTGCAGTTGATTACTTAGAAGGAATTGGTGGGGAGGATAGTGTTTTAGATACAATGTGGTTGGTAGGTCAGCCTTTGGATGAATTGAATGATGATAGTTCTTCTAGCAGTTCTTTTGATGAGACATTAGAGAAGCTTGGTGGGATTGCTCTCCAAGATGCATCTAGGGAATATGGCATTCAGAAGAATCAGTCAAGAAAGAAATACTCTGGAGGTGCTAAAGATGCTTGGTCACCAGCTTTGGATGGTCTTGTGCTAGCAAAGGAACCAAGAACTGTGTCTGCTAAAAAGAAGCATGTTGCCAGGTTTCCTCGCTCTTGGCCTTTACAGGAACAAAAGAGTAAACATTCCCAAAAATTTCCTGGTAATGATTGTTAATATATGGTTATCTCAATCAATAAGTATTTACTCTACACTATGACTATATAATCAATTTTTAAGTGCTTTCTTCATTGTGTCTAAAAAGTCTTTGGATGTGTTTGGAATTGTGGAAAACTTTAAATGAAAGGAAATAAGGAGTTCAAGGAAGTTGAATAGATAGAAATATAAAGCTCCTTTTTTGCTTTTATATTTACTGCTTGTGATAAATTATATTCTTTGTACCTCAACTACTTGAGGTATGCAAAAGAGAGAGTATTCCAACTTTTTTTCTCATTTACATTAAAGTATTGCTTCCATCTATTTTTCATGAGTTAAAAGAAGCTTTAGTTTCTTTGTAAAAGTTGGAATATGATGATTTATAGTTGCTTAGATCTGCTAGGATCCTTATTGTGACATGAACAGTGAGCTGGTCCGACTATGTGAGTCAACTACTAGATATTCAGCCACTTGCCCGTGTGTAAATATTTGCTTAACAGGTTATGAAGAAAACATTTTCTGTTCAACTCTTGCTTCTGTTCTAAATGAAATCAAAATCATGTGAAACCCTAACAATTAGAGCTTTGCATTTTAAACTTGAAGGTCTCAGGTTTATACCTTGATATGTGAGGGTGGGGCTTTTGGGAAGGGAGAGGGTCATCTTTCTTTCTGTAGCCCACCTCCGTGTGTAAAAAAAAAAGAAAATGAAATAAATGACAAATTATTTTATATCATGTTTCAGGTACACTTTCATAGTTTCCTTTGTTAAATTTTCTCAACTTATACTAACAGTGTTTTCTCCTTTCACTTGTGGGGAACTGGCTTTTGAAAATTTTCATTATGGGACATTTAATTTGGTAGATGTTAATATCTATTATTTTCTCTTTTTTTCATTTTAAATGAGGAAGTAATTAAAAGTCAATGTGTTGGCTGCTGCAGGCCTATTTAAAAATACCTTGATTTTGCTATCATTGTCTTTGTGGTACATAAATAGATGTGAAGTGCAAATCATGTTATATGTTCTTATGACGCGGTCACTGTTCAGGGGAAAAGAAGAACCATCGTAAGGAAATGATTGCTGTGAAGCGTCGTGAAAGAATGCTTCGTCGGGGTGTTGATCTTTGGCAGATAAATTCGGTAAAACAAAAAACTTTTAAGAGATTTAACAATCTTTTGTTTCCTTTTATTGTAACTCTGATGATTATTGACACAATATTTTTCCTCATAGGATAGTTATTGTGATTTATTTGCATCACACTCTCATAAGTTATAGGTTACGCCATGGTGTTAATTTTCGTTGTCTTTTTCCTCCACCATCTTGTTTTTCTTATACTATAATTTAAAATTGAGATTTTTCATTTAATATCTTAGATATTTCTTAACATTATTACTAGTTATAAATGAATTGCCTTATCCCAACTTGTGCTGCCATTTAAAGATTTAAATTAGGTCAGAAAAGATTTGAAATATGTGGAAAAACTAAGAAATAAAACTGTGTGGAAAACTAAGAGTAAAACTGAATGTATGTGGAAAAACTTCTCTTTAAGAATTATATAAGCACATTAGGTTTATATACAACTAACTAGTGAGTAAACTAAGAAACTATATCTTCCTAAAACTGCTCCTATAATTGAGGGATTGTTTATTCCAATTTTTTGTCCTTAATTCTAGGGATACAAATACTTAATTTTAGAGATAAAATATAAATATACAGATTACAAGATTACAACCAGCTATAAATAAGTGTTTTCCCACATGACCCCCCTTAAGCTGGTGAGTAGGTGTTTTTCATTCTCAGCTTAGAAATAATTTCTTGAATGTAGCACTACCGAGACTTTTAGTCAATACATCTACAAGTTGACCCTTGGTTGATACATACGGTGTGCAAATTAACCATCTAATTTCTCAAAGTGCCGGCTACTTCAATGTGTTTTGTTCTGTCATGTTGCATAGGATTGTGTACGATGCTTATTGCAGACTTGTTATCATAGTAGAGTCTCATTGGTCCATCCCACTTGATCTTCAAGTCTTCTAGGATAATCTTTAACCATAGTAGTTCACAAATTCCTTGAGCAATTGCTTTGAACTTTGCTTCAGCACTTGATCTTGCCACCACATTCTGATTTTTACTCCAACAAGATTATCACCTAGGAAAGTGCAGTAGCCTGAGATTGATCTTTTATCAGTTACTGAACCTGCATAATCTGCATCTATATATGCCTCTAGACCCAGCCTCTAATTTCTTTTAAACAAGATACCTCCCCCAGGATTGGCCTGCAAATAGTGTAATACATGGTAGACAGCCTATAGGTGCACTTTAAGACTATATAAATTGACTTATCACACTCACAGCATATGCTATATCAGGTCTAGTATGTGAAAGATAAATGAGTCTTCCAGCAAATCTTTGGTACATTTCTCTATCCACAGTAGTATCTTCATTAGCTTCTCCAAATTTATGATTAGGATCTATAAGGGTATTTGTAGGTTTACTTGCAAACTTCCTAGTTTCCTTCAAAAGATCCGTCAAATATTTCTATTGTGAGATGAAAATACCATGCCGTGAGTAAGCTACTTCAATTCCTAGGAAGTACTTCAATCTCCCTAACTCTTTTATCTTAAATTCTCTAGCCAAACACTATTTTAGAGATTCTCTCTCTTTTTCATCATCCTTGGTTACAATTATATCATCAACATACACTAATAGAACTGTGACTCTCCTTGAATCCGAGTACTTGATAAACAATGTGTGATCTCCTTGACTCTGCTTATATTCCATTGCTAGCATCACTGTGGCAAATCTCCCAAATCAAGCCCTAAGAGACTATAAAAGGCCATATAAAGCCTTTTTTCGCTTGCATATTTTGTTTGCTTCTAGATGACCTCCAAATCCCGGTGGAACCTTCATATTTATTTCTTCTTCCAAATCATCATGTAGAAAAGCATTTTTTACATCAAATTGTTGAAGCTACTAATTGTAATTTGCAGCCAAGGATAACAAAATCCTAACTGTATTCATCATGGCAACTGGAGCAAAAGTTTCTTGATAATCCTCTCCATAAGTTTGAGTGTAGCATTTAGTCACCAACCTAGCCTTATACCTTTCAACAGTACCATCCACATTGTATTTTACAGTGAAAACCCATTTACACCCAACTTGATTTTTTCCTTTAGGCAACTTTATCAGTTCCCATGTCTTTTTTTTCTCTAAAGCCTCCATTTTTCATTGGATAATACCTCGGATAATGTAGTTGGAATAGAAATAACGTTTAAGCTCACAGAAAATTTTTGTGGGATGGTGAGAATTTTCAAATGACACAAAATTAGAGATTGCGTATAGTGGATGCATAGTACATTCACTAATTCATTTTTTAATAGCAATAGGCAGATCATAATTGCTAGTTATAGTTTTAGGAGATTCATGCACATTTTGAGAAATTGAGTCAGAGACTGTAGTTATCTCATTTTTGGAGTTAAGATCAGGTTCTTGAAGTTGTATCGGTTTAGGGTCTGGAACTTTCTTTCTTGAGTACACTTATAATTCCCTCATAGAATCAAAAAATAATATTATTCTTTGTCACATTTTTTGTGTTTGGAATGGGTTTAGACTCAAATTCAATGTTTGACTTGGACTAAGAAGAAATAGGTTTAGACTCAGAAGAATTAATGGGTGAAAATGTTGAAAAGGAGGATAAGTTAACCAAAAAGAAGTCTTTATCCTTATCTTCCATGAATGAAGTCTCCCCCTGAAGATAAGATTGAGTAAAAAATAGTTTACTTCTTTCAAAAGTGACATCTGTTGACATATAAAATTTTTTGGTTGGAAGATGATAGCACTTATACCCTTTTTGAGTTGATGAATACCCCACAAAAATGCATTTAACTGCTTTAGGATCTAACTTCTCCCTATTATGACTGTGAACATGAACATGAACAAATGATGTACAACCAAATATCCTAGAAGTGAGGTTGGGATAGAATTGTGAGAATAATTCCATAGGAGTTTTAGATCCCAAAACCCTTGAAAGTAACCTATTTATAATGTGTGGGAGTGAGAACAACCCTTGAGTAGGATTTGGGTATGTTTGCTTGCAAAAGTAAAGCTCGGGTTGTGGCTAGCAAATGTTTGTTTTTCCTCTCTGCCACTCCATTCTGCTGTGGAGTATTAACATAAGATGACTCATGGATAATCATCCTCTTTTGGAAATAAGTAGATAGACTCTAGTTGAAATAGTATCTTGCATTATTAGACCTAAATCTCTTGATTTTCACTCCAAATTGATTTTGGATTATGTTTTGGAAGCTTAAAAACACAACATTCATATCATATTTAGATTTAAGTAAAAATATCCAAAAGATCCAGGGACAATAATCTATGAAAGAAACAAACCACCTTGCACCTGAAATATTAAGAATTGTAGAGGGACCCCATATGTCACTATGAATCAAGTAAAAAGAAGTAGAACTTCTTTTATTGCTAACTGGAAAAGACACACATTTATGCTTTCCAAGGTCACAAACATCACAATGAAAATTTTCGGCATTTAATCCTTTGAACAAAGAATAAATTTTTCAAAGTTCCAAAAAAAGGATGTCCAAGACGAAAATGATAAAGCCAAAATTTGTCTTTATTGGGAGATTTTTCAAAAAGAAATGACAAAGGTAAACTATTCTTGATATTACTTGTATTGTTTGATGTCTCAAGATAGTATAGTCCATCATTCTCTTTGGCAAGTCCAATCCTCTTCCCCGAGCTTTGGTCTTGAAATTCACAATATGGGGGTAAAAAGTCACTTTGCAGTTCATGTCTCTAGTAAGTTTTTGTATAAATATCATATTAGTAGACAATCCAGGAACATGAAGAACATTTTTAAAAACAAATGAGGGATTAATTTGAACATCTCCTAATCTTACCACTGTAGTAAGTGAACCATCTGTAACAACAATTTTCTTATTACTAGGACATAGGGTATATGTACTAAACTTTTATGAGGAATGTGTCATATGGTCTATGGCTTTTGAGTCAATGAACCAAGAACTCGTAATAGGCTTAACTAAGACATTTAATCCATGAGAACCAGAAGCTTTACTTGAACTAAAGACCTTACCCAAAGAACATACCCCAGTAGGGTTTTCAAGGGTCAAGGTTTCTTAATTTCTCAATCTCTTCTCTATCCAACTCTCTTTTTTCCCAATACTTCTGTAGTATTCCAGTGGTTTTACTAGTTGTCACTTCCTCAAATCGGGTAGTAGGGCAGATCTTGTTATCTTTCTCGAGACTGAAACGAGTCTTGATAGTAAAGGTTTAATCAGAAACAATTCTATGCGATGAAGGCCAAAGAAGAAAAAAATAAGATTGAAAGATTTAAGAAGATTTTGCTATGAAGGCCTGAAATAGAATTCAACAATTAATGCTGAAAAAATTTTCTTCCCAAGAAGAGCCTAAAGCTTTGATACAATGTGGAAAAACTAAGAAATAAAACTGTATGGAAAACTAAGAGTAAAACTAAATGTTTGTTGAAAAACTTCTCTTTAAGAATTATACAAGCACCTTAAGTTTATATACAACTAACTAGTGGGTAAACTAGGAAACTAAATCTTTCTTAAACTGATCCTATAATTGAGGGATTGTTTATCTTAATTTTGTGTCCTTAATTCTGGGGATGCAAATATTTAATTGTAGAGATACAAATATAAATATACAGATTGCAAGATTACAACCAACTGTAAACAAGTGTTTTCCCACAAAATAGATTCAGAAAAGTTGCACATTTGAAGAAGTAATGAAAGAAGGGCACTATTTAAGTGATTCATTATTCTCTTCGTACAAGACTAAGAACCAAATTGTTACAGCCTTAAGAGGAACAACTGGAAAAAATATTTTGCTGGTTTTGACTTTTCTTCTATTCCACTCGCATTAACAAATTTAACTGATTGTTCTTTTTTCGTTTCTTTTTAATAGTTTACATTAGGAGAGGTGGTTGTAAGTTTCTGAATAAACACAAAACAACTTAATAAAAAAAGGTGATAGAAAACAAACAATCTATCAATATTATATATTAGGCATAGTGGATGTTGAGAAGGTTGAGAAATTGCATCAAAAATCAGTGAATAATTGAGCAACTCCACTAACATGCACATATTTGCTTCTCATTGCAATCTAGTATATAGGTGTTTTGCACTCTTTGGAGGATTCAAGTAGTAAGCTGAGGTAATTGTAGGTGGTGGAAGATGCTACAATTTTGTTTAAATACATTATCAATATCATGATTGAACAATGGAGAGGAGATGGACAAAATTTAAAAAGGCAGAGTATCTTGTCAGTGGGTTCATGGTATGCACATAATATCTAGATTTAGCAAAAAGTTGTTTATAAGATAAAAAATTGTGAGTCTTTTTAATGCTTTCATTAGAAAAAGAAGGCTTAAAAATTTAACTAGTGCAAAAATGACCTTGCTCTTGATAATCTTACTCGAGATATGATATGGTCTGAAATAGGACACAAAGGCAAAATCTGTAACTGACTTGACATACTTGGTTCGTTCTTGTTGTTAATTAGAACAGAGAAGGATCATGAATGATGATTGGTAGGCTTGATGGAATATTTTAAATAATTCTATTAAAAGTGGATAATGCACCATAAATGTGAGATGGAGGGTAAATGACAAGAATAGTTAAATGATATAAGCTTGTCCTTCTGTATTTATTGGTTTTTTTTTTAGTAGTTGCAGAAATCTTGTGATATTTGTAGGCAAGACTAAGTGTTATTGATGTTTTATATAAAAAAATGAGTAAAGAATTTGTTATGCAATCAATGTGTACATTTAAATTAGATATACATCTAATGTGAACGCTGAACTAGTGCACAAGAAAATAAGAATGATTACCATGAGATATAAATGTATGAGAGGAATCTGGAGATTTGGGGAAAGCTTAAACTTTGACTTTCACTCTTTAGCTTGGAAGAGTTTTCAATGGAAAGTATCTTATAATTCATTTTTCAATTTTAAAAGGCTAATAGTGTAATTGACAAATAAAGTGTGATAATATATTTATATAAATTATTAAATTCGAAGATATGGAATTTTGAAGCTAAAAGAGATGACCCTTATCCTTTCTTATAGAGTACATACAGCAATGCTCTGAGATGAGAGAAACTATTGAAGGAATTATTAAATGAATATTGGATTATCATGGCTGGTTCAAGACATTAACTGCTCCATATTTTGATGACTTGTAGAAATTAGAGCAGATTGTTTTGGATGGGGTCGATATGTTTGCTTTTCAACCCATGCATCATTGGGATTGTTCCCAGGTATGGCCCTATGGTTCACCTTATGCAGTTCAGAATTGATTTTCTTATTCAACCTCCCTTCCCCTCTTGTTTGCTGTATAATTTTTTTTTCCTCCTATCTTATAGGCATGGATCAATTTCTGCTATGAGACAATGCAATGCACTTATTATATGACAATTTTAATTTAGTGCAATTGAATGGCTTTTTTTCATTATTACCAAATGAGGGATGAGGTTTATTTGGTTTTAAACTAAGGCTATGACTGGGAAGAATTTTAGTATGAACTAGAGAACAGATTATCCACCAGCTTATTCGAAAAAGCGGACTTCAGTTAGGATATGAGTGAGAATATTCCACTAATTAGAGACATGTTTTAAAAAGTTCATCAAAGTTTAAATATGGTTGATTTGCCTTCCTGTCATCTTGAGTTTAGTAATTGGGAAGTGAAAAACAGCTTCCCTTATTTAATTGTTGTACTTTATTCCAGTAAGCCTTAAGGCCTTAGGGTAGATGGTGCAGGATAGCTTTTAGCCTGCTGGCCATGAGATGTAACATTTTGGATCTTCCAAAGCATGAGGCAACTTTGTTTCTTCTTCTTAAAAATTTCCTCCAAAAAAATATGCTAATGCTAAGGAGTTAGAGGTGTTGCTTCATCTAACAGTGGTTAGGCATAAATCTTCTTTTTTTTTTTTGTATTTTATGTTGCACCAATAAAATGTCTATATGTGTGTAAGTAGTAGCTTTGCATTTATTGTCTGGTTGTATCTTGGAAGAGTTTGCTTATTTTATGGTTTACAAATGTTGTGTTGATACTTCAATACTCCCAGTGGTGATTTCCTTTATGTGTGATTTTGGCAGCCTTATTTACTCATCATGATGGTTCCTTATCTGAAGTTCTCATTCTTTTTTCATGAAGTACATTTTTGCATTTATAATACTTCTGCAATTCCATATTTCAACTTAGCCCAAAATATGAGTTTTGATTAATTTTAAGTTTGGAAAGTTAGTTTATTCAATCACTACTAAGGCCAATCAAGGAAAATATCATCAGCAGCGTCAAAGAAGATGAATTGTGGGATGGAAAGTGTTAGTTAGCTGTTGAACTCATGTATTTAAAGGGAAAAGGCCGTGATTATTTTGGAACGCTTCTTAAAGAATCCTGCTTTGAAATTGAATGTGGAGCTCTGACATAAATCAACATCAAAGAAAGGCTTTTATCTTCTTTTTTACCAAACTGATGACTAATTTGCTGCTATTGGAGTATATTTGATGTGCTTTAGGTCTCTGTAGGTACGAAGATTAGCTGCAATTTACCGCCTGTCTAGCGGATGCCAGGGTTCTGGCAAGAAAAGGTAATTAATATGCCTGCTGCATGAGCAATTGTGCATGATGTAGAAATGGAATTTGATGTTAATGCTATTTCCCTTTACAGGTTCGTGACAGTGACACGCACACAGTACACATCCTTGCCATCTTCCAGCGACAAACTTCGCCTGGAAAAGGTTCCAAATTCCTTTTGAAATATATTCTTAAGATTATGCACTTCAAGCAGAGGATTCTGCATTTGTTTTTATTCAACTTGTATTATTATTATTATTAGCCCTCTCTAGAGTTTCAGTATGTAATTGGACAGTCTCTTAATGGCAACTTAGCAAAATTGTAACCCTTTTTTTGGGATTTCAGCTAATTGGAGCTGGTGAGGGGGATGCAGATTTTGCTGTTAATGAAGGCTTTAATATTACAGCATTGGGTGCTGGTCGAACAAGAGCACAAAAGGTTGCTGAACGGAGTGGCATGAAGAAAGTCAATTCTAGTACCATTGATGAATCAAGTGAGAAAAAGCGAAGTGGAAAAAAGAGTTCATATGCAAGTCAACCTATCTCATTTATATCCAGTGGCCTCTTGCCGTCAGACGCTGTTGAGATTAGAACTATGGATTCTGAGGGTACGACAGAAACTTCTGAACATAAGGGTATCATTAGCTCAGCAAAGTTTGGTGCATTTGAGGTACACACAAAGGGTTTTGGATCCAAAATGATGGCTAAAATGGGATTTGTTGAAGGTGGAGGGTTGGGAAAAGATGGTCAAGGTATGGCACAAGCAATTGAAGTCATACGGCGGCCTAAATCACTTGGGCTGGGTGTGAATTTCTCCAACGCAAACAGTGATTCAGAGAAGGTTCATGGTAAAACCAATGGAGCCTCTGAAAATTGTATGAAAGGGTTTGGTGAGTCATCGAGGGGTCAGCACAAATCTTTTGGAGCTTTTGAAAAGCATACCAAAGGTTTTGGATCCAAGATGATGGGTAAGATGGGTTTCGTTGAAGGTATGGGCTTGGGCAAGGATTCACAAGGCATTGTTAATCCTTTAGTTGCTGTTAGGCTCCCAAAATCGCTAGGATTGGGTGCTAACCGATAGAAGTCATGCCTCAAATGAAGATACAAAAGGCCAGGCACAGCAACATTTGGATACAACGGTTGTAAGGTTCATTCAATGTATTTCTAGTTCCTTACTACCAAATCAGAACATTCACCTCACTTATCATACGTCTAAATTTACTTACAGGTAATAAAGCTTCTTGCCTTTTGGATACTTTCATTTTTCTCATATCCTTGGTTTCTTCCCTTACTAGGTTTACAATCTGTTTCATGAGTTGTGGGTGGCTTTCTGGCCCTTCAATTTCAATTAGTTTTTGGTGAAAAAAATCCATGATTTAGTAACCTTTATAGGATTTTTAGATGTTCACATAAAAACACAAGTTGCCTCAACGGGATTGGTTGAATTAATAAGGTTCGAATACTTAGTTCGAATCCCATTGTTAACAGTTTTCTAGGTGGGCAATTTGTAAATTTGTTGCAAGTTTTCTTTGAAATCTACGGTCTGTCTTGAATGGGGAAGTCCCTTTTAACTCAAAACTTTTTTTTGAAAAAAAATGGTTACGAAAGCATTAAAAGACTTTCTATATGCGGAAGGAGCCCTTGAAGCCTTCTTTTGTGGCATGGTTTTGACTCGAAGGAGCTGTAAAGAACTCTAGTTGGGTGATTACCCATTTGACATAAGTCAGAAAATGTGAAAAACGGTTTGATCCAATCACATAAACTTCCTTCGTAAGGCTTTATCATGCCCTTTATTTTTGTTTAGGTGGCAAGGCATCTGCTTCATTGCCCGTATGGAATACCTTTTATTCCTTTTGACATTCAATCAGAATATTATTTCTAGGTAAGGTGTATGATTGGACAAGTTGTTGTACATTAACAGCTCACTTAACTCTAAAAATGGAATCTTGGGTAGGGTTCCAACTTCCAAGCCATTTGATTGTAGATCATCTTCTTTTGGTACCTGTGACACATCAAGTTGTTTAACTCAAAACAATCTAATTGTTTTTATTTTGTTTGTTTTTCTCCGAGTTTCATTGTTAATTTCAATGTACGCCCATTTACTTTGCTCACGGGTATAAAGGTGATAATGATTCAGGTTGAGTTTTTGCTTGATTTGATATTAGAATATTATTTTTCATTTTCTTTGATTTATATATTCATAAATTTGATTCAATTTAAAATTAATTAAATAATATAAAATATTATTTTGTATATAAATTATATTTTAATTATACATAAATATAATATATATTATTAAATATATTAATATATAAATATAAAATTAAATAATCAATAAAAATATATTTTTACATATATTTGATTTTAATCGAGATAGTACCATTTAAATTTAATTTTGATTCGAATTCGATTCAACTTTTAATTTAATAAAAAAATCTAAATTTATCATGTTGAGATTAATAAAAATTTATTGGATACAAATTATTTTATTATTTTTAATAGAATTTGATATAAGCTTAGCATTAATCTCGTTGAAAGTCATTTGACAAGGTCTCAAGAGAAGTAAAACAAAAAAAAAAAAAAAAAAAAAAACCTACTCATCCATTTCACCAATAGCAAGAAATTGATCCAACACCAAAGCCATGACATCTTTAGTGTCATTTACTCTTTTTGTACTAATTGTCATCCCAAGTCCCAAAGTAGGCTCTAAATGTTTGAGTTGGTTTTTATTTTCCAAAGGAGTTGGGGTTTTTTAAAATTCATTTTCACATGTAGAAGGAAAAATTTTGGTCCACATAAGATAACTAGGTCAGCCAAATAATTATGTAATTTATTAGTAAAATGTTAAATTTTTTATTTTAATTATCAGATTTATATTTTAATAATCTTAATTATAAAAAAATTAAAATTTACCAACATCCTTTGGTCTCTTCTAATTTTTATTGCTTTCATTTTACTTAAAAACTGGTAACGAAAATAATTGTATTAAATGTTTCATATAGATAAATAGATATCATAAGTAATAAAAATTAATTAATTTTTTATTACATCATTTATGTTTATTTTAAAGTAAATATTTAAATAAAAAAATTTATTTATATAACTTTTTAATTCTACGAATAAGATTAAGATAATAAGATATATATTTTATTATATATTAAAAAAATTATAAAAAAATATATTATCACTTTAATATCATTTTAATTAGTCAAATAATTTTTTTTTAAATAAACAACTAAGAAAGCTTCAAAATTTTTAAAAAAATCTCAATATGGTGTCGGTGACTCGTTTATGGTTTAGCAGAAACCGCACAAAGCCAGGCCAATCATATAAGCCCATTGTCGTACATTTCACTGCTACTTTCTTTCTCTCGAAATTTCAGTTTCGTTGGAAAGAAAAAGGAACATTTTGAAGATCTCTATGTTTGGACTTAAAATTTCTTCGTAGAGACTCTCTCGGGCTATTCTAATTCTTCTTCCAAAGGTTAGTCAGATCCATTCTTCCTTTACATAATTTCTTGAATATTACATGGACTGCTAGCATTTTGCTATAACCCACATCGAAATTCACCTAATTCTTTGCTTATAAACTCATTTCTCAATCTGGGTTTTTCCAGATCTGACAGAATTTGGACTCAATGGGTAATTTTGTGATCTGGGTATTGACAATTTGCTTGATATTTCAATCTGGATACGGTTTTTATCTGCCTGGTAGTTACCCTCACAAATATGTGGTCGGGGACTATTTAGCTGTCAAAGTGAATTCCCTAACTTCCATTGACACTGAAATGCCCTTTAGCTATTACAGTTTACCCTTTTGTAAGCCTACAGAGGGTGTTAAGGATAGTGCTGAGAATCTTGGTGAGCTTCTCATGGGAGATCGGATTGAGAACTCGCCGTATAGGTTTAAGATGTTCACTAATGAGACCGAGATCTTCTTGTGCCAATCCGATAAGTTATCTGCAGATGATTTTAAGTTGTTGAAGAAGAGGATTGATGAGATGTATCAGGTCAACTTGATTCTTGATAATCTGCCTGCAATAAGGTATACTATGAAAGAGGGTTTTATGTTGAGGTGGACTGGGTATCCGGTTGGGGTTAATGTTCAGGATGTGTATTATGTGTTTAATCATTTGAAATTTAAGGTGCTTGTTCATAAGTATGAGGAAACGAATATGGCACGTGTGATGGGGACTGGGGATGCTGCTGAGGTTGTCCCTACTATTGGCAATGGGGGATTGGATGTGCCTGGGTATATGGTTGTTGGGTTTGAGGTGGTTCCTTGCAGCGTCATGCATAATGGCAACTTGGTTAAGAACTTGAAAATGTATGAAAAGTATCCATCTCCAATTAAATGCGAGTCAACTACAGTGTCAATGCCTATCAAGGAAGGTGAGCCGATTGTCTTCACTTATGAGGTTGCCTTTGAGGAGAGTGATATCAAGTGGCCATCTCGTTGGGATGCTTATTTGAAGATGGAGGGATCCAAAGTCCATTGGTTCTCTATCTTGAATTCTCTTATGGTTATCACTTTCCTTGCTGGTATAGTCCTTGTGATCTTCTTAAGGACCGTTAGGCGGGATCTGACCCGGTATGAGGAGCTTGACAAGGAGGCCCAAGCACAGATGAATGAGGAGTTATCCGGGTGGAAGCTTGTTGTTGGTGATGTTTTCCGTGCCCCATCCAATCCTGCTCTTTTGTGTATTATGGTTGGGGATGGAGTTCAGATCCTTGGGATGGCAGTTGTGACAATATTGTTTGCTGCTCTTGGATTTATGTCACCAGCATCCCGAGGAACTCTTATTACAGGTATGCTATTTTTCTACATGATTCTTGGTATTGCAGCGGGCTATGCTGCTGTTCGTCTATGGAGAACAATTGGATGTGGCGATCACAAGGGATGGGTTTCTGTCTCTTGGAAGGCTGCTTGTTTCTTCCCTGGTATTGCCTTTTTGATTCTAACCACTTTGAATTTCTTGCTGTGGGGAAGTCACAGCACAGGAGCTATTCCATTTTCTCTCTTTGTTATTCTACTTCTACTTTGGTTCTGTATCTCGGTTCCACTCACCCTTGTTGGTGGATATTTTGGGGCTAAGGCACCTCATATTGAATACCCTGTTCGAACCAACCAGATCCCTCGGGAAATTCCCGCTCAAAAGTACCCATCCTGGCTGTTAGTTCTTGGTGCTGGAACTCTACCTTTTGGTACCCTTTTCATTGAGCTTTTCTTCATCATGTCTAGCATCTGGATGGGGCGAGTTTACTATGTCTTTGGGTTTCTGTTCATTGTTCTGATCCTACTAGTTGTGGTTTGCGCTGAAGTATCTTTGGTGTTAACTTACATGCATCTCTGTGTGGAGGACTGGAAATGGTGGTGGAAATCCTTCTTTGCTTCTGGTTCAGTTGCCATATACATATTCTTGTACTCCGTAAACTATCTCATATTTGATCTTAAGAGTCTGAGTGGACCTGTCTCTGCTACTCTCTACTTGGGGTATTCTCTCTTCATGGTTCTTGCAATCATGTTTGCAACAGGCACAATTGGTTTCCTTTCTTCTTTCTGGTTTGTGCATTATTTATTCTCTTCAGTAAAGCTGGATTGAAAAAGCTTCTCCAAACACAAGAATTGGCACATTGAAGAGGTAATTGGTTTTTAAAAAGGCTTGAGCGAAAAGAATTCAACCCTTACATTAGTAAATCATCTGTTCCTTATTACTCTGAGCTCTACTTTGTTAGGAAACTTTGGTAAATGTAATAACAATAATTTCGCCAGTTTTGCATAATTCTTTATTAGATGTCTATGATGCATGATAATGAAGTACGAGTTTGTATTTGCATTCTGATGTATTGTTGGCCTATTTAGGTTGTACTGGTAACTTCATTTCGGTACTAATACTATTTACTTCGTTATTTTCAATTCGAATGCAATGAGTACGGTTCATCACGTTTTTCTTTTGATCTGTTTTTACATTTCTTTTTACTCTCAAAAAATGCTTTTAGTGATACAAGGATATGTTGATGGGGTTCTCAGCCAGCCCCATTGTTTTTGAAATTTGGATACCTTCCTAATTGTGATACCATGACCATGGCCATGACCATAATTACTTGGTTGCAATTTCACCAAACGTAACCTCCTAGTCCTTGACGCATATTGAAGTAGAACTCTTACATACAGAATTGCTGTGCCTCTATATTAAAGGATCTGCACCAAAGAAATCACTGAATTCTAATTGCTTGTGTTCACATCTGGGTCTATATTTGTTGCAGATATTATACACGGTCATATAATAACATTTTATAAAAATTAATTTTAAAATTCTAAAATCAAATATATTTAATTTTAAAAATATATTTTAAAACTAATTTTTATGAGATTTAATATATATATATATATATATATATATATAAAATTCAAAGCTGAATGTGATTTTCCTTGTCAAGTTTGAAATTGCACATCCCTATAAACTAATTGGTTTAATGATTGCTGTTTATAAATCCTAAAGAAACAGCAAATGACTCTCTGCAACCTTTATGTCCAAACAAGGCAAATCAAAGATAGGAAAACTGCTTTCTCGTTGATTCATTAATTATTTAGAGGTAAGAGCAAAAAATAACAGACCACAAGAAAAAGTGTACCGCTTCACTATTCTGGTAATATCATCTTATCTGCTCCCAGCTTTATACTCGATATCAGTTAATTCATCAATGCCAATGACTATTTGTCTTATTGTTAAGGAGAAATCTTAAGATCAGGTAAAATTACAATATATTCAACTGATTTTGTAGTTGATTATATTGCCTGAAGTAAATGAGGGACTATTCAAAGGTGCAGTTGTCCCCTAAACTAGTAAGACAAGGCAATTAAGTTTATATTAACCTAACAACTACTAAAAGCCGCAGCCTGGGAATCCGGAGGAATCAAAATAACCAGAATTCAAGTCGGACTCCTGCTGACCTGCTTTGAATTCTTAAAATTCCCAGAATCATTTACCAAAATTTTCTGAGTCTAAGATTTAGAAATAGTCCATGACAAGAAGCCCTCCCATCAGAGTCACATAAAAAGCAGCTCGCACACAACAACAGAAAAATTCGAGAGCCCTTTGGAAGAAGATTAAGACGACTGGAACAGATCAACACTGATTCCATGGACCACTAGCTACCTAAAAGGATGAAACTGCCATCTGTCCTACAAAATGGAAATCCAAACGAGGACAAAATGGAAATATATCGGAAATGATGCTGTGAATTATCTACAAAAAATTAAGCATACAAGCAAATACAGTGGCAAGATAAGTAAAAGAAAAAAAAAATTAAAGACCACAATGGAACGCAGGCCCAAAGGACAACAATTATCTCCATCAGTGTATGCTTAGCACGTTGACGAGAGCCCAAGGCATGATGATATCACCAAGTCATTTCCAGTTTCTACTCTTGACATTTTAGCCTCTTGTTTGCCGAGTATTGTATGACTTGCAATTTGGGCATTTTCGAGCTAGGACATGGAACCGAACTTCTGACTTTTTCCCACAATCATTGCAAAGGATTGAAACCTGTTAATCACAATTAAAATTTGTAAACAAACAAACCTATAATAGGAGATGCTTCCATGGAAATGAATCCCAACTAAACTCATTTCAGGTTTGCACTCAAAAATAGATAGATACTCGTTTTTGTATAATACATGGTTTATCAGTAGGGCTCTCAGCTCTCATAAAAATACACAAAAGGACAGAATAAGTAACATAGAAGAGGAGATTGAGATCACAAACCATTTTATTTTGATACAGTTCTGACATTGGTGTAGCTGCAATCTCCTTGTCAAATTTCTCCCAAACCTTTGACATGTCACAGACTGACTTGGAGCACAGAGGACAGGCATATCTGTTGCAGTAACCGGCATAGCGGTCAAAAATATTGAAATATTGCAAATAACATGAAATAGTTAAACCTGAGATAGAACAGAAGCACTCACTGGAAATGGTTCCTCATCTCTTTCAAGCAATCTGTGTGAATGGTATGTCCACATGGCAGAACAGTTACATCATATCTTGACTCAAACAAAAACTGCACATCCAAATTGTAGTTCCCAGTTACGTATATCAATTTATTAATAAATTTGATGGTAAATAGGAGAATGTTTCATTAAAGTTACCTCAAAGCATATAGGACAGTCATGATGCATTGCTCCTTCCACACAAGGATGGCTGTTTTTCGGAAGAATTGAATAGCAGCAACCTTTATAACACAAAAGGAAAAGGATACAAGTATTGGTAATCTTCAAATATCTAACAAGCTCTAACACAAAATTATATAAGATAGATCCAGATTAGCTTACCACACTTGTAGCAATGGAAGAAGTTCTCCCGTCCTCCAATTCTGGAACAAAATATCGTTATTATTTATTAGTGACAAGGACAAGATCAATGGACAAATGCAGTGACATGATAAAGAAAAACATAAGTGAACAGGGAATAAATAAGGAAAATAATTTCATAAACAATACTAAAACAGTTGGAAAAAAATATGTTTTGTCGGCAAAAACTAAGAGTTGTAATAAGACTGTCGTTTCCCAAAAATTGAAGGATATGAAGAAAGCAATGCCAATTTGAACTTAAAGAGATACATCAGTATCTGCCAATCACATTGAGGTTCTACAACAATTTCAAATTTTGGATAAAAATTCATCAATATAACATATGATAACGACTTTCTTGGAGGATAAATTGGTTTGCAGAAAACCATTACAGCACAAAAAAATTAAGGCAAAACCATACCTACAGATCCCACAACCGTCACAATGATACTGTCTCTTTGATGTCTGCAAAGTAGAAACAATGTTAGTATGCCAGTAAATGAATTCTGTTTAATCTTTGTGCAAAAATAGAAAGAGCAGAGACAAGAAGACAAAAGTCACAAAAACATAAAAGATGGAAAACCCAAGATTCACATTCTTAGGCTACATTAGAGAATTGTTAACCTCTTACATCATCATCAAAGAGTTTGCAGGCCTTACAGAAATATTTCCCCATGCATACACCACAGTTAATGCAGACTTGATGGACCTGTTCAGAATGAAATCAAAAGCAAATATGCTTAGGGGAAGTCCTACTACATATAAGCACTAGATTATGCTAATTAACTTTTCCCTGTCATCAAGAAGACTATATTCCTCTTAGACATGCATACCTTAAAGGTTCCAGGTTTAATATTGACATCTTTCCTCTCAAAAGAAAAATGCTTAATGGAACACCCATAAAAATGAATTAGACTAATTTACCTCTTGTTCCGTGCCACATAGTGAACATATGACCTGGTAAAAGTTAAGGGGAAAAAAATCAAATGTCACCAATATGAAGCATTATTACAATTGACATGTCACCCAATAAAAAGAAAAAATTTGCATTTTACCACAGGGTAGAAAATGGATATAATACCTGACTAACTTGATGGCGTGGAAGATCATGCCTCAGCTTCTGGTCAACATTGATATTGTTCTGCACATAATCAATAATTAATTGAATGTTAATGTTATTAAAATTAATAAAAGGATTTTTTTTTTTTTTTGGATGATAGGATGAGATAGTTCTCAACTTGCCAGTTCTATATTAGATTTGTCATAGCTACTGTTAGAAATTTTCAATAAAACCAAGCACATATTAACTTCATGAACCTTAGAAAAATGCAAGATAAACACTCACATGAGCTTTAAGTGTTCTCCTTAATAATAGCATTCTCAAACAACCATGTGAAATCGAAACCAATTTATGTTAACCATTAAATATTTAAGGTTAAGAACCAACCTTGGACTCATTATGACAGTGGCGACAATCAAAGATCTCACCACAACAAGGAGCTTTAATCCGGCACCTTCTTCGATAATGTGAGCAACTAGAGAAAAAAAGGAGGAAAATAACAGCACATGATGTTAACCAAGAAACAATGGAAAGAAACCTGAATGCAAATAAATTTAAGTGAAGCAAAAGATTAGAGCTTACCCATACTCCACAAACCCCTTCTCCAGCAATTCAGTAACTTCTGCCTCATTTGATTCTTGTTTGGGCATGGTATCCCCACAAGATTGCTGTGAGTATGACCCCTCTGACTCTTCATCATTTATTTTGCAGCCTTCATTTTGTTGCTGACAGAAAAGCTCTAGTTCTTTGGATCCAGAATGCTTAATTTCCACTTCCTCCATTGGAAATGACATCTCCAGATCAAACCGTATCTATCTAACAGCTGGCAATAAGAAACCTGCAAATAGCAACACATTTAGCAAAGACCTAAGATTTTAAACACATCTAGTGGCTTGAACAAGACAGGCAAACACTCCATGACATTGTTGCTTTCTTCTATACTGCTGCAGACCAATTGAAATCAGCAACAAAATAATCCAAGAAAGGTCGAACAGCTCCAATCAGCATTACTCCAAGAGAACGATTCATCAAAATAAGTAGAACTACTATAATCCCACACAAATAACAATAATGCAGCACTGAGGAACTCCAGAGCCTCCAGCAGTGAATAGAAAGCAATAGCATTGCATGAACACTTGATTGCTTGAAGTTCTGGGCCCAAATCCAACTATACTGGAAACGACCAATAGATGTCCCAACCTATGGTAAGAGCAATAGATCACAGAATCAAACATGTTCTATAATGCAAAATAAAAACAGCAGAAAGACTGATTGCAATTTGGCTGTGTTATTGTCCACAAGGACAAGCCTACCTCCATCAGCATTTCTGCACCAAGTCTCCTCTGACAATTGTACTTACCCATCACTTAATACTTTCACATTAGGACTTGAGGAGGTGTATCTTCATATAGAATTGAGCTCATTTCAACCTAGTTATTTCTGTCCCAAAATCAAGTTCAACATGGGAAATCTCCAAACTACCAGAAGATTTGCAGTCATGAGTAAACCAACCTGGTAGTTCACCACTCAATAAGGTAACTTATATCTAGGAAGATAGGAAGATTGTAGTCAATGCCCAATTAGCGGAGATTCTTTTGTTTCTTGTTGGTTAAGATCGACCCTTATAGGGATTCTGGAGAGGAATTTTAGCTGGGTGGATAAAAAGGCTGACAGCATAATTTTGGACAAGGACACAAAAGTTACCTTGTCTATATGTTATTGCCACTCTTCAAGAGATTTGAAAGAAATCTAAGTTCATTTGGAAAAAAGAACCAAGAATGAATGCCAAAGGGATGATAAACCTAGAAGCAAGAGTTTGTCAGCAACAAAATCATGCTAATGTGGTAAAAGGTTCAAATGTGATGAAGAAATGAATAGACAATTGCTACTTGGAGAGTTATCTATCACTGATATATAAATTACAAGTTTATCATCCCACACGCTTAAGCCCTTGATTGAGTAGATTAACAAATTCCACAACCTGTAAAGATAATGAAGTATTGCAGAAAAAAGGCAGGCAAACCAACTAATCCTAAGGGGTTCACCGACTTTTAGCATCTTCAACACCTGCAGCTAACGTTAAAAAAAAGGTCTGCACGAAAATCCCTAACAAATTCCCATTATAAGCTGCAGGAGCAATTGAAATTCAAAATCACGAAGTCAACTTTGTGGTGTCCTTGGTTAGCTGACAATCAACCACACATTCCAAGTGTTGAAGTAAACATAAGTTTTATATAGTTTCCCACATACAACTAGGTGTTGCAATCTCGAAAGTCTCTTCTATGGCATTTTCTTGTCCAGAGAAAGATATCACAACATGTCACAAGACCAACTTGCCAAAGTGACCCCTAAAATGCGATTGTAAATTGATTATTATTCTTTTATATTCTGCTCAAGGAGGACATAAAAGTTATTCAAACCCCCCCCCCCCAACCAAAAAAAAAAAAATCTAGTGTTAGACAACAGAAAATTTGGCTGCCAAGCAAAAAGCAGACCAATTATAAAACCAAGCTGTAATATAACTTTGTTTTCGCCATTCTACATTTGATTGCAGAGGTATGGCACATTACCTAAATTTAAAACTGTTAGGTTAATACTAAACAAAACTAATCATTTTTTTATCATTTGATCCATGAACATGCCTCGATGATGCATCACGTAGGTTGGCTGTATACTCCCATGAACAAATAGTAACACAAAAAACACCATAATTTGATAGATAAGCTGTGGAATTGCTTAGCAACAAGCAATATCTAAGATAGTATCCTTCACAATACAAATGCAACTGACATGCAATGCTTATGCCAAAGGCTCTAAACAGCAGGTCACATAACTCATAATATTAGGAAACACTTAAATAACCACTACAAACAACTACATCCTCTAATGGAGTGAACTTTAATAAAAAAAAAAAAATCCAATAAGAAGATTCAATCAATAAAGTAAAAATAAAATACGTATGAATTAACTTTCAGGCCTAAATTAAATTCCTACCTAGAATTGCAAACAGAAATTAGCAGCAGCAAGGAGACAAACAATAACAAAACAACAGCAGCGGAAGCAAAAAGAACACAACCATGACCTAAAATCAATCAGGCAAAAAACGAATTAACAATTTTTTTTTATATCACACGCATTCTTCTACGCACAATCAAATTCCATCGAAGTTTACAATCAATCAGTCAATCAAAAATTCGCGATCTTATGCTGAATAGGAGCAATTGATTCAATCATCTATCATTTGTGCAACACGGTTGATCATCAATTAAATCATATAAAGCCAATCAGTTCTCTTCAGTCCTATGCCTCCACTTGATTATTAAGTACTCTCAAAGAGAACGATAAAGAAACTTGAAACTATAAATTTCGTCTATATTTTTGCCGAACTAAATCTTTTGAACACCTCAGGAGGTAACGCATGATCTCAAGCAACTTTTCCTTCTCTTTTGTTCAATTTTCTCAGAAACTAAATCGCCTAACAAAGAAAATCAACAAATTACCACTTTCAACAATAACATTGGCCTGACACATTACCTAAACAAATAATTCAACAACAATCAAAAATAAAATTACTAACTTCAACAAATTTTTATAGAATAACGAACTTTCAGTCCAGGAAAATAGCCCGATCTGACTAACAACAACAGCGTGATCCCGACGAGAACGCCTGATCGCAAAGATATCCTTTCAGTTTCTCAAACAGAGTTTTTTTTGGGTTATAACAGAAATAAATGATAATAAATTTTTATTTGTAAAAAAGGTGCAGATCTAATCGAAGCACAGCCATTTTATAGCTGTTGAAAGAGAAAAGAGAGGATCGGTTCCTTCGATTTCTCGAGACTTCGAAAATTTTTGCCCTTCACAACATCCAGAAAACGAAAGCTGTTATCCTACAGGTGTCGTCTTTATCATTATTGTCAAAGCTGACAATTTACACGCCATTTTGGCGTATTCACCCTTTTACTTCCTTTCAAAATATCTCATTACACCGTTCATAACTTAAAAAGCGTTATAATCCTCTGCAAACGCAAGCATTTTATAAACCTTGCACCCTTATTATGAAAAGTTGGATAAAACAAAATTTGATCGGAACGAGAAAAGATCGAGACTTAAATTGCTTATTCTGAGTTTGAGCGTAGAATAATGTGTTTGACAAAAAGTCGGTGACGTAGGACGGTCCAATTATGGAAAGAAAATGAACGGACAAGATCTGATGTTACGGCAACAAAATTGAGTACGACACGTGTTGATAATCTGGATGAGATATGAGATTGAGGACACATGTATATTCTGCCCGACAACTAGGACTGGTTGTGGGATGCGTAGGCTGAAAATTCGCGTTGGCTGACGTGGAGGATTACTACGATATTTATTTATTATTGCAAAAATATCTACTAAGACGTAGTAGTAAGAAAACGTAATTTATTACTTAAAAAAATTTTCCAATTCTTATCCTCCATAAACATGAGAGATTCTAATGTGATACGGAGCATTGATAATATAAAATATTGAAACCACTAATGAAAATTCGACACGTGTCCACCTGAATGATAATCAAAACCTCATCAATTATTGGGGTTCTTGCCCAGACGAAACAATATTTCACGTGGTAGATTAACGGCTTAATCCAATTTTTTCACATCATTGTCCGGACTTTAATTTTTTAATAAAAAAGATGAGCTTTTAATTTTAATCAATTAGATTATTTTTTTAAAGATGAGTTATAAATGTTTTAATTTGAATTTTAAATATTTTGTATGTTATTTTTAAAATAATTAAATAAATTAATTGAATTAAATTATATTTTTACTTTAATTTGAGCATACAAAATAAGATTTTATTAAGATATTATTAATTAGCAGGAAATTTTTAAATTAAGAAAATGCTACAGACTGTGCATATATTTGAATCAAATTATATGAAGCATGAGAGCACAAGTTATAATTATTAAATATAGTAGCTTTTGTGATAATCATAAATTAATAAGTAAGTAATATATATGTGTATTTTTTAATTTTAAAAAAATCAAATAATAAAAGATAATTTATAAGGAAATTTATGAAAAAATTATATTTGAAAATTTTAAATTTAAATAAAATTATTTTGTAAATGATTGTGGTTGTAATGTGTATTAGATTGATTGTTTAGTTTAGATTTTTTAATTTGGTAAAATAAATATTAACTTTTTATTTGAATTTAAAATATATCCTACATGTCATAAAAATAAGTTATCCATATAGAGATCCACATCTATATGTTTATCTGATAACATACTTTGTAAAAATATAAATATATAATTATTAAAAAAAATGTCTTAAGAGATAATATATCATTACATTTGAAATTTTTAAATTTAAAAATAAATCTAGATTATTCTAAAATTTATTAAGAAATATAACATATTTATATTAAATTTTGTTGCCAACAATTTAAAAATTATTACATAGGATATAAAAAAAGCAAATTTATTAAGTAATTACTTATATGTCCAAAAAAATAAAACTTAAAAAGATAATGTATTATTACATTTGAAAATCTTAAATTTTAAAAATATATTTCTAGATTATTAAAAATTCATTTAATTTAAAAAGAAAATATATTTAAATTAAATTTTGTTGTTAACAATTTAAAAGTTATCAATGTAAATATCCACACAAGCAAATTTTTTAAATAATTTCTTATGTGTCAAATAACAAAACTATCCACATAAGCTTTTATATAAGCAATACTTATCATATACTTTTGTATTATATAATATAATATTATATATTATTTAAAAAAACTATTAAAATTAAAATTAAAATCAAATAATTTTTTATACAAAAATTATAGTTTTAAAATAAAAAATTAGATATATTAAGATTTAAATTTTAAATTTTTAAAAATCACTTCTTAAACGATTGCATAAACTAATTTTAACAAAATTAAGAGTTAAAAGACTAATTTTATTCCTCATTAAAATCAAATAATGGCTAAATGATAATCTATTTTTTATTAACATTGAATTTTTTTATTTATAAATGTGAAATTCCGTGTAAAAGTAAAAGAATGGCCGTTGATTTGTATGATTTTATTAAAACTTTACATGAGAATTGAACATTACCAACACTGATATCTCCTGAAAATATTAAAAAAATAATTTTTTTAGGGGAAAGACATATATCAATCATATATCAATATCAATAATTTGAAAGGATTATATTTGAGTTAACTTCTAAGATTCGTGCGCGATCTGTGACACATGGGCAATCTCCAACGAACATTAGTAGCCAAAAACGAGTAGTTCCTTTGTTTTTTTTTTTTTTTTTAAACAGAAAACGAGTACTTCACTCTTTTAATATTTTAAACTAACAAATTTTAGGAAATTTTTTATGGATATAATTTTTAAATTTACGTATTATTCATTTAAAAAATTTTTAAAAGAGGCTCCATAGATCGTTCATTGTCGCTCACTTTTAATTAGGTGTTTTAAAAAAAAGAAAAAAATCAAATATTAATTTGAATTTGTAATATTTAATTTGATTTAAATCAATTTTTTTATTTGATTAAAATTAAATTTGAATATTAAATTTTTTATATTTAGTTCATATTAAATTTCAAATTAAAAAATAAATGGAACTTAATTATATATTTTTATATATTTTTAAATTTTTATAAAATAAAATATATATCTAAATTTATTTAAATAAATTAAATATTATATTAAAATAATATATAAAAAATAAATTTAAAAATTTAAAAACAAAATTCGAATGAATTTAAAAAAATTAATTCATATCAAATTAAATTTTAAATTTTTATAATATTATATATTTTTCAAAAAATTCAAACCTAATTTGATTTGATTGATATCATGACTCCCTTAAATCACATGCTTGAGTAGGTAAGAGAATTTAAACTTTTACTTTAGTAGCCTTGCTTTTCCTTCTTTTTTAAATGTAAAGTAAATAGAGCTTATAGATCGTTTATGAATATATTTGATTTTTATTTATTTATATTTATTTATTAAATTTAATAAACGATTCTTAAATATTTCTTAATTTTATCATATCTTAGCAAACTCAGGCACAAGCTTGCTCTTTTCTATTATTCCTTTTCTTGTTTTTTTAGTCTGGCTCTTGAGAATCTTTTTCTTCTCTCACTTTTTTTTTTTATTTCTCATTTTCTCTTGCATCTCTTCGTTATTATCATTTGTCAAGTGCCTACAGAATACCTTATTTGTCTTTCTCAAACTCTCATAAAAACAGATATCATTTTACAAAAATTTTGTAAAAAAAAAAAAGTTAAATTTTTTTTCTTACTTTTTTTTATCTTGATTATTGATAAAAAACTTAAAGCTAATTTGAATTTGAGTAATTTAAGGATTGAGCTAGGATTGCTGTCAAAGTATCAATTGAATTGTTGATAAATAATTTATCTATTTTTTAACTTATTTTTAAATTGATTTTGATATTGAGTACCTAAGGTTCTAAGTTTTTTTTTTTATTATTTTTACTTTTATTTTTGCAAACTTATTGCTTTATTCTGATAGTGTTGAAATTTTTTTTTTCTTATAACATGAGCTAGTGATCCATGAGTAGGAAAACAGAAATAGTGGCAATAACAGTTTGTTATTGTCGTTATTTTTCGTTACACTATTTTTTTGTAACTATTACACACCATTTTGACAGCGAATGAATTTCTCAATCACATTTTTTTCAATAGCGGTGATGAGTGGTAATGCTTCCACAATTTTACGACCGCTATTCTGCTATTAAATCACTATTTGATTCTCTTATTTAAAGATCAAAGAAGATATTAAGATTTTGAATTTTATACTTGTTGGATGTCACCTCTTTACACTAATTGCATAAACAAAATAAATTAATATTGATTCGTAACAGGAGATTAAGAAAATATACCCTCCAATTTCTAACATTTGTAGCATTTTTCTTCAACATCAGATTTGTGCTTCTATAATTCATATTATGCAGCTTGTATGAATTCCAATTAACAATGTTTCTCCGATCTCTGAAACTATGCATATTTGATGATAACAGGATCTGCAAAAGCACCAATGGTTAATAGTAAGAGATAAAAATTCGGACGAGCAGAGCAGGTGGTTCTCATCCCATAAAATTACATGATCCAGTTGTGTCTTCGTTGGCCAAGAAAACCAAAACCCAAAACTCAATTTAAAGACAGCATTCAACATTTCTTGTTTTCAAAAGGAAATGTTTTATAATTAAGGCACAGAAATCAAATCATTCCTCGAGGATTTAAGTATCAACAGCCATTTTCATTCTTGAGTTAAATTACTCAATTGAATCAACTTGCTCCGGATAACGTGGAATCTTTGAACTGCTGATTATTTGAAGACTATTTTGAGAGAGTTATAGCGTATCACCCTATTATGTACAAACACAACTTTGAAGGAAGGAAAAAAGGTTTGATTTTACCCACGGTATTACATATTAAGTCCTTTTCGTCTCCACTTCCGACGATCCTCGCCACATTCATCTTTCCATCTATAACAGATGTCAGAGAGAATGATAAACTGAATCAAATACAATGATAGAAGTTAAATAAAGCATCATTTAGACATATACTTGAAAACAAAAGGCTTACATTGGTGCTAAATTTACTGCAAATAGCTCGGCTCTCCCCATCACTGAACTCAACAGATCACTGCCATATTTTTCCAGGGCTGTGATCACATCACTGGAAAACATATACCATGTAACAAGGTCAGATGGTCAGTATATAAAAAGCTCAAACCTGCAGAGGAGAATAGCACTAGTTGAACGAATTATTCCATTTTGTTAGTTTCTTACATGCACAGAAATTTTTTTACCTAGGAAAAATAGAATTAATTTGACCATCCTGGAAAGAGCTCTTACTCGCAAATTTGCCAATTGCAAGAAAAATCTTTTACCAGCTTTTTGCAGGAGAAAGCCAGAAAAGGGTATTGCGAGCAGATACTTAGGACTAGTGATTACCGTGTCTGCAAGCTTGCATGGATGTAATGGCATATTTGCCTAGTAATAACTAATTAGAATGTGCTTGTATTCAAGTGCGTACATGCACGAGTGTTAATGCTTGCACATGTTTAGGAGCATGTATGTCTCTTATGATTACTGGAATGCCCAGATTTTGTTTCTTGACCATCTATAAATATGAAAACCCACATCAAAGTGATGTGCAACAGGATGATGTAGAGTTAAAATTTATGAACTATGTGCTTCAAATGTTGGAGTGAAAAACCCCTATCCTGCGGATTTCATAGTTGGCTAGCAAATATATGAAACCCTGGAAGCATTTCATTATCTAAGCAAGTCTGATCACATTGGGTTACAACAGAAAGTTAAATTTCAAACCATTCAATACTTCTGTCATGATTCATGACTCACTAGCAACTTATTCTTGGAAGTAATTCCAGGACCTGTTCTTACTCTCAGATGACGCTCTTGATGGGATAAAGGTTCGTTTGTTTCGTGGAAAATGGTTTTAAGAAAATGATTTTCACATTTTCAAATGTGTGACAAAAAACTAACGAGTTAATAGAAAATAATTTGTCGGTCAATAAAAAATAAAGTTATTTTTTAAAAAATTATCTAACAGATTTGAAAAGGGAAAGACATTTTAAAAAAAAAAACTATCTATAAGAAAAATTATTTATTAAAATTTTTTAGCCTAATTTTAATTATAAATAATATTACATTAATAAATAAATAACATTATATTAATAAATAATATTATAATAAATTAATAATAATTATTATATTAATTAATAAATATTATAATAATATATTAATAAATAATATATCATTAATAAATAATATGCTATTAATATAATATATTAATGAATAATATTATAATATATTATAAATGACATAAAAATAATAAATAGTTTTATTTTAAGTATTTTTTATATTAATATAATATTTTAATATTAAATATTATTATTAAAATAGTTACTTTTGAATATTAATAATTTTAGTAATAAATAATTTCAATATATTTTAATAATAAATAATTTTTAATATTTTAATAATTATATTAATACCTTTTAAAAAAAAAACAAAATTTTAAAAAACAACCAAATAACAAAAAATATTTTTTATTAACTCATCCAAATAGAAAATCTCTTTCAATTCAAAAAATGTAAATACTTTTTAGAAATCTTTTTTTATAAAATAAACAAAGCCAAAATAGTGGATTCCACTCTAGGTGTAAACAAGTAGGATATAAATGAATGAGCATATATTAATGATTTCTTTGTTTATTTTTAGCATTGTTCAGGATTGGCTCATGTTCGATAAAAAAAATTATATACAATATTCAAATTCAGTTCGTTTAAATAGTAAAATTTTTTAGATAAATTTGAATTCAACTCATTTAAGTTAAATAAACCCATTCATGAATATTAAATAAATATATGCATAAATATATATATAAATGAATATATTCATAAATAAATAAACAAATCATAATCAAACATATAATAAAATTAGGATAAAGGGTAAATATATAATATTATTATTAGTAATAATAAACGATTTATATACAAATGATAGTTTTAAACATTTGTTGGTAAATACAAATGAACTAAATAATTTTTTTTTGTATTTGTCTAATAAACAAACTTAAAAATATTATTTAAAATTATTTGTTAAATTTAATAAATAAACATAAATAAAAAAAATTCTAAATTAAACATATTCACAAATGATTCATAAAAAAATCTCTTCATATTTTTTTAAATCCTAATTCCACTCCCACGGTTTAGTGTAATATTCAATTAGGAATTTGAGATACGGGTATAAGATAATTAGCATATGCCTTTAAATACTATGAATTTGATACAATCAATACAAAATACCGTGACTTGCGTTTTCGTGAATGAGATCTCAACCCTTAGGTGACATTTGGTCCGGGAAAATACATTTTTTTTAAATCTTAATAATAGATATTTGATTCTTACATTTAATTTAGAGTAATTTGATTATGGAAGAAAGCGATAAATTTCTAATAATATTCAAAGTTATGGAATCAAAAACCTACATTACTTTGATTTCTTGGATTTTGATGGAAAAGTTACGTAATTTCAAATTTTGACTTAAATAAAAAATTATAAAATAATTCTTACCCTTTTAAAAAACATGCCTAAAAGGGACTGAAATTCAATTGTAGGTTTTTATATAAAAAAATAAATTTTATAATGTATGTTTTCCATAAGCATAAGAAATATTCAATCTCAATACACTACAATTCTGCCGGCTACTTCAGCTTATTTACATATTTATAAGCTCAGATCAACTTATAAACATACAAGTTTTCTGTCATTTCTGTCACTGGGAATGATTTTCACACCAAATTAGTGGGTTAAAAGAGTTATTTGACATTTAAAAACAGAGCTTCTCGTTTTGTTTTGCTGGATATTCACGCTTGTCATGAACCAACAGTCACGAAATGAAAATGAAGGACCACCTGAGAACAGATGCTTTCCTGGAAAATATTTACTTACTGCAGCAAGTTTGTCATATTGCACCTTAGAAATATGATGTACTAAACCCGCAAGGTTTTCACATGCTTTTCTGATCAAATTCACGATGAAAGCTACAGACACAAAGGTTATAGTTATACTATATTTTTTAGTAACTTCAGAAGAAAAACTAAATCTAGTCATTGCTGTCAGAAAATCCTAGTGAATTTCCAAAATAAACATATTTCACGAAGGATCCTCTGTTTTTAATGTTATACTGCTGCGCGGGCATAGACAGAAAATTAATTCACTTTTAGAGAACTTGAGAAAGAATAAAGAGCAAAAATTTTTTAAAAAATAAAACCTACTCTTAATTTTTTTCTTTCTTTATTTTATTTTTCACCTTTCATATAAAAAATATATAAAAGAAAACCAGCTTTATTTCCTTCTTTTTTATTTCATCACCTTTTTTTCCTACCCTCTATTTCCTAACCTTCCCAGTTACTGCCAAAAATTGCGTAGAGAAAATTGTTGATTGGGCTCACAAGTGACAATGACCGCTGGAATTGGCTTCATTGCATTCGAGTACTACAACACTCACCCCATCACCAGAAGCCCCTAAATGCCACATCCAAAATGGCTAATATTGCCATCTCATTGCAAAAGGATGGCAACCGAGGATGATTAGCATGACCAGAACTGATCTAATCTATGGAAACAAACTACACACACGTCAAACTACCCAGTCTACCACATGTTGCTGTTATTTCTTCAAGCAACACACAAAAACATGGAACAGCCTGTATATAATCGCTTCGAAAATCATCCCTTGCTTCAGACAATTCAAGATCAATAAACACATGAAACAATGAGGAAGCAACAAAAGATTCTTGCCGTCTAATAAATCTGTGTGAAAATTTATAAGATAATTACTTACAGCATTTTCTTTTTCTTTTTTTTTTCTCATTTCAGAAGTCCACGTCTGTTTGATACATATCTACCAAATGCTCCAAACATTTCAATCAGACAGGAAATTGTAATTTGATGCCAAAGGGGTGCTATGTTATTTGGGCCACCTGCTACACTGATATCAAGGCTAAGGGGAAAAAAAGGAACAAAATAAGAGGTAAGGGAAAAAAATCTGTACAAAGATCGGCTGCCAAACTTCCATACACCCCTTACCAGCAGGATCAAAACAACAGTTGCACTGAAATGAGTAACCTGCCATTTGGATTAAAAAACAACTTAATCGCTGAAAAAGCTGACAAGTTGCATAAAAAAACTGCCATGATTTGTAGCAGAAGTAAAAACCTACTCTTACTGTTCACATCTCTCCTGTTAGAACTTTTACACTGGATCAGTCAACGACAACTCTGGCCACCATCACTGAGAGAGAAAAAACAGTGTCAACTCTTTAGGTACTCTTCAATAAAAGAACTGCATGATGCTGGCTAGTTGCACTCTGTCAACACTCCATATTTCATCAGATCATTCTACTCATCTCCAGTTAAGTCCTCGGAAGATTCTTTGATTGCCTCTGCAGTCATGAGAGCAACCACAGCCTTGTGAATTGCTAGATCTGCTCTGAAAAGCAATCTCTGAGCTTTTTCTCTTTTAAATTTGGCTGTTTTAAGCGCATGCTGGGCTGCACTAGATGCATCACGCATCCTGAACTCATCAATATCAGAATTATCCAACTCTTCAGGGCTATGCCTTTGAAAGGCATATGAGAAGTAGTGCCGCTGGCTTGGCCACTCAGAAATGCCCATATTCCACTGATGACTTCCACTTCTCTTGGCAATCAGTCTCTGATTATATGACGCCATCATTTGTGTGTCATTTGACAATAGAAAACTGCCAAATTTCTTTGACTTGTTTCTTTTAAGTTTCAGGTGATGATTCTTATCAAACCCATCACTGCCCAAGGAGAAAAACCCCATGATGCCTGCATCTCGTGGTGAAAATACCCTTGGTGATGCCTGAGACAGTGACACTGGGGAATCTTCTACAGATTCATAGTTATGCACAGGATATAGAACCTTGTCATCCCCAAACAGGAACCCATTTGATCTTCTTCCTGAAATGACAAGAAATTAAGTCAGACTCACAAAAGAAAACATAATAAAAAAGCAAGATGAAAGTGAAATCACAAAGAACATTACCAAAAGAATGACAACCCTCGTGATCTCCAAATGCAGGGTTGCTTTGACCAGACACTATAATTTTACGCTGGGATCTTTGTTTTGACCCTTTATTTGGAACTTCCAAACCCCGGGGTTTCAAACAGAAAGCAAACATGGGTGGCTTCTCAATAGCTGGTGAGCATCCATTGGAGAGATTATGGTTAACTTTAGACATAGCTAGCTCCCACTCTCTCACTTGCTGTTGATACCTTTCCCACAATGGTGGCTGAATGAAAATACCAAATATTTAGCATAAGTTACACAGCATAAATGTTCAAGATAAAACAAACACATGAACAGCAAACAAACCATGGTAAACAAGGCAAAATTGTCTGAAGTAAGAGCTTCGGGATATTAAGTGTAAAATTCTGAGGGCTCTACAATTAGATAGGCAATAGATGCAACACAAATCAGACAACCCAACATATACTTGATAATAACTAGGCTTTAAAAAAAGAAAAGAAAAAGCAAACAAAAACAAACAAAAAGACAACTTACTCTTGGTGACAAGCACAGAGGAGGTAATGAATTTTAAGTTTTCTTATTTGGAATGATTGGGACCAGCCAATAACATATAATTACACAAAATATAATTTATACAACAGTGTCAGAAGTCAAAAGCAATCATCTTTACCCAGGAACATAATAGCACGAAACGCACCAAAAATAAAAAATTGCAATTCCAAAGTGAAATACACATGGACATCCAAATGCGTGATTGTGTTGGCAAGGAGCAAAGAGAAACAAGTTTGGAAATATAGAAACCAAAGACACATGAAGAACAAGCACAAGACCAATACAACTTATGATGCAGGGCTGCAAGGGGCTGGGGTCTAAGGCAGTTCCCTGATCTGGTTCTTGAGGAAATCAGGAAGAGCTAAATAAAGAAAAGGGTACAGAAAAGATCCCTAAGCTTCACACCGAGGAATCCACAGAAGTCACACCTAAGGTTGATTGCAACAAGCAAACAAGAAGAAAGGAAAAGATGCTAAGCTTCACACTCACACATAAGGTTGATGGAATCACCCAATCACAAAAGCAATAATGCTGGAAATTATCTGACGACAATCTATACCTCAATATGAAAAGTATTTTGATTTACATAGACTTCTATAGTCCCTGATCGGCATGCTATGTTAGGAAAGATCAATTGGCAGAGTGGATTTAAATTTGATTTATCATGTAAATTTTGAGGAATAACGCAAACACTGTGTAAAAATTAGTTAAGACTCAATTGACCTCTACATTTTAGAGAGTACAAAAAGATGAATCCAGAATTTTCATCATGATTCTTTCTTATGCTCTTTCAACAAGTATTACATAATTCTTTCTTATTAGTTTTAGCACATATAAAAAAAATCACTACTCATAATAACTAAAAAAACTTAATTCAGATTTTCATTTTTCATTCTCAAGCTGCTGAGAAGAATTCTTTCCTTTCCTTCACATCACTCATTTCTCCTCTACAACAAGTTGTTCCCATGCTAAGAAGATGGCAAGTACAGATGTTTGAGAAGAAATCACAAATAAATAAAATAATAAATGAACAGTATTAAGACTACTGAATACATCTGCAGAACCAAGTACCCAGTAAATCAAGCGCACTTGCAGCAAAAGATATTGACAAATTCAATCAGCTTGTAATCTAAAAGAAACTAATTTTATAAACATAAAACTGAAGACAAATCCACAGACAGACATTTTGAAAGATACCTGAAGATGCCGAATTAAAGGCATTCCAACTCTCTGCCTCTTCTGCTGCCAATGCTCATAGATGGCTCTGACTGCCTTCATGGAGTCAACTCCAGCCATGAGCTCTTGTATTTCGTCAGAATTAAACTGATCACACTGTTGAGTATACGAGGCCTTCTCAAACATGTCCATAATCTTCTCAAACATTTCATCAGATAATTCCAGTGAGCTGCTGCTAGCATCACTTTCTGAAGATTTACGAATTCTTGAAATCCACTGTTCGTCATCACTATCCATGTCATATAAAACACGGGATGGATCCAAAGCCATTTCAACATCAGTTTCAACCTGACGCAAGTACTTGGAAGAACTGCGAACAAATGTCAATTCTGTTGCATTTTCATCATATTCCTCTATCAAGCAAACCCCAGGAATAGGAATGTTCTTAACCGAAGCTGCACGAACGTTTCGATTGTGGCACTCTTCATGCATCTCCTTGAAAAGTGCCCACTGGCTCCTGTCAGTGAACTCCAAGATCCAATCCTTTCCTCCTTTCCACATCATAGCATGCGTATAACGATTGGTAGACCCAGGATGCAGGAACTGATGTGCCTTGTAAGAATACCTCATAGACCCTGACACTTTCACAGCCAGCTTCCATTCATTATGATCAAAAAGCTCTAGTGCAACCTGCGCTCCACATTCTCGCCATCCTCTGTCACCAATTGTAATTAGTACATTTGCATCACAAGATAATAAGTCCAAGTTTCTTTGGGAACCTCTAGAAACATCAGATGATCTCTTCTCACTAGCCCTCCTAATTCGCTTGTGAGGAAGACCTCTCTGGTTATGGCCTTTATTCTTTGAGCTGTAATCTAAACCTCCAAAGGGCATTGAATAAGATACCTGAGTGCGTGGCTTCTTAGGTCCATTTCCAAAATTATTGTGGAAGAAATCAGCCTTTCCATCTGACCATCCATGGGCATGATAACCAACAGATGAAGAACTGCTTCTAGTACGATGCCATGTACTTCTAGGAGCAGTAGGATTAGGACTTGGGATAATGCCACCATTCATATTGCAAGTCAAATTAGTAGACTGTTGAGTACCAGGTAATTCACTATTAACATGCTTTTCATACTGATCAAAGGGTGGAATCTCAACCCTAATAGCATTCAAAACAGAATTAGACCCAGTACTCTTCTTATCACCATCAATTGGAGACGTTGGTGACAAAATAACTTGCTCAGATTCTGAATGGTCACATTGTTGCTTCTGTAATGGACCAATGACCATGGCTCCAACTTCTTCAGGGTCATGAGAGTTGGCAGAAGTTCCATCATCGATTTGATCACCATTTTCATCCTTCTGTGAGGACTTTTTACAGCACCCATCACCACAAACAGAGAGATCAAGAGCTGTTAACTCAGCGTCAGAAGCAGCATTCTTTGATGAATCCTTCAGATTTTTTTCTACACTACTTTCAAAACTTTGGTTAACACAGCCCTCTCTACTACAACTGTCATCCACCAACAAATTGCCAGAGCTTCCTGGCTGCTCAATAGAGTCATGATCCTGAGAGCCAATGCAAGCACCACTATGTTCCATAAGTAGCTTAAGATGCAAACTAAGAAAGAAAGTAGGTGCAGCACTGAAAGAAAGGGCAAACAGAGGAAGATTTCTGTGCTTATTCTCAGAATTGGAAGAAAATTGGCCAACTTTCAGAAAACTAGGTTCTCTGGAGACACTCATAAGGCTCATACCCGGCCTATACCTTCTCTGCCTTAAACCCTGGTCAGTAGCAAGCAAATTTTATAACATTTAACAACAGCCGTCAAAAAAAAGATATACATTAGATATCTGACAATACAGAAATGAAAAAAAATACTCTTGAGAACCAATGGCTGATAGTTAAATGACCACACAACTAAAAAACAGTACACAAAATCTAAAACTAAATATGGTCTCTTTCAGGCATGGACTTCTTTTTTTCCTTCTTTTTGTGCGGGCAAGTGTGGTATTTAGGGGCAAATAGCAAAAGATAAATATGTATTTCCATGAGAAAACTATAATCACAAGTAAAAGATAAAAAAAAAAAATCAGCTTTGAGGTTTCAATAGCAAAATAACATGGAGAAGTGGCAAACCTCAAGTGATGAGGAATCTCTGCAAGCAGGAGAACCGAGTAGCTGATTAGCTCCATTCTGAAGTGCCTTAACTTTATCATAAGTGCACTCAGACAGAGGTAATTGCCTATTGACAAGACAATGTCTTTTCAGCTTAGAATCCAAGAACATCCATTTTGAATGCTTCACTTCACAGAAGTTGTAAAAAGCAAAGACAATCTGCTTCCTAAAATCTTGGGAGCAAGAAAATTTAAACCTGATTGAAGTTACAGGCAACTGCAGATCAGCAAACTTCCTCTGCTCAATAGGTTGATAAAATACAGTCAGGACCTCAAAAACAAAAGCTACAGCCTGTTTCAGGGAACCTTCAAACAGAAGAAACCTTAGTCCAACTTCATTATCAACAAAAAGGATCTCCAGATGAATCATTGGCCAGACAGTCATCACCGTGCCATACTGACGCAGCAACAAAGTATGAACCAGCCAAAAGCTCTTCATTCCAAATAAATTATTTGAAACAGAGAGCACAGGGAAGCTCAACCCAAACCTGAATTGTTTTGAATGCAATGACGAAATATTTAAATGCAACCGCCCTGCATCATCACTAAACAACAGATCTCCTTCAGAATCCAACCTTTCCAAACAGACATCAAATTCTCCCAAATCCTGAAATTCATTGACAGAACAAAGGTACTTGACAGATTCAGACACACTACCGGTGACACAATTGCCTTCAGAAGCCTGACAAAATAAGTTCTCTTTCTTGCGAAACCGCCTTCTAAAATAAACGATGGGATATTTGCTGTCTTTGGGGCAACTAGTGCTACCCAAGGAAGAACCCTCAACCCTTCTGCCATCAACTGGTCTGTCTGACAATCCAGAGGTACCAAACAATTTAACTTTGTTCCCTTTCAATGAACCGCCATACAGACAACCATTTTCATCCACAGCTTCATCATACGACAACAGTTGCCTTGGAGAACTAAGAGACAAAGCAGATGTTTTCTGTCTCTTCACAGCATGCAAAGGGTAGGATTTGACACGATGACTAGAGCGAGCCAACCAGGAGATAATGGGCTCTGAATCCATATAGCTTCCATTACCACTGTCATCTTCTGTCATGACATTTCTCTTTCCTTTCTCTTTGTTGTGCTTCATGTTCCAGATTCTATTGTCAGAACCCCTATCTCGCCGAGATCTTTTCCGCTCTGACTTGCTAGGAACCTCACTGGGAAAAAGCAAGAGTTTAAATCTCTCAATCTGTAAATTTATCCATTCCTCATCACGGTCATCATATTTTACATGGTGAAGCTTTCTCTCTGTGTCATAGTCATTGACAAGGCCATAATACCAACTCTTGTCTAAAGGCCAAAACACCTTGATTCTTCTATTCAAAACCCACTGCGCATCCAAGTCTCCAGAGAAAATTTCATAAAAATGGCGCCTTTTCCTTGCATTTCCCTTTTCTTTATGACCTTTCCTTGGTCTCAATACTCTACCAGAAGCATCAACAGATGCAGATTCAGAACCAGACAACGTCTTAGACCTAGAACTAGCATTCTCACCAGAAGATAAGAGAAAAGATAATCCATTCTCAGATGGTGATACAGAGACTTTGCTGTTTGAAGAAAAGCCAGTATAGCTTGGGTCAAACCGTGATGATAACATTCTTGCTGCATTCTCTTCAAGATTCTCTTCATCATCTTCTTGAAAATCATCACATGTCTTAACAGAAGGATCTGCTAAACTCGCAGCCTTCTTAGCAACATTTTTACCACCCTTTACTGACTCCCTCTTCTTCCTAGGCTTCCTCTGTGATTGTTTTAACAAAGAGTTGCCATCATTTACAGCTGAGTAACGAGCAACACCATCCTCTTCCTTCAAATGCTGAACTGAACTTGATTCATTGTTTCCATTTTCCCTAAGATCATCAATAAGCTTCTCCTGCTTAACCTTTGAAGACTCATTCTGAGTGCTAGAATCTTCACTGGCTAACTTCACTCCCTCGTTAACACCAACTGTACTACTAGATTGCCCTGCCAACTTCAACACTTGATCACCCTCAAACTTGTTCCGCCCCACAAACCCACGTTTACGCCTTGGGATCCTAGTACCACTGACACCCAAACTAAGTGAAATGCCATTAGCACTGCAACCATTCTTTGATTTCTGACTCAAACCCAACTTCTTCAAACTTTCTGGATGATGCAACCCCGAATTGAACCCCCCACTATACAATTCAGTTAAACTCTTGCTACTATTGCTATCAAGGACAGTTCTAAAACTACTGAGAGGCAGAGCTTTCCTACTCTTCTTTCTCTTGTTATTATTATTACTATTCCTCTTCTCACCATCACCTTCTTGTGAACTGTCTTTCCTCTTCAAGCGTTTATTTTTAGAAGACTCCTTTGAATCACCAGATTTATACAAGCTTTTAAGATCCAAAGATCTTGATTTCTTAGGAATTTCCGCTCCATGAGAATTTGCTATTATATTTTCCATCAACAATCCCTCAATCCAAACACGGAACCCCCAATCCCCCACTTTTCACATTCCCATCACACATGTTTCAGATCTGTAAAACCAAAAATACGAAAAATTAAAAAAATCCCTCAAATTTTCCATAGTAGCCGATCGATCACAATATTCAGATATTCAAATAATTTCTTCAACAAATTAAACAATTAGCAAAGAAAATCACAATAAAATTCATTACTTACCTGGATCGGTGTATCAAAAAACATCAATTTCTCTGCTGAATCATGAATATCAAGAGTACGAGCGCAGGCTAGGGTTTGAATCTAGGGATTTCGAATTGAAACCCTAATAGATTTGTCAATTTTTTAAATTAATTTCTCGATAATTTTGTTTTCTGAAATTTTTTTTTCTTTTTTGTTTTTACCGTGAAAGACGGGAAGAGGCCTAGGGTTTCTTTCGGTTTCACGAGAGCAAGGGGTTTAGATCGAAAATAACAAAAAATAAAAGAATTAATAAGTAAAAAATCCGAAAAATAGGAAAAATTATATACAACGCTTTTCGATTGAGCTACGTGGCAACGTTATAACCCTCCGATTTAGAAACTGAGGTAAATCAATACAGATCCGACATTTTTGGGGTATACAAAGAAACTAACGAACGGCTACGAGTGGGTAAATTAAAAGGTGGACGGTTCAGATTTCGAATGGATATGAAAGATGTGTGGTAGTTAAGCGGCTCGATTTTGCCGAAACGGTAAATTGGAAGGAAAAAAGAAAAAAATTTTATTTCACATTTCCATTTTCTTATTAGTAAATTCACCCTAATGTTTTCTGAAATAGCGAAAACGCCATCCAGATTTTAAGTTGGTAGGCGCCATTAAGGAAGTGAGAAAGCCACTCGCCTAGCATAGAGCGTAAAGGAAACTCACTTTTATTACGATCACGTGGCAGAAGCATGTGAGCAGTGCACGAGTCTGGACCTAAAACGGCGAGTTCGTTGTCGTTGTGCGTGCGAGGGAAGGCGGTGCCAATATGAAAGCTGGAAACTGTAAATTAGAGAGTTGAAATTACAATTCCATCATTAACATTTGCTCTTAATCACACTTTTGTCCAAAGTGAAAATCATAACCTCTCCCGCCATGGCAATCATCAAATCATCATAATCAAATGATGAGTTTTTATTTTAAAATCTTTATTCTCTAAATAGGAAAGTTTTAAATTTATTTCTTTAAATGAAGTACGTTAAATCACATCAATGCCATGTCAACTCCATATTTTGATTAAATGGACTCCATGTCGACATCTCCTTTCTTTAATCTTGTTTTTTTTTCTTCCACGCAATTACTTGTATTTTTTTAATTTTTTGTTTTTTTAAAATCCTTCTCATAACATCAAAATCTCATCAAATAATAAAATTAAGTATTAGTATAAAAATTTTAATTGATTTAGCATGTCGAAAATATTTTTATCCTAATAACAAGTAATGAATTCAATATGTTTCATGTTAGTATATCACGTGATATTACATGATCGCCTTCAACAAACAACAACCATGAATTTAATTTTTTGAATAGAAATAATGAAACATTCTTTTCAAACAACAAAAATGCAAAACATAAGAGCAATAATTTGTTTGGATAGGATTAATTGGTAACTTAAAAACATCTTTATCATTATCCTCAAATATTTATACCAAATGATAAATTGTAATGCATGTGATTTTGAACAAGATTTATCATGTTAAAAATTTGAAAAGAATATACATACCTTGACATATGATAAAATAATTTAAAATTTACCAACAAATCGTATGATTTATTGATAGAATATTATATTTTTAATTTTAATGATCCGTATGATTTTGTAAATAAAATGTTAAATTTTTAATTTCAATAATTATGATTTAAATTCTGATCACTTCAATTATTTAAAAATATATATATTTAAATTTATATGTAAAGTATACACCGCTCGCTAAAATGATACATCAACCCTTCAAACATTCAAACAACATCTAAAACACTTGAATATTGTTCAATTGAAGAAATGAGAAGGTACCATTTTATTGGAAAAATAAGGAATTATTTCACTATTTTGATAAGAAGTGGGTTTCAAATACAAATTTTAATATAAATTTAAATTTGATTAAGCTGATATTAAAAAGTGAACTTTTATACATCCATTAAAAACACAGGCTATATCATACTAATTAAAAAAAAAAAAACGAAATTTAAATTTCACACTAGTTAACTTAATTAAAAAATTGAGAAATTAATTACAACAATAAAATAAGGAAACTTAAATTGTTTTGCCATGTATTAAATAGCTAAAATAGTTGGTGATTTATCTAAAAAAATTTGGATTAATTTTCAATTAAAAGTCGGTAGCATAATCTAAAAGAGGTTTTTTTTTTTTTAATCAAATTTGATGAGAAAAGGGAGAAGAGAAAATTGTGAGAGCTTTTTTCCTTAATTTTGTATTTTTTAAAAAATAATTTTGTATTTTTTAAAAAATAATTTTTATTTTTATTTATCAAAATTATTTTTTAAAAAATAAAAGTAAAAAATATTTTCTCCAACTAAAGAAAGTGTTTACTTATTTTCCCATTAAAGCCTTTAAGCAAAATTTCTCATTGGGACCTAATTCTAAAAACTGGTAAAATTCGAGGGCCTCTAACGCAAAAAATCCCATTGGGACCATTACACGGGTCACGAGTCACGGCTCATGCGACGACGACATTACCCATTGCGCCCATAACCTCCCGTCAAGCTATATCTCCATTTCGGATGCATCGTTGCTAAACCTTTGCATTTCCCCGATAAAAGCCATACTCGAAATTCGTTGGTTTCAATTTCGCCCACCAATCGCATTCATGTAATAAAAAGAAGCTTATAGTCCCAAATTACAAGCGTTTATGTCGTTCTCGATCTAGATCTAGTGCTGGAATTTCTTCTGTTGAAAATTTGATTATATACGACGGTGTTTTATTCCAAATTAAGGTTGATCTGGTTGATTAGGGTTTCAGATCTTTCCAATTTGAAGTAAGAATCTCTGTCCATGTTCCTAATTTTTGTTTAATTGCAAAGAGAATCGAGGAAATTAAGCTTTTTAGCCTTTCCATTCTACTTTTTTCTTAGGAATCAAATGTTTGGTTAGGGATTTAGGGTTTTTTTGAATATCGTGGAGGTCAACAAAAATGTCTGTAAAAGTGGCACAATCTTCTATTAGAGATCGGACGCAAGAATTTCAGAGCGTAGCGGGGCGGTTAAGGAAGTCGTTCTCATCTGGGCCAGGCCAAAATGGGCCGAGTAGCAGTACGTCGAGAGCGGAGGAACAGAGATCTGTGGCTGCGCATCAATCGGAATTTAATAGGAGGGCTTCTAAGATTGGATTTGGGATTCATCAGACTTCACAGAAGCTTTCAAAGTTAGCAAAATGTAAGTACTTATATCAGCTTCATTTACATTTATAATTGTTTTGTTTTGTTTTTTTGTTATTTTTAAGAAATGCACAATAACAGATGGAGTTTTTCCTTGGCCAACGGATGGAGGTTTACATGGCATAGTTTTTAGAAAGATGATGGTAAGCCAGACATGGGTTTATTTCTAAAACCTGAAATTTAGCTTCTATGCGTATAGCATGTAATTTAGGAGCTTCTAAGAAGATTTGTACTGACAAGTTGAGTGATAGATTTAATGGAATTTTGGGATGTGCAAAATTGAACTTAGTTACTTAAAAGAATTTCTATCGAACAACATCTTTGAAAGAATGTGCTTAAACAGCTTAAAAACTCCTGTTGGGTCAAAAAGGCTGTTAAGTGTTAAGAGTAGGAGTTGGAAGAAGGATGTTCATTGAAGCTTTGTTTGGTAAATATATAAAGGTGGAAGGATAGATATTTGAGAGACTAGGAAAGTGAAAGGAATGAAAATATATTTTCTTCTTTCCGCTATTGGCTTGTGCTTGGTAAGAACCATGGAAAAGTGGATGGAAATAAAAATAATATATCTATACATTGCTTGATAAAATGAAAAGTGAGAGAAAAGCAATGAAACATTAGTTAACCTTTATAACCTTTGTAAGTGACTAAGTGGAGATAGAAGTTCAAAATTTTTTATAAACGTGGACAATTTTTGTAAATTTGCAGCACTTAACTCACACCATCCAATATTCTTTCCTTAATATTTGTAACTTGAGAGGACTGATTATGGCCAGGGCCAGTTCGGGCCTGCAGGGCCAGTTCGGGCCTGCCGGGCCTCCCTTTTTAAAAGTCAACCTCAAACCAGCCCTGTCCACCCATTTATTTATTATTTTATTATCAAAATAATAAACTATTATTTATTATTAATATTTCATAATATGTTTTAGAATTATATTATTTAGTAATAGAATAATTTAATTGGGTTGGGACTTTGCTTGGGCCAAAAAGCCTGGACAATGAGATCAGGCCCACAGGCTTGGATGAGTAGCCTGGCCCTTGGACACCTACAGAAAATGACATTTGCTCCCATTATGGTTCTTATCAAGCGTGAGTCTGAATAAATTTCTTCCCTGTATTTCACCTTCCTTTTTCCATCCTCTCGCTTTCCTATTCTACCAAGAAAAGTCTTTAATGATGCCAGAGGATAATGATATTTTTTGGTTATGTTTATGCATGATTCATTTATTGTACATGAGTGGACTAGGAAACTAGTCAATTGTCGAAAATATTGCTTTGCTTATATTAATGGAAAAATATTTTAAATTGGCTTGTGTCATCCTTGGTCTGAAATAGCATAAACAAGGTTTTAGTCACAGTAAGAGAAATTGCTATCACTTTCTTGTACTGCCGCAGAAATGTGTATATCCCAGGCTATTACTTTTTAATTAGATATGCGGAGCAGATACCTCAAGACCATGCTTCTACATCTATGCTCCTCTCACCCTTCTTTTTCTTTGTTTGTGGCTTGATAGGAATCGAATTAACACATGGTAGGACTTGTCCATCAGAATTTAAGTAGGGAATGGTCCCATCTTGTTTGCAGCGGCGGATCTAGGATTTTTTCATGGGAGTGTCAACTTATAGTATATATAAAAAATTGTAAACAAAAATTTGAAATAATATATTGCTATATTATTATCCACGACAAGTTCTCCTCTTGAAAACTAGCATTTTGTTTAATTGTAACATGCATGCAGTGTTTTATTTAATTTAAAATGCACCATTTTACTTAATTGAAAACTGTTGATGGATAGAAAAACAATTGGTGTTTCTCAAAAACTTTGATTTTATTTTTTCTCTTGCAAATCCATTGGTGTTTTGTCTTAAACGTTGGTACTTCTATCAATTCTGGGTTTATGGTGTCCACTGAAGAACTGCCGATGGATTTACTAATCCTGTCAATGAAAAGGGCGTCCAGGGGAAAATTTTCCTTCACAATTTCTTGTTTTCCAATCTTTGGGGTGTCCACGGACACCTTACCTTAAGCCATGGATCCGCCTCTGCTTGGTTGTCTTGGTTTAGATTGTATTATTGTTGTAGCTGAACTCGATGAAATCCTATGAGCACAACTGTCAATGACAGATATAGAAGAAAGCAAACAGACTAGATAGTGATAGGAGTTTATCATTGCTGTTGTTATTATTGTAGTTACTATGATCCCACATATTTTTCATTCAGTATGATAAAAAAATTCCTATATTTTACTTACTTTACAGTGGCCAAGAGGACTTCAGTTTTTGATGACCCTACAATGGAAATCCAAGAACTCACTGCTGTTATCAAGCAGGATATCACTGCCCTTAATTCCGCTGTGGTAGATCTTCAGCTTTTCTGCAATTCTAGAAACGAAGTTGGTGTCTCCAGTGACACATCTAGTCATTCAACCACAGTCGTAGATGACTTGAAGAATCGATTGATGAGCACCACAAAAGAGTTCAAAGAAGTCCTCACCATGCGAACAGAGGTAAGGTGGAATTTTTCCGTTTGTTTGCTCACTTAGTTTACTTAGATCTGTTTTGCTACTATTCCTTGTAGTTATGTCATTGCTAATTCTTTCCCTTGACAATTGATGGTTTGAATTGCCTTGTACAGAATTTAAAGGTTCATGAGAATAGAAGACAGTTATTTTCTTCCTCTGCTTCAAAGGATTCTCCAAATCCTTTTGTACGTCAGCGCCCCCTGGCTGTCAGAGCAGCGGCTGGAGCTTCAAACAACCTTCCTCAATGGGCTAATGGGTCTGCATCTTTTTCTCAGTTGCTTCCTAGGTAACAGCTTATTCAGATGTTTGAGAGTAATATACTTATGACTTTTTTTTGGGGTACCAGTACCATACCTATGACTTATTAACTGGAGAAAATAATTAGCACTTTTAACTCTTGAATTTTCTTTAGGAACTTCCAAGTCCATTTAATGATAATTTGTTATTGAATGCACATGGAACATTTCTTAAAAATGCTCTTGTATGTTTTTAGCGGTTTGTCGCAATTGCATACTGCCATTCCTTTTTCCAGAACAGTCATAAAATTCTGTTTTCTTTTTGGCTGTGTGTGCAGTGCACGCATGTGCTTGTGATGGTTGAACGATACTGCATTTTCTTTTATTCTTCATGCAATCTTTTCTTTTATTTATTTCCATTACTTTTTCTAATTCTTTAGGAATTGGCTATTGTTGGCTGCTTTTGTTTTGGTCTAGCTGGATTTAACTTCTTATATGAACTATATCAAACTGATATTCTGTACACTGGTGAAACTTTGTTTTTGGTTCTTAATTATATAGAAAGCAGATGGATGGGGAGAGTCAGCCATTGCTCCAGCAGCAACAGCAGCAGCAACAAATGGTTCCATTGCAAGATAGTTACATGCAGAGCAGAGCTGAAGCTCTTCAAAATGTAGAATCCACTATTCATGAGCTAGGCACCATCTTCAACCAGCTGGCTACTCTAGTTTCTCAGCAAGGAGAGATAGCTATCAGGTTTATTTTTTTGAAGCAACTGCACTTGGCATACATATGAATTTATTTTATTTGATAACATATCACTTGTTATGTAAGGTGCTTTATGTCATAGCATGCTGCAGCCTGTAGTGTTATAGTAATTGCTGTTCACATTTTTCCTTTTTGAATTCCTGACAGTGTATGGTCATCGACTAATTTGATTATGCAAATTAGAGAGTTTTTTTCCCAAAAGAAAGTACTTTGAAATCTTTATTCCAAGAAAAAGATACTTTTATTCTTATTTCCCAAAGTAGGGTACTCTTTGCCATGCAAACACTTGATCACCACATCAGCTCTTGACTTCTCCCTAACCCTTGTTGTCTTTTCTCCTTCATTGTCCTTTCTTTTCCCAGTTTTTCCATCCACAAACATTCTGATTTGAAACTACCATTAAAGCAGGATATTTCAATTGATCTAAAGTTAATTGAATCAATGATAAAAATCAACTAATCTTTAAAAATCCATGTCTCTTTTTTCTTTAATGGAGGGTATAACCCCTAAAAAATTAGACAAATCTTTGTAAACCAATTCACAGTTCATCTACAGGCAACAACATAAACCACTTCTTCAAGCTCTTTAGAAATGATCTTGTTCCTTGTCATTGTTCAAGACTTTTTCCTTCTAGCCAATTAGCCCCATATTCTTTTGTCCAGATATATGCTTCTGTTGCCAAGTCTATCAAAAAGATTTTATATGGCTCTCACCATTGGATCCAAGGAATGATGGGTGATCTTGTACTTTATCAGCATGATGGAGCTTAAAGAGCCTGATTCAATTTCAAGCCGGTTGATTCCTAAATTTTTTGGCAATTTGAAATAGCCCCCAACTATGCCAGGTCTCAATAGAACAATTGTCAAGAGAGCAAAGAAACCCAGCTACCAGATTTGCTTTTTAATTCTCACTCCTCTGATGACCCAACAGCTCCTGCCTTGTTTTTTGGTCCCAAGTCCCAACTGCCATGGACTTTAAGCTTGTACAATTTCATTTATGGTTTCCTACAATTCCATAGAATCTCTCTTTTTTTCTTTCCATGATATTTGTTGAGATTTGAGGCCGCTTCAGATGATTTAGACATGTGAAGCGTAGGTCTATCTGTGCACCAGTTAGGAGAAATAAGCTTTTAGATTTGGGAGAGACCAAAGCTTCTAGTGGTAGACAAAGAAAGACATAGATGCAAGTGGTAAGAAATAATATGAGGGTTAAGGAAGTAGATGAAAATGTTGTTTTTGATAGAAATGAGTGGTGCAAGAAGATTCATAACTACGACCTAACAAGATTCATTCTATCATTGTATTGAGGTTTTTTTTTTTTTTTTTATACATAAAAACCCAGGTCAACATCTATTTTAAAAGCCATATTAGCATTTGGATATTGTAATTTTCCACTTTCTTGCCTTGTTATGGGATTAAACTCTAGTTGGATTCATTCATGGGTTGATTATAAATGGATAAAGAAGCAATTTAGAAAAGAAAGAACGATTTGAGGGGGAAAGAAAACAAGGGTAAGGGGAAAAAAATACTGAGGGCTGATGTGGTCATTAAGTGCTTACATGGCAAAAGAGTGCATTATTTTGAGAAATAAGAATAAAAGTACCCGATTAGGAGAATAAAGATTTTTAAATACCTTATTTTAAGAAAAAGCTCTCGAATTAGACTTGCCACAAAGTTTGATCAAATAGTTTATTAAGGCTGTGTAAAACTTCTAAGCCTTAAGCTTAGTGGAGTTTCAAATGATTGTGCTAGAAACAATGATAGAATTCAATAAAAAATGATAAATTATGGTGGTTGTCATCCTCACATTTAAGTTATATGTGGAATTTTTAATGTTCTGAGAGTGTGGTCTCGTAAATAAATGACGGGTTATGCAGGATATCCTTCCTACCTTCTTATTATATAGTTATTTGGTCCTGTGTATGCATCATGGTTTGGTGCTTGGGAGAATTTGAGAAGTCATTTGTTCATTAGAGTAAAAAATGTTGTGATTTTTTTTTTTTTTTTTGCATCTAGTGGTAAAGTTTGGCATGGAACATCTTGAGGATCCAATTGTTAGCTAGCATAGAGAACATGTGTCAACCCAAAAAGAACAGCTGTTTGTATTGTTTTGGTAGGCTAACTACTTAGTTCTACTTATGGAATATTAGCATTCTTGTTCAGATATTAATCATCCCTCACATAGTAAATGGGTATACAAATTAGATAGATTCATTGATAAAAGCCATCAAATTCATAGTGATTATCAAAAGTTATGAATAATTTCCAATGATGTAATAATTTCACTTCCATGGAGGGAGCTGCAGTTTGCATTGACATCGCAGTCTGAATCTTTTAACTTATTTGTGGACTACTTGACTGTGATGTTTTCTTTTCAGGATTGATGAGAACATGGATGACACCTTAGCAAATGTGGAGGGAGCGCAGGGAGCTTTGCTCAAGTACCTAAACAGCATATCATCTAACAGGTGGTTGATGATCAAGATATTTTTTGTATTGATTTTTTTCCTTATGGTTTTCCTATTCTTTGTGGCATAGTCAACAAAGTGAGATGGCTGATTGAAAAGAGAAAAAGAAAATGATAGTGCCTTTCCACACTGTTCTATTCTTTTCATATATACCATCTTTTTGCTTTAAGCCACCACAATCCAGTCCTCCAGAGTTGTGATCGGACGAGATGACTGATTGAAAAGAGAAAAAGAAAATGATAGTGCCTTTTCATACTGTTCTATTCTTTTCATATATACCATCTTTTTGCTTTAAGCCACCACAATCCAGTCCTCCAGAGTTGTGATCGGACCCATTTTGTTTACTGCGATGTGTATGTCCCGCAACATGTAAATTGTACAAGGCATTGGAAATAATGAGAATTGGCAGAAACTATTCCTTTTTATTGCGGTGTTGTTTGACAGAATGTCTCCCAATGTGCCACTATACCAATAATCAACTTTTGGAGGTTTGCTTTTGTTGCTTTATGGTGATGCATGTAGCATCTAGTAAAGCCAGAGAAATGTGGCTTATAGCTTTATTTAGACCAATTGGATTTGCTTGACTTTGTGAATGTGATATTTCACTTTATTTGCTTAGCTTCTGAAGTGGGACTCTTAAATTCCCCCATTAAGCTGTATTTGTCTGGTGTCCTTCATGGGTTATTGAAATAGAATGGTCTTTGAGCTAGCTTTTTCCTGGTGGCTTTGTAGCAAAAGTGGATGAGATGAACGAAAAAATACTACAGGGCTCATCGTATGTTTATTTACATTAGACTTAGTAAATTCGTGAAAATTATTTTCTCACACAATTTATTTAAGTCAAAACCAAAAAAAAAAAAAAGGCTTTTTTTTTTTTTTGGCTATTTAAGAAACCTTAGCTGGTAATCTTTTTTTTTTTTTTTTTATGAAACATTCTCTCGTAACATTGGCTGCCAAACATGGTATTAATTTTATTGGCCAAAAAAAAATGTAGTATTAATTTTATTATAGAAAACATAAGTATTTTTTTTCTTTGCTGGTTGGTACGCCCTAAATATAATTTTATGTCTTATGCTACTCGAGATTTCCTTTTTTTCCCCCTTATATTATTAAGATCTTCAGTTCATCACTTATTATTAAAATAAGAAAAGTAAGATTAATTCGACAAATATCAGAAAAAAAAATAAAATAAAATAAAAGAAACCAAAAACCAAACCAAACCAAAACGAGGTCGTTCAACATTTTACCACGTTTAGTAATTTCCAGAGAAAAAATCATGTACCCGGTTGGGGGTAAAAAGAAGAAAAACAAACAACCATGCAAATCCCACATTTTCCCTTCCACCACCTCCTGTTACCCATTTAACTTATCTAGTCCAATACAAACTAAATCCAAACCCTACCCTTCGCCCCCTTCTTTGCGACAACTATGCATTATTTCAAACCCTACTTTTCTCTCCTGGGAAACAAACACTCCACTCTGATCTCCAATTTGTTCTAATTTCAACGAAATCCTAAACAATAATTTGTCCTCTCATAACGTTTTTAATCGAATCTCGTTTTTAACATCTCGATCTCTGAGTTTTTTTTTTTTTTTTAATTCGTATATTTGTCGATTCAACTTTTTTGTTATTTGATTTGGGGGAAACAGGGAGCAATGGTGGGAGGAGGAAGCAGGAGAGATGAAGGATCGTTGGTGATCAACAACACAAACGTGTTTGCGGCTCTCCGAAAGAAGAAGAAATCTGACAAAGACCGAGGTTCTTCTAAAAAATCTTCTTCCAAATCTCAGCAACAACAACAGCCGCAGAAAGAACCCGAGCCGCAGGTGTTTTGGGCTCCGGCACCGCTCACTGTCAAATCGTGGGCTGATGTCGATGACGATGATGATTATTATGCTACAACCGCTCCTCCTCAGTCCGTTTGGGGATCCTCGGAACCTTCTCAGATTCATGATCACAAGACCGCCATTGTGGAGGTAAATTACCTTATTGGTTAAGCGATCAATTGCCTTTTCTTTTCTAAATTGATTGCTATGGAATCCACTAGTATAATTTTAAAATATATTTTAAAATTCTGGTTGGATTTTATTTGTTGTTATTTGAATAATTGTGGATGATTATGTGATGGGAAATCGTGGAATGGAAGCCTTGATGATTGGAAAATGAACTTTTTGAAGTCAATGATTTGACCAATGGTTTGATGGCCGAAACTGATAGCATACTTGTCGATGGAATTTGGTTCGAGGCATATTTTGGTTGATAAATAATTAGGTTTATATGGTGATAGCGGTGATACCTGAGAATGCCTCTGTTTTATTGTCGTCATTCGTGATGCTATAATTCTTTTTATAGAAATTTTTCTGAAAAGGTTATACTGAAGGTTGGGAGATCATGAGATTGTGCCAAATGTATTTATGGGAAATCCGAACTCTTACTAGGAACTGGTAGAGTAAGGCTAAGCAATAAAATAACTGGCACGATTTCCTAAGTAAAATTAGTAATAGATGCTACTTATGGTTCTTTTTACCAGCAGTGCATTAAAATTATGCAAGTTCATGATGAAGACTGTGGATATTTGTCTACCCTTAGAATGCGAATTATTCTGATTGCAATACTATGAAGGGTAGTATGATTAACATTGTTCGTTTAGGAGCCTTGCTCTGAAAAATAAATAGGAAAAAAAAAACTTACATTTGATACATGGAACTAATGTAGCTAAAGTGAAATTTTTTTTTGGAATTTCTCTGTGGATGAAGTGTTTTGTCTTATTTTTCTTTTTATGTTTTATTATGCTATCATAGAAATCAAGGGTGGTGTATCTTGGTTTCATTTGTTTGTCTTTATATTTTATTCTAAGTTAATTTCAAATCCAGTATTAGTATTATTTTGCTTCCTACACTTGAGGATCACATTGTTATAAACTTCCCAAAATCTAGATATTTTTTTATGATATTGACTTTTTGCCAGAAACATGATCTACTTTAACGCTCCTGTCTTACCATTTTAAGTGGATTTTGCTTCCTCTTTGTTTTTCTTTGTCAATAGAATAGATAGCAAAAGTTGTTTTGGTTATCCTCCTAAGGTGAAGAGGGGAAAAAGCTGGTGGAATATTGGTGTATCTTGTCTTTCCTGTAGTTTAGTTTTGGAACTTTAAGATTTGTTCTTAGTCTTGTCGCATAAATAGCATAAATCCTTTAGGTGTCAGCTTATATTTTGGTTCTCTCTTGTTCTAAGTGGAAGTTTATTGTATGCTTCTTCCAATTTAAGTTTGAAGAAGAAGGGAAACAAACAAGTGGAATGCGCTGACTTATACTTGTCTTGGAGAATAAGTGAATGGCATATAAGATATACAATTGTGACTACAGTTACTGGCTGAGAGCCAGCTGGGCTTTCCTTCTGGGCCCATTTATGCTTTTGTTATTCTGCCAAAAGGATGAGTCCCTTGACCATAAATGATTTGTCCTGTACGATTGGATGGCTATAATTATACAGAATGAATGATGGAAATTAGTTTGCTTTTTGACAAGCTATGTCTCATTAATTTTTAATTGATCTGGGATTACAGGATAGTGAGAGCGAAGAAGATATTTTAGACGAAGGTGATGATGAAATGGAGGAAGAGCATGACTATGAACCAGAGGTTCAAGTACATCCAGAACCAGTGCTAAAAAAGGCTCCTGAAGTTCCTGCACCACCCAAAGAGGCAGAAAGACAACTTTCAAAGAAAGAGAGGAAAAAAAAGGAACTTGCAGAGCTGGAGGCTCTTCTTGCTGATTTTGGAGTTACACAGAAGGAGAGCAACAGCCAGGACGAGTCACACTGTAATTTTAACTAACTTAGTGCTTGTATTACTTCCAATAGTTTGCAATTGTTTGCTTGCAAAATTGTTGCCCTAGTTTTGGTTTAAAGCTAATTATTTATTCCTATTGTTGAGGTAAAGAAAGCAGTAGAATCAAATCTTTGATGATTTTTGTTTTGACAAGCAATATTTGATGATTGAAGTATTGTCTCTTGGGACGTAGTGCATAAGGACCTTGAAGTTGTTTGTGAGTTCAACTTTGAAAATGTGAAATTCTTTCTCAAACACATGCTTGCAACCTTTTATATTTACACATCATCCTTTCAAGTTATATGTTGTTTGCTTAGCTGTAAAGAAGCATTTTACCTGTGCGAAAATGGCATTTCTAGTCCAGAACAATTCCTTTTCTCAAATATCTATAATTGAAAGTCTCTTCTAAGCTAGGTTTTTAACTCTTACGTTTGCAGATGTTTTACCAGAAAAGAAAGATGGAGAGGAAGAAAGGAAGGAAAATCCTCCGGGAGAGTCTAAAAGTGCCAAGAAGAAGAAAAAGAAGGATAAATCAAAGGAGGGAAAAGAATCACAGGATCAGCTTACTAGCACAGATGCCACCAATGGGCCAGATGAAGCTGCTGGGACTGAGCAGACCGAGGAGGATGCATCTGCTGTTGATGTGAAAGAGCGGCTAAAGAAGATGACATCAATGAAGAAGAAGAAATCTAGTAAAGAGATGGATGCTGCTGCAAAAGCTGCTGCACAAGAGGCTGCTGCAAGGAGTGCAAGGCTTGCTGCTGCAAAGAAGAAAGAGAAGAACCATTACAACCAGCAGCCAATGCGATAAAAGCCCCATTTTGTTCGAGATAAATATATATGAACATATATTTCTTGTTGTTCATATGACAATGCGAAATAAACCGTGGGCTTTGCTTCCTTAAAAAGATGACCATTTAGCTGTATTTGTATGGACTAAAGAAAGTTTTATCTTTTTTTTTTGTTTTGTAGCTTTTTGGATCTTATCGTTACTCATTTTTCATGGAACACATTGCTATGGCAGTTTTGTTTTCTAAAAGTTCTTCATTGGACAACAGCTTAACTTAATTTTCTGTGTTTTACATATACTTGCTGCTAAGATTTTCGTGGATTAGACAATGATATGCTTGATATAGCAAATCCGCAATTTTGAGTTGTCAATGCACCATTAATATTCGCAGAGAACCTGTCGAGTATTTGACTTAATTTTGAAACCATCATTGTGAACGCTGCTTTGCTAAAGCTTTCTTCTCGTATCCCCCATCTCCCATGAGTGTCAGAAGGTGTTTTAAGAACTGCTGCCATCATTTGTTTGAGAAATAGCTAATCTGTTTATTAGGATATTTTCTTATTTTGTCATGTAGACAACGTTTGGACTTTATTTTTCCTCATTTAATTGGTAAATAATCAAGCTTGAAGAAGAAAGTGTAAGCTCAAATTTTAAAGTTCAAAATAGCAGTGGGACATATAGTAATTGTCTGTTAATGTCTGCTTATTTGTTGCTGAAATTGATGGAGCTTGTGCAGTTGACTCCCTAAAGAGACGCACTTGTAGGACTACCTGAGTCAATTGTCTTTCAACTCCGCAGCGCAAAAGGCTAACTATTGCTGTTGAGCTCGTTTCCAACCCTTTGATTATGTTCATGGATGATACAACTATTTCTGATACGTGGGTCGTCATTCTTGTCACCTGATAAAGCACACAAAGAAAAGGCGGCAAAAGTTGATCCAATCTTAAAATTTCGTTTGCCCAATTTAACTCGATCGATTTGAGATAATTAAAAAAATTAATAATACAAACTTGTTCAATCTAAATTTGGATTAATCCAAACTCAAATTCATGTGAATTTAAATGGATTTGAATCCAATTGGATTTTAGCTTAATTTGAATTTGGATTAATCCAAACTCAATAATTTGATTTCAAATGCCAAAATACTTATTCAACATAATTCAAAATTAACCTTAACATAATTTTACTTTCTAAAAATATTAATCTAATTAAAATAAACATAAATTATTTATTTATTAAAATTTAAAAACTTTAAGTTCACATTTCAATTTCTTTTCTTTTTTATTTTTATCATTTAATTATGTTTAAAGACTTAAAATTTTTTCTTTTTTTTACTCTAACAATATAATAAAATTAATTAATTAATTAAATAATAATAAATAATAAAATATCCATAAAATTTAAAAATTAATAATAAATAAATAAAACTAATTATAACACACGAAATCATCCAATTAAAATGACAAAAAAAAAAAAAAAGAAAATTGATACCGCTCGAACCTTTAAGTCTATATCTAATTACTGTATGAAACAATTCATCCAAAAAAAAAAATTACTGTATGATGCAAATTTTGTTACCTTGACTAACATTCTTACCACTCTTATCTGGAATATTCAAGGTTTAGAATCCTGTTAAATTTGCCTTTTGATCTGGAAAATGCAAATGAAAAAGTCTAATTGAGTCAATGTAAAGGGAGGAAAGGCAGACAGATTAGTACAAAAGGCCATGAGCCAGTGGTTCTTTGTTTCATTCATGTCACAGCCACTCTTACAATTATATAAGCAATCTCAAGAATATGACAGAAAATACATTACATACACATGTTACTTGCTTCTAACTATTTTTTAATCCATGTTTGAAAAAAATATTTAAGTCTTGTTTAATCATGCTTCATTCAATTTGCCAATGTGGGCGACGATAAGAAAAGAAAAAAACAAAATCATATGATAATAATCACGTAATCTATTAGTAAAATATTAAATTTTTAATTTCAGTGATCATAATTCAATTAAAACAATCTAAATATATATATATAAAAAAAAGATAACAGAGTTTTTGAAGCTGTTAAACTACACACTTGTTATCAATGCCGTGGAGGGGAGAAAATCAATGGCCACCCCCAACAAGAAAAGTAAAAAGAAACAAGAAAAAGAAAAGGGTTGTCACCAAAATCTCCATGGATCCTTGTACGGAGGAACATAATTGTCAGTGGGAGAAAGAAGGCAAATGGATGCAACAGTCTGTTCCAATAAGGGACCCATCTGTATTATAATGTAAGTTTGGCTTAGTAAGTAATTCAGACGTTATTCAGAAATACATATAAAATAATGCCTTTTTCTTTGAGTTGGATGAATTGAAAACACTACCTTGATCACATAGTAACATTTCCCTCTTCTTTGTTGGATGAATGATATACATATATATATATAGATGAAATTCCATATGCTGCCACCTTTTGGTTTTTTACAACCAAAACTAAATACACTAATATTTCAAGAACACTTCAAAGTGGTTGTAGTGAGTAAAAAAGAGGTTGCATGTAGAATTTCCCCATGTGTAAACATTCTATAATGAAATAACCTTGGACCGGCCCAAAGAAAAGATGTACTGGACAAAACCCAGGAACCCCCTGCTTCTTAATAAAAAAGAACTTCTAATACTTTTTATTAGAAATAATTTACTAAATGTCACTTGATATTGTGGATAGAGAGAGAGAGAGAGAGAGAAAGAGAGACCTTAGTCCACAGCTGTCTAAGAGTTGAAGCACTTAGAGAGTACAGATAACCTGCAATAGACATTTGCACAGTTGAATGTGAAGATATGCAGAAGTCCTATAATCAGAAATATAAGCCATAAATGTCCCTATAAGTACCATAAGAGATCAGTAAATCAATACTGACCATAGGTAGAAAAGGAGGCATCGTTCTATATGTTTTTCCTCTCTACACCATGCTGGAATGTATTGGCAAATGAGCTATGTACCTTAAATATTTTTTAAGTGGTCTATTTTCTTTGTAAATCTTAGGGTTTCAAGACTTTATCACAGCGACATCTTCGCAAAATGAGGAACAAAGTCAGAAATTTTATGATCCTACCTTCTCGTTCAGCTGTTGAAGCAACGTAATGTCAGTAAAGGTTTGGTTCTTGAGCCTGCAATGCAAATCTCCACTAAAGGCATCAACATTCCACAAAAAAAGGCATAGCTGTACACACACCAAGGATAATTGTTCTTAAGGAAACACTTACGGATCTAGTTAGCAATTTGCGAACAAGGTATTCATGGTACCAATATTTCTCAACATCAATCTGAGAAAGAAAGAAAAAGAAAATAAAACAAGCCACTTAAATCACACATAGTCATACATAAATTCCAAAGCTTTTAGCTGTATATAAATTGTACTAAAATCTAAACTGTCAAAAATGGAAATCATAAATTAAAGCGAGGTCTTTAAAGCTTACTTCACTAGCATGTGCATCAAGAACTGAACTCTCTGTCATGTGCTGACTCAAGGTGACATGCTGCCAAAAGATGTAGAATGTCAAACAAGAATCAACTCAATAGATTTAAGTTTTCAGCAATTAAATCCAAGAACCCTTCTAGAGTGCATTATTTACTTTTTTGTTCATTTGTTTACTTAGCCAAACGGTAGAGATCTTTTGATACTTTCAAGCAAGAAAACTACTGATTACATGGTTCAAACTCCATAGGACAATTTGATTTAGTTTAATGTCTATAAAAATGTTCGCAAACATGCACCTTGGAGACATGTCTCACTGCTAACAATTACATGAAGTGTAGGAACTTTTTAGGTTGCTTATAGTTTCTATCGAAAATCTCAGTTTCACACAGATTTCAGTCTTAATTGAATATTTGGGACAAATTTTCAGGTGGATGTGCCAAAATTCCAAATATGTAACTTCTATCATACATACGAACAATGCACTAGTTGGCAAGAAAAAGGTCATTTGTATTACCAGTGCAGACTTGTCAGACAATACAGAATCAGCAACATCTTTTGCTGGCAAGGTCTTCTTATCCTTTAGCTTTAAAAAACTGAATATTCAGGGGACCTATCTGAAGCAAAGGATGAAATATAATCCATAAATGTTGAACAGATAACCAATAAAGATCACATTCAGCAAGATACAGTTGTACAAAATTACCGAAACAGAAATGATGAGATTACAATTTCAACACATTCAGATGCAATGTGCAGACGTGCATCAGCTGCATTATACATCAATGATCTAGTTAGGTATATCATATAGTCCGTGTCCACTCTAATCATGTTTTAGAAATATTGCTACAAAACTTGGAATCCTATGACTAATATGGATGAAATTCTAACGCAGGCATAACTTTTTCTATTTCAAATTGTGAGATTGACTAAAACTTACTAGACAGTGTTGCAGCAGATGAATAGCATTCTGGCTTCCTAGATCCCCCCTTCAGAAAAATGCAGAAGGAGCCGTGTTCCTACAATATGAGGCCACCAATGGATAATGATAAAGTAGAGAACAGGTTTGCTTTTGCATCAGTAATATTAAAGTGAAAATATATGTAAGGTGTACCAGAATCTCATTGTGAATGAAAAAGCAGATGTCCCTTAAATAAAATATGTAATTATAATCCTCCGAATATACTTGTTACTGGGTGCTTAAGTCATACAGCATAAAATATAACAGGGGTCGGGTCCATTCTCTGCATGTAGGAGGTCAATTGCTTGACTAGTCGTAAATAAGGGAGTTATGGCATAGGAATGAGAGTGATGGAGAGAGAGTGAACAAAATGTTTCACTTAAAAAATTTCTAAGCTATCATTATATATTGATAAAAATAATAATAAAAAGTCAGCAAGTCACATCATATATAATTTTGATGCTGAACACCTACCATTTGAAGAGGAATTTCTTAGATGGCAACTTCACTGGGTATGAATAGGTATAAGCATTTGTTTCATCAACTAATGAAGCCATTCTTACATCTTCCTCGGCAAGACACTCGAAATAAGCTTATTTTAATCCTTGGAAGAAAATGAAAAAGAGTATGGTTATAGAAATTCTTGAAAAACTAGTAAGCATGCATCTTACATGTTTCCAACAGAACTATTAGAAAACAGAAGAATGAAGTTTCCACTGCGGAATTGTCAAAGCCCGGAATAATCATGATCCTCAAGGTAAATATTAGAACACCATTCAATTTTGAACACCACACGAAAATGAAACAAAGAAAAAAAAGAGAGAGAACCTGAAGAAATGGAGAGTTGTGAAGGAAAGAGGGGAGTTAGAGAGAACCACCATTTTTAACTCAGGCCTCTCTCGCAACATCTTTCTTTCGTGCTTGATTAGCTCAACTCATCCACTTGGACAGTTGGATTTTTCATTTTTGTTTTCTTACTCGTTTAAATAGGCTAGTTCTTCTACAACTCGGCAACAATCGGGTATCCAATAATGTCTTGCCACGTCAGGCAATATTTCATTTTCATTTTTTTTTCTATTTTGTTTTTGAAGAATGAATAAGCAAACGATAATATTTTATATTTTATGTTTTAAAAATATTAAAAAATTCACCTAGATCATTAAAATTAACCAGTTTTATCGACCATAATAAAAAAAATAAAACTAATTCATAAGATACGTTTGGTTTATAAATTTTTAAATTTCAAGAAAAAAAATTGATATTGAATGAAAATGTATGATTTTTAAATTTTATAGATTTAAGGATGTAAGATTTTTGTATTTAATTTACGAATATGTAAGATTTTTAATAAAATATTTTATATATTATTTTTTATAATACATAAATAATAAGTGATATTCAATACATAAATAATACATTTTTTCATTGAAACTAAATAATTATGAAAAATAATTTTTTTATATATTTAAAAAATATAATCTTATAATTTTAATTATTATCATAACATTAATGTCTTTGCATAGAAAAAACATATAAATCGACTTTTATGATAAAATTGATGTGAGTGTTGTAGGTGGGTGACAAATTAAATACAAAGATTATATTTTTTATTTTAAAAAATTTATTTTTTAATAAAAATTAAATTTTATCTTACAAAAACGTCATTTTTATTAAATTTTGAAATATATATTTTTCATATTTTCAACAAAAATTATATTTTTATTTTAAAAAACATTATGTTTTCAATAAATACTATGTTTTTATTTTAAAAACATTATTTTTGTTGAATTCTAAAAATTATAATTTTTTATATTTTCAACAAAAGACTAGATTTTATGTCTTAAAAATATTATCTTTGTTAAATTATGAAAAAAATATATTTTTTATGTTTAAAAAAAATTGTAATTTTATTTTAGAAACATCAATTTTTCAATAAAAACTATGTTTTTTATCTTTAAAATATCATTTTGTTGAATTCTATTTTTTTTTTGTAACAAAAATTACGCTTTTTATCTTAAAAATATTGTCTTTTCAACAAAGATTGTGTTATTTTATCTTGAAAACATCATTTTTTTTTTTAAATTCTAAAAAATAAGTTTTTTTATATTTTTAATAAAAATCACGTTTTTTATTTTAAAAACACCATTTTTATTTAATTATGAAAAATAAAATTTTCATCTTTTTAACAAAAATCAAATTTTTAATAAGAATTTCAATAGTATTGTGTTAAAAAACGTGATTTTTCTTTAAATTATATTAAAAAATATATATTTTCATAATATTTTATAAAAAATTATTATGTTTTTGAGATAAATAATATTGTTTATATAATCTAAAAATGCAAAATGAGGGCAAATGAGAAAAAAAAATTACTTTTCCTCTAAAATCTTAAAAAATTTAAAAGAGATTAGAGTTTTTAATTTCCTTACTTTTCACTTTTTGATACTTTTAAAAATTCTTAAAAAATTAAAAATCACATTTTCATTAATCAAATCAAGTAATCAAATTATAAAAGAAAAATTTTAATATAAAAAGTTACATCCCTTGAACCAAATATCTCTTAAAAATTATAAGTAGATATGATAATTTTAAATACGATAAAATAATATATATGAAAATAATAAAAAATATAAAAATAATATGATTTAAAATTTTAATAAAATTATATGAGTGAAATAAATAAAAAATATATTTTATATTTAATATGTCATATTAATTATGATACAATAATTTATATTTTATACATATTTAACATGAAATATATATAATATTGATGCATAAATTGTCAAATCTAAACGGGTTAACCCATTCCATGAGTATTCTAACAAATCCGTAAACCGTAACCCGATTGAAATTAAGTCGGTTTCCAAACAGGTCTAGAACGTCGCTGCTTTTTAAGCAAACGTCCGCTCCCCTTTTTTTATCTCTCTCTCTCTCTCTCCTCACTAAAAAAGCTTTATCAGTGCTGCCCATTTTAATCGCAATTCTCTTCGATCGGTCGATCCTCTTCTTCTTCTTCTTCTTCTCTCTCTCCGTCTCTCTTTTTTGTGTTTCGACGATCTTCAACCACATAGATTTTTCGGGTAATTTCTCTTTCAATTTCGCTTCTCGTTTTTCCTATCATACCAACTCCATCGAAACGCGAATCTTTTTTTTTCTCTAGCGGCAATTCTTTATCGAATTTCTTGCTTTATTTTTCGTTAAAAATTTCTTTCCAATCTTTGATTTGCGTTGTTTTAACTTTTCTATTTGTTTGATCTTTGCGACGCTCTAGATTCGAGAACGTAATCGAAGAACCCAAAGTTTGGGGGAATTTTCGTTACTAGATTGCCATCTTGACAAACTTTTTTTTTTTTTTTTAAATTAAAGAATTATTTATTTTTCCTTTTTTTTTCTCTCCATTTTCTCTTTGGTTGTTAATGTTCTATTTCGTTATCAGATAATTATATATATATATATATATATATATATTGATTTGAAAGTCATCTTAAGAGTTTGGTCCTATTTTTCTTTTTGGATTTTAATTACAAGCTTTGATTAAAAATTGATTGAGCTAATTCATCTTTTCATTTTTCTTGATAGAGGCTTATTCATTGTAAATAATTGTTATCAATAATTTGGTACCAGCATCTTGTACATGGAGTTTATTTTATATTAGCTGTTTGTTAGATTTTTTATGCTGATTGTTTTTAATCTATAAATTGCTACTTGATATCAATGCCTATGGTAAATGTTAAACAGAAGCCATAAACCGACATGATACTATATTGGATGCGAATGCTACCCAAATTCATTATTCATTACAGTTACGAAGAATCCCTCTTTTGGTTTCTAATTCTTTGGAACTTTACATAGTTATTTTCTTTTATTATACTGCTTTTGCTAATAGGTTCAACTCATATTACATTTTCTTCTTTGTGGGTTATTCTTGATGATTTGTCTCATATTCTAATAATTTTTTTTTTTGGGCTAATGAATAGGATTCTTTGTTCGCAAAGGCAATGAAGCCAGGAGTTTCTTCGTTGAATCCATATGCAGCATCATACATACCTCTCGCCAAAAGGGAGGCAAATGATATTGTGACAGCTAAAGATATTAAGCATGAGAATAAGACTGCTTGGTTTGAACCTTCCTCACACTTTGCACATAACCCACCACACTATAGCAATGTTTCACTTGACTCTGTAACCCATGGCACTAAAAAGCACCAGATTCCTGAAACTTCTGCACTGAAAAGCAATCCTTCCCATGATTCTTTGATGCTAAATCCGGGTGAAATGACTGACAAACAGATTATGGATGAAGAATTTGACATGGATTTGGAGTATCTTCGCATGGCATTTCCTGGTTTATCCAATGAGTCTCTTGTGGATGTCTACTTGGCAAACAATGGAGACTTGGAAGCCACTGTTGACATGCTGAACCAACTTGAGGTAAATTCCGCCTAACTTTATTTTGTAATTTGTAAATATGATTGTCAGAGTGATGTCGGTGGATTATTTTCCTTCATTCCTTCTCATCATGAGTTTTTCTTTTCCCTTGTCTTTTCTTAAGCCATGGGAGAATGAATGTTTGAGCTCCTCTCCTGCTGTACTATCACGCACATCTCCAAATGTCCCGCTATGAAGGGTGCTAATAGTGAAGTAATTGAATTTCTGAATAATTTTCTGATTTTCTTGTCAGATAACTTATTTCACCTGGAGTTATATTTTTGGCTTTGACTAATAACTGTATGACATGACATATTTTGGGATCTTACTCAACTTTCTGGCCCATTTCAGCATAGCCTTGGTTTTCATCTTCATTTGTTTAGTTCTTTTCTTTCTTGCAACTTCTGGCCTCATGATGATGTCTGGTGACTGCAAATGAAAGAGACTTTTCCACCTCTTTTATTTTCCCCCCTTTTCAGCATTCGTCTGATCTTATAGATTGATTTATGTGATTAATTTTTCGTCCATATTTATCATATGTATGTCACTGCACACTTCTGTTGTTCTTATTCACATCAAGTTGAATGTATCAGAAGTGAGGGTTGTATATTAGGCGTTTTGTTCAGTAAATTTGTTTCTAAAATTGTTTTATTCTGTAATTCCATTGATAAGGTAGGTTAATTGGGTGGAGTAAGGGCAATACTTTTGAACTGTGGGCTAGATGTATTTTTCATGCAGCATGCTTCTTGTCTGGTCATTGTGTGACAAATTCTTTATGCAGTCTGCTTAGGCTTATCAGTAGTTCTAGGATTTACAGGTGGTTTTAGACTGAGCCAAATGTTTAATTCGTTTTCTACATCCCTAAGAAATTAAAGAGAAGGAGACAGAAAGAAATGAAAAAATGTTTTGTTTTCCGATAGCTATTGTCTTCCATTTTTTACCATTATTTGACATATGCTGAATTAAGGTCTTTCTTTGATTTCATTGGAAGTGACTTCTGGCGTATATGTCATGTTGAATTTTGAATTAGTTGATGCATGAGTTTGAAAAATGTATTCTTTTACTCTCTTTTGGTATTCATGGACATTGGGTTGATCTCTTCCGCAGATGTACACCGTTGAGTCTTCTGAAACTCTTCCTGACACCTTGGATATTGGTGATGTTTCTGAATCTGGGTCTTCAGCAACCTGTGGTGCTCTTAAACTGAAGAACGTGGCAGGTGAAACCAGTGCTTCTTCATCTGGCTCTTCAGAATCAGCTGTTGCCTCCTGATTGACTTCATCAAAGGATTGCAGTGTTTTTTTTTTCCTTTTTTTTTTTAATCTTGTAAGTGTTTGTGGATAAGAAGTATGCACAAGTAGGATTCCTTGTTGAGGGCTGAGAAATGTTGTACTTGCTTTAACATTTGAAGGGTTAAGGTTGTATAGTAGTATGCTGCTTGCCTCTGATTTCAATACTGCTTTTGGGGCATATTGTTTGGCGAAAAGCTAGTTTTACATCAGAAATGAAAATGATTCTGTTTGTTCATGTTGTTTGTTTACATTCGCTTGATCATGCATTGATTTTCTTTTTAATAGCTCTAGCTGTGCAATTGGCGAAGCGCCAGCCATGTCATGGTACTATCAGGATAATGCACATTTTGGCCACTGAACCTTTCTCCAATTTTAGGTTTATTATCGTGTATTTCTATTCATTTACCATCAGGCAGACTATACCTACGTCTAGTTTTCACTTCTAAGAATCCATGGCCGTGGAAGTGTATTTCTTTTCTTTTTGGTGGAGAAGCTCGTGTGCAGTGAAAAAGAAGAAATCTAGCCTAATCATCAGACAAAAGTTTTACTGTTTTAATTCCTTAGGTAATATTAAAAAATATATATAGAAAAACACAAAAACTCAAAAGCTATTGGCCCAATATTAACAACCAAATGGGGCTAATAAGCTTCAAAATCAAACAGACTCATGCGTAAGCTTTAGGGCCTGTACTTATTCCATCCTAATGTATTAATTGTTAAACAAATCGGAGCGCCCTTTCTCTTCCGAGTTAAACTCAGCCGTCTTACCCAGCCCTCGTTTTCCCTTTTTTCTTGTTCTTTTATTAAACCCTTGTTCTATTTATTTTTGTTGAGCCTTTGTTCTTTTTCAGTTCTACTACCCGTCGGCAGCTGTGGTGCTGCTTTCCCCCTGCTTCATAACATAGAAAGTTTAGCGTTCATTGTTTTCTTTTTCTTCTTTTTTCCTTCAAGTTTCTCAGAAAGCCAAAGGGGTTGCTTACAAAAGCTTTACTAAATGCAATTGTATATCCAAAGTTCAACTTTTAGTTCAGACTTTCCATTCCTTTTTGTTTATCTCCTGCAGTTACTTATCCATGTAGAATTTGCGGAAAGTTTCGTTTTCTTGTGAGTTTTTCTACTTCCTGTGCTCTAAAGACGGTAGATTTCTTTGAAGAAGGCGATACCCATGTTTCCGACTATCCAGAATTGCAGCGCAGAATGCAGAGTTATGCTACCTCAGGTGACTTTACCAATGCCCTCTTTACTCTGAGTTTGATGAAAACCATGCATGGAAAACCGTGTATGATTGCAATGCGTTGGTGTACTAGTACTTGAAATCAGAGAACGTGTGTTGGCAAGAGTTAGTTGAAATGTATATGGCGATGAAAAGATTTGGGCCTCCACCAAATGCATCCACTTTCAATACCCTCCGTAGTGGAATGCTAAATCTTGGTAATTTGAAACGTGCAACTTTTATTGTTGAAGAGATTTACAGGAGTCATTTTGTGCCGTCATTTAGTTCTTTGTTGAAAACCTTGAAAAAGGCGGTCCAAGTAGGGAACTTACTTGATGGTCTTACTGTTTTTGAGCTTATGTTGTGGTATGATTATCCCCCAACAGAACCAACTTTGAATAAATTTATTTCAATGCTTTGTGAAGCCGGGATGGTTTCCGAGGCTTGTTTTGTGTTCTCTGTTCTTTTGAGGAAGGGTTATGTTTATGGTGCATATTGTTACAATCCAATTCTATGGGCTTTATGCAAGTCTGGTCGGAGTTATATTGCTTTGCAATTGTTTTATTTGATGAAGAAGAAAGGGTTTGTTCATAATGTATGTTCATATACTGCTTTGATTTATGGGTTTAGTAGAGAAGGCTTGGAGGATGATGTTTTTCTATGTCTGGATTTCATTCCAAGTGATAGCTGTAAGCCTAATGTGATTACATACATGATAATTGTTAAGTTTCTTTTTGATAATGGGAAGTTTGAGTAGGCTATAGACTTTGTGGGTAAGATGGAAAGGGAAGGATGTGCTCCTGATCTGCTTACTTATAATATTATTCATTGTGAACTTTGCCATAGAGATAGACTGGCTGACATATCTGAGTTCATTTAGGTAATGGATCAAAGAGGTCTTTCTCCTGATTCATACTCATATGCTGCTCTTTGTGGAGGACTACTAATAATAGTAAAAGTAGGGATTGTGTGCAAACGATTGCTTGATATAATTTCCAATGGCTGTACTGTTGATGCTGCTGTTTATAATATCTACTTCCAATGTTTATGTCGAGGGAATAAATCATGAGAAGTCTTATCTTTGTTGAAGAGCATGACGGAAGCAGGCTTTAAGCCAAACAATGTGTCATATAACACAATTTTGAGTGGCTTTTGTAGAGAAAGCAATATTAATGAGGCTTTGGAGCTCCTGGACAATTTTTAGTGGGAAGAAAATGGGCCTGATGTGGTTTCTTTCAATATAATTTTGTCGACTGCATGCAGGCTGGGAAACTCTGCAATAATCCAAAGGATCTTGTATCATATGGAGTATGAACACATTAAGCTTGATGTTTTTAGTTTGTCTTGTTTGGTTCAATATCTCTGCACAATTGGAAACTTTTCAGAGTGTTTAAATTATTGGAGTCCATGATGCATAATTGTCATACTCCAACTGTAGTCATCTTCAATATGCTGCTACATAACCTTTGCAAGAATTAGTTACTTGGAATTGCTTATTGGATTTTCAAGAACTTAAGAAACATCAAGTTCCTTCCTAACGTGACTTCATACAACATTCATATCCATGCTTCTCTAAGAGAGAACAATCACCTTTTGGTTGGTCTATTGTTGAGGGAAATGAATAGACAGAAACTGAAACCTGATGTTTTTACCTACGGTTCATTAATTAGTGGCCTTTATAAGGAAGGGAAGATATCAGTTGCTCTCCAGCTGTGGAATCAAGTGCTAGAGAGGGATTATTTCTAGTGTTGTGATTTACAATACCATATTGCCGGCAGTGTTCAAGAGAGGCAAGTTTTGGGACATTCTCTCATTACTTAAAGTCATGGTAGTGGAGGGGTTTCAACCTGATGAGGTAACTCTAGGGATCCTTAACCAAGTAGTTTCAAACGGTAGGATGAAGAGATTTCCTAAAGTTGCTAAAGTTCTGGAGTGGGTGATAAGCAATGACTTTCAGAAAGAAACAGATCAAAGGGAAGTAGCTGGCTGACTTATCTAGTTTTTGAAGTTTCTTCTCATATTATTGCTCAAAGCATTTAACTATGTCTGTCTTGGTACTTTTGAAGGACCTTTCTGAAGTAGATTCAAGAATGAATTGGGTATGAAGAGTTCTCAATCAATGGTGAAAAAAAAGATTATTTTTATTGCATCTATGTTTTTTTACCGGAGAAAAAAAAAAGATTATGTAAGTTGTCAATGTTGAGAACTGGCTTCTCATGTTCTCTTTTGTTCTGATATGCAGTGTAAGGGAAAAATCCATGGATTCAGAGACATTGATTTGTCTTTGCATCAATAGTGGCGTCAAACATCTTAATGTCGGGAAGGTAATGTGTGTTTATTCTTCTTATCTCTCTCATTCTTTCCCCTCTGGTGACACCCCCTTCTATAATATTTACCCCAGTATCTCTTATCTATCACAATTGCATTCTTATTAAAGAACACAAAACTTAACCCGTCTTACAGTTTTGCTAATTCATCTGCGTGTTATGCATCTTACACAAGGAATTGCTTTGAACTTGAATTTTCTTTCATTTATGCTGTCTAGCTGTGTAATCAAATAATTTTGCTTCAAAATACAGTAGATGTTGGATGAATAGTTTGGTATGGAAGGAATTGATAACATTATAACATTATTTTGTGTTGCATAAAACTTTTTCGCTTTTTTCATCGTCTTTTTTGTTCTAATAGGATTTGTAGCTATGGATATGAACTGATTCTACTTTGAAGCATCCTCATTTAGTAGAATATCATTTGCATTTTTACAAGGTTATGATGATGAACGGGAATCAGGGTGAAAAACTGAAGAAGCAAAAATTGTCCAGAAGAACAATTATTGAATTATATCCTCAAGAACTTGACATGAGTGTGATAAGTCATCACTCAGCAGCTAGGCATCTCTGTTCCACAGCAGCTCTTTTCGTCCACCTATTTTTTGTTTTCACACACAGTTTCTTTCATTACTTCAGCTGAATAGTAAGCACTCCTATTTGGACATGCTTTATATTTTGCTCCATTTCTTAAGTTCTCCTTAGATTACAAATGATGGTGATTTAAATTTATTGTTTACTCATACGTAAACAAGTAATCTGTCTGTAGCATAGCTATATCTAAACTTTATACTTTCTTTTCTATTCATTTTAAACTATCGGTCTAGCAATTTATTAAAAAAATTAAAGATCATGGTGTACAACATAAATGCATTGCTTGCATGTATTTTTGAACTCCTCACCTGTCTATAGTTAGATTTATGTTTTCTCCTTCATTTGACGCAGTCATGGAGGCCATCCACGACCGTGAGTGCCCTAGCTAGACCCATTGAAGAACTGGTGGATCCAAATGTCATTCAATTGGCACTTGGTGCCATGTATTTGTTCTCCCTCTTGTTTTATCTGTGCGTATATATTTGTGTAGACATCCACAATTTCACCTCCCTTGTCTTCATCCGACCGAAATTCAGATATTCGTTGTTCCAACATGAAATGCTTTTCCTTCTAAAATAAATCAATAAATTTGCAATTGAACTTTCTTGAGCAATTCCTTCTAATTCGAATGAACGTTTTCTAATCTCCAGTCTTGGTATTTTAAACGTCCTTCAAAAGAGCTAAAGGTCCAATTCGATGGCGTTGCCCTTAAAAAGAAAGGCATATGCCCCTTTGAAGCAGCATCCAAACAATGTCCTATGATATAGCTTTTTATTTGCATTGATGCGGTACCTTTCATTGTAAAATACAAAGCATGATTTCCTATGAAGAGGGAAAAAAGAATAGGAAAATCAAGCACCAAATTTTAAAATGAAAAAAATAAAAATATATGCTTTTAAGACCAATCACCAACGTAATGATATTAGTTTAATTTCCGTTAGTTTCGGTTATATAAACTGAAGTCTCCAACAAACCCGGTCCTTTAACTCTTAAGAGTACTGATCCCATTGACTCGGTTCCAACGTGGTTTACCAGCCATATTCACCAGAGAGATAAGACAAAAAACTCCGAACCCCTTTCACATTCTTTCTTTTTTACTTTTTCTTTTTTGTCTTTTGTTGTTGAATAACATGAAATTTTGAATCTGTCCAGCATGTCTTATCAACTTCTTTAGACAATGTTAATGTTGTCTGCTGGAAAAGTCTCCATTTTTCATGTTCCAAAGTTAGAACAGTTATCTTGAAATTTATAGATCTTGTTCTGCAGAATTTTGATATATATATATATATATATATATATAGAGAGAGAGAGAGAGAGAGAGAGATTTAAGGAAAAGTTCGTGTTTTTATGATCTGGGTTTTCAGTCAAATTGTTGAAATTTTGATGGTTTATAGGATTTGGATCTAATCATAAAGAGAATAAAGAAAAATGGGGGTGGATTATTATAATATATTGAAGGTGAACAACAATGCAACAGATGATGATCTCAAAAAATCGTACAGGAGATTGGCAATGAAATGGCATCCTGACAAGAACCCGAACAATAAAAAAGAAGCCGAAGCCAAATTCAAGCAGATCTCTGAGGCATATGAGGTAGGTTTTTCCATCCCATCATTTTCTTTCTTATCTCTTTAATTGTCAATTCAAGAAAAAGAAAAGAATGGAATTTATACTTTTTTTTTCTTTATAGAGGTTTGATTATGGTATTTGCCTGGAAAGAAACACATAATCTTGACTCTTGTTTAGCAAAGAAGAGGGTGTTAGAATGAATGGGGAAGGCATGAAGAACTTAATGGTTTTTTTTTTTTTTGGAAACTATAGGAAGCTCTAACAGAAGAAAAAAGTTAGATGAAGTTATCCAGAACAGCTTCAATATTCGAATATTGTAGTTTACATGTAAACTTTATTGCTATAGCTTTTCTTGGTAATCAAGGGAATTAGAGCTTATAATAAGAAATCAATGATTGGTAATAGAAGAATAGGAATTTAATGCATTTGCAGAAACCAAATGATGTTAGGCTTTTAAGCTCTTTCAAGATTGCAAATTGTAGTATGTTGTATTCAGGCCAGCAAAGATATTATTATGCTAATTGGGGCAGATTAATGCGTTTAATTTTTTCTTTAGACCTGAGTTATGTTAGACTACTCCGGTGACCTTGGATCAATTATTACAACTTTATAAGTTCGTTAGAATTTAATATTGATTTTGTAAAGATTTTCTTACCCTTTTGTATATGGTTCTCAAACACGGTGTCTTTTTTGCTTTCTTCTGTGTTGCTCATCTTCTAGCTTAATGTAGTCTCTCCAACTTTATAAGCTTTATGATAGCTTTTTAAGGCTCTGTTTCTGTGAATGTTCTATGATAAGTTTATTCTAATCCCATCCTTTCTATGATTTTCAGCTACTACAATTTTTTCTTTTCAAGTTATATAATCTGATTGTCCTATTATAGATTAATTAGGATTTATGAGGAATTGGTTATGTGATTATGTGCTTGAGATTACTTTCTAAACCTGTTTTAGCTTCTAAACTATTGTTGATTTCCTTAGTATCTTAATAATCTGATTAGTTAGTCACATTAGAATAAAACAAGAATACGTTTTATTTTAATCATTGGAAATTAATAGAGTGGGGGTTGTGATTTGGATCAAGAGATTGGTGGTTTTTGTTGGTGCTAGCAAATTTATTTTTATTATGAGAACTTGTTGCCATTGATGGTGCTTTTTGATTAACCGGTGCATGATACTTGGTCTTTCTTCATTGTTGAGATTCATTATATGGTTATTGATGTATTGCTGTTGTGTGATTTCTGTTGTGGGGTTGATTCTTTTCTCTGGGGAAGTGATGGATTTTTTTCTAACCAATGCCCCCAACATGTTCAATATTTGGCCTCATTGAAGCTTCAAATTCGAATAGATGGTTTCTTATTGGTGGCAGACTCTGTAGTTTTTGCGACTTATTAGCTTGGGTTATGTATTTGGAATGGATGATCTTGTGTACTTATCCTTTCATCAATGAAAGTTCTTCTTGCTTTTCAAAAAAAAAAAAAAATTATATATATTTATATATATAGTGGAAGTTAGGGGTCTGGCTTCAAACCAGGACTTTAATGCATATTATAGGGGCTGGTTACCACCAAGAAAAAAGTGCTTAGCCCTAGAACAGGTTGTGCTTACCGTAATCTCAATTTCATTTTTATTTTGAAGACTGATGTGGCCTAACATGTGCCTAGATGGTACCCAATGGGTTCAAATCCCAGCTTGTCATGCATCACTATAGCATAGGTAGCACTGAGAGAGGTAGGAGCTGGTATCCATCAGTTCCCGGAATTTCTAGTTATTAAATATTCAACATTCCAAAATTTAATTATAACTGCTTTTCCTAAATTTAATTTGCACCCTAACAGAATTAGAGTAGTCTCTTTTTCTACTTTATGTTGCTCTAAATTATTATTCTTGATCATGGTGTCTACGTTTTCATACTGGGATTCACTTTTAAATGGAAAAAAATGAAGATGTCCACGGGGAATTAAGTTAATTTTGTGATCCAGGTCTTGAGTGACCCTCAAAAAAGAGCAATTTATGATCAGTACGGTGAAGAAGGGTTGAAAGACATGCCACCACCAGGCAACAGCAGACCATTTGGAAATGGCACTGGTGGGCCACATGGGTTCAATCCTAGGAATGCAGAAGATATCTTTGCAGAGTTCTTTGGAAGTAGTCCTTTTGGATTTGGGTCATCAGGACCTGGTAGGTCTTCAAGATTCCAGTCTGATGGAGGGATGTTTGGAGGATTTGGTTCAACCGACAATATTTTTCGAACTTCCAGTGAGGGGACTGTGCCCAGGAAACCTCCCCCAGTTGAGAGCAAATTGCCTTGCAGCCTAGAGGAGCTGTACACTGGATCAACAAGGAAGATGAAGATCTCTAGAACTGTTGTCAATGCAGCTGGGTATGAATATTCATCTCAGAACCATACTTTTGCTGTTCAATTCCTTCATCTCAGAACTATGCTTTTGCTGTTCAATTCCTTTCTTTTGTTAAATCTCCTATCATGAGCTATTGCTTTCTGAATTTGACTTTCCATAAATGCCTACAGTTTAATCGAGAAACACCTTATGCCATCATTAATGCTTCTCAAGTTTTGAGCAATCTTATGCATGATGCGATATTGCATTTTCTTGACTGAATTTTATTTCAATAAGCTCAGAAATATAATTTTGTTTTCCAAGGAATGAACTAACGAAATTCTTTATTACATTAGTTGAAGCTTTCGTCAAAGATGGAAGCTTTCTATATACCTTTTAGTTCCTGCAGGTTGACAGTCAAAGCATGCATTTTTATGGAAATAGGAGGGAAAAAGAAAGAAAAAACATTTCAAAACACATGTTGGCTGACGAATTTAATTATTTAATGCTTTATGGCATTTTGTTTTTCATGCATGTATTTCATTTTCATGCTGCAATCTATTAATTTGATTGAGATATTCTGGCCTTACTCAACTGGTTGTATTTACATTATTTTGATAATGACATAACTTTTGGTTGCTTTACATCTATCTAAAGCTAGAATTGTTATCTTTAATCTTGCTGATTGAATAATAATTTGAAACCTTACAGGCGGCAAGTACAAGAATCAGAAATATTAACCATTGATGTCAAGCCAGGGTGGAAGAAAGGAACGAAGATTACTTTCCTGGATAAAGGAAATGAGCAGCCAAATCAGCTTCCTGCAGACCTTGTATTTGTAATTGATGAGAAACCCCATGGATTTTACAAAAGAGACGGCAACGACCTTGTTGTTAACCAAAGGGTATCACTAGCAGAGGCACTTGGGGGCACAACAATCAGTCTCATTAGTCTTGATGGCCGCAATTTGTCATTTCCTGTAACTGATATTATCAATCCGGGTTATGAGCTTGTTGTTGCTGGAGAAGGAATGCCAATAGCAAAGGAGCCTGGTAATAGGGGTGATCTTAGGATCAAATTTGAGGTGAAGTTCCCTACAAGGTTGACACCAGAGCAACGAGCTGGACTCAAACGTGCTCTAGGGGGTTGAAGTAGGAATATTTCGTTTGCAGCAGCCATTACTTTCAGGCAGAACTCAAACACCAAAGCTGTCTCTGATATAGTAATAGACCGGCATCTTGGAAAAAATCCAACCCCTGTAACCTAATATTGGCTATTTTTTTTCATTCTTTTCCTTCCCATCTTTTGTTGTGTTATTGCTTATATTCTTGAGACGTAGGGGGTTGAAATTTTCATTGTTGTCCTTTATTCTTTGGTTTGTAACTTGTCTGTCCATCCAAGGTCTATATCTGCAACATGTATAATCATTTTTCCTTTTTGTTTGTAATTGTAACTTTTACAAGTGATAATATATGGATTTATACAAAGACTATGATCAATTACATGTTTGATCAAGAGAACTTCATCCCACTGCCTCCCCCTCAGCTCCAAGAATCAAAAGTCAAAAGACATGTTCATGTGGGTATGCAACAGACCTCAAATCAGGCTTAGAAATTTAAAAAAATATATATTTTTTGTTGGGACAGGGTGGAACGGAATTGAATAGCGATGCCCGTCAAAGTGCCTTGAGACATACAGTTGGTCCAGTTATGACAAACCCAGTTCCAGATATTTCCAAATCAACATGCAAAAAGTAGTTTTAAAGAAATGCTATAAAAGTTATCCGTCGAATTCTGCTTATTTGAATTGCATCAAAAGTGCACGAGAATTGAGAATAAGATATATATTTTTTTATATTGATGGTTGCAATTTGAGAATAGAGGAAATGATTGTAGATGAAGACAAACTGTCATGTTTGCTTCAACAAGAACTACCATCAATTAAAGGAAGAAGCTACGAAATGAAAAGATTCATCAAAGGTTACAAAAGATAGAAGAAAACTAAACAAAACAGCAACATAAACGCTGGATTTACAAAAGATGGAACTAAAAGCCTCTATTGTTCGGAGCATGCTTTCGCCAGGCAGGATGCCCAGTTCCTTCTGCTGTCCCGTATAATTGAGCTGCATTAACAAATTGCTGGCCTTGGGAACCAGGCGGAGGAACCCTCCAAGTTCCCTGTTGCAATGACTGAGTAGCATTCTGTTGACCTTGAACATGCATTGTTTGTAATGCCTGGTGAGGTAATTGCTGAGGTGCATGCATTGGATGTTGAAATCTACTAACTTGGGGTGGTGGGTGTTGCAGCTGCGGCTTTTGGGATGTTTGAGGCTGCCATTCGGGTATATCATCATCGTCATCATCATTCCATTGTTGCATTGGAACCCCGAGGGTTGCACTAGTATTTGGTTGCCCGTACTTTTGTATGAGCTCCCTCATTTGATCAACAGGGCGAGGTGATGTTTGAGAGTGTAAATGAGAAGAGGCCATCCCTACTCGCCGGGATTGGAACCCAGCAGGGAGTCGTGGCCCCGATGGGTTTGAGCCACCAGAGAAATTAAACTCAGGTAAGTCATCTTCATCCCGGGATGTGGCAGGGCCAAATCCCGGTGGCACATCATCGTCCTCCTCATCATCAGGAGGTTCGGAATGGAGAGGTCCACCATGAGAAAAAGTAGGCTTTGATGGGAAATCAGTATTCATGTTAGTACTATGCTTTTCTTGCTGTCTCCTAGAAGTGAAGTGTTGCCTTTTTGAGGTGTGTTTATGGTGTGAAGTTGAGTTGGGTGATATTAATTGAGCTCTTCTCCATACAACAACACCAATTAGACCATTATCGATAGCATTAAGGGCCTCAAGTTGGTCCCTTGGGAGGACCTTGCTGAGCATTCCAAGTGTTTTTGCATGCGGTGCGCAAAGATAAAGTTCAGCTCCGGAGGCAGGCTCAACAAAACCCGCTCTCCCATCCAAAGTATATGAATCAGCCGCCTACACAAGGGCACCTAAGTCAACACTCAGATGCCAACTAAACAGGAATAATTATCCAACATTTTTTTTTCTACGTTTCTTACCTCAACCAGGCTCCCACGCTCACTCTCGGTTGATCCCTCCTTGCAAACAAAATGAACCACCTGCAAAACATTAAGAATAACATCAGTCAAACCCCAAAATGAACAAAAACAGACCAAAAAACAGAAAAAAGAAATATTGTTTTTCCAACTGGATTTGAGTATTTCGCTCCGGGTACTCGAATATATAGAGATTATTATTTTGTTTCGAGTTTATACAACATTTCTCGTCTTTGAGATTCCTTAATCTCTCCCACTGGGAGATTAATCTGGAAATATTGGCAACATTTCACATTCATTTCCCGAATTCTTTTCATGTAGACTTCAATTGTATTTGAGCATGGCTTCTTACAAGTTATTCTGCGCCCAATAAGTAATCATAGAAACAACAAAATTTTTGCATGCAACGGCCAATCAGATTAATCCTCCAAAATTTTCATTCCAACTCAATCCAGCCAGAGGGAAATTGACTGATCAGATGTTCAACCTTATTTTTGTTCTGTCTCTTTTGTCTTTTTTTTTTAACTTATTGAATTCGCAGCGACCCAAAGCTTACCAAATTCCATAAACGAGATTGACCCTATGCTCAGCAAATATAAATAAACGGAAGATATCAACTGGGATAAAAAAAAGTTATTTTTGTTCCCCCATTTTTCTTCTTTTTGGACACAATATGGCAGTACAGGAATTTACTACAATTTAAATGAACTTGAGATACCATAACAGTACGACTCCGAGACTTAGGTAGCTCTTGGAGGAACTTCTCAAACGCATCAAGTCTGACTCTGCCTTTGATTTCAAGACAGCTAGGCCAATCCTTTGTAGATGTTTTTTCACCACTGCAGAAGGAAAAATTGGATCCTTAATATACGCAACAAACCTTAACATAAAGATATTAACCTCAATCAATGGAACATCAAAATTCAATGAAAACTCAGAAAGTCAGCATCTCATGCAGAACCAAACCATCCAAAATAAAAAATTTGAAAAAAAAAAAAAACTGACCATAGCCAAATAGGTAATCACGTCAACCAAAAGAAACTGGATATTCCATCAATTCATTTTAAACTTCAACCTAAAAGGCATTGTGCCTCTTCACTATAACATATTATAAACTTTTATAGCATCCAAAAGGATGTTCCTTGATCCATCTACAGATTTACCTTAAACCAAACCACAAATTATAGACCCATGCTTCAAAGCATGCCATTTATCTACCTATTCATATGCTTCTCGAAGCTACTAACATATATGGCACTCTAAAGAGCTAATCCTCGCTTCGTGAAGAATTATTCTTTGACATTGTCCTGTCCTTAAAATACTTGACTTGGTCATCTAAAGTAGAAATAAGCTTTAAAATCTACCATATCCACCCTAGTTATGGGCTAAACATTAAGAAACTAAGATAGTTTTATGATATTACAAACTCGAAAACTTTCCCCAATTCATTTCTAAAAAATTCAGAGGAAAAAACCACCTTCATCAAAGTTGAGTTAATAACAATTTAAATTTAAACCCTGTCTGCTCATTAACAAAGAACAAGATTATAAATAAACATATGCCTGTACATGTAATAATATACAGATAAGATAAAGTTTTATGATATTGAGAACTCCAAAACCTTCCCCAATTCATTTCTAAAAAATTCAGAGGAAAAAACCACCATCATCAAAGTTAAGTTAGTAACAACTTAAGCTTAAGCCCTGTCTGCTCGTTAACGAAGCACATGATTACAAATAAACGTATGCCTGTACATGTACTAATATACAGATAAGATAAAAGGAGCACTGTGATAAATAATAGACAAACTGAGACAAACAGATGGGGACCAAAAAAATTCAACAACAAATTATGTTCAGTAAAAAAAAATTCTAAGAATGGCAGCCTTGCATAACATACCACTTGTAAAACATACCTTTTAAAAGTACAAATGACAGAGGTCGTGGCTGTGATATTTAGCTGTAGCATCCCTTCCCAGACATGTTCACCCTTCAAAGTGGCTACAGAAACTATAGTTTCTGTTTTTGTAGGAATGTCATTCGGCTTAACATCTGAATCAGATTTCAGATTACTTGCATCAATACTTCCAGATTTATCAGGCATTGTATCCACAGGATCTTGTGAAGCTCGACCAGAAGACTTTGAGTCAGACCCAGCTTCCGAGTCATCCTCATCAAAAATCGGTGCTGCTTTTCCAGCATCACCAGGTAAATTCTCAAATGGTGGCTCTGAATCAAGAGATTGCATGAACTCATCAAGGGAAACAATAGGAGGAAGAAAATCAGCATCCTTCAATTCATCTTCTCCTATCAACCCTTGCATTGGATCAGGTCCCTCATCTGAAGAAATGGTAATGGTAAGATTTGGGTCCTCTAGATTACTCTTTTCACCTGCAGTATCTGACTCATCTTTCTTTCCACCAGTTTTAACAGCTGTAGGAGCTTGTTTTGCCTCAGTTTTTGGTCGCTGAGTAATTGAAGTTCCAGCAGAAACTTCCACTGAAGCACCGTCAGTTTGTTCAACCTCCACTTGAAACTCACCCTTATGTGTTTTCCTCACTAGACGTCTAATATCAACTTCTATATCCGGCAAAACTACCATTTGAGCTAGCTCTTCTGCTTTTGCTTGTCGCCACTCTGAAAGCTCTTTAGAAGCTAGCTCCTCAGCACTCATAGAACATAGTCGTTCTGGGGGAATTTTGCCAGACACCACTCTTTCTCTAAGTTCAGGGTTATTACGGTCCTTTAAGTTAAACAATAGAGACCTGCCCTTCTCCTTATACTTTTTATTCACACCTCCAAATAATTTAAAGAGTTCTGCTTCAATTTGATATGCCAACTCTTGCGGAGACTGTAATGATTGTTCCATATCATCTTTTCCCACCTTTTCATTATTTGGGTTTTGTTTCCCAACCGTTTCAATTTCCTTTTTCTTTGCCACATCTACTTCAGGTTCTAATACCCAAGAAAGGCCATTTCCCTGCAAAAGTTCATCTCTTGCAAAAATGTTGTCACTAAATGGAACATCCTCATCAGGTAAAAGATTGCTCGATTGAAATTGCTGCTCATCACATCGCAAAGTTTGTCTAGCATCACTATTATTTTCAACAGCAGCACCATCACGATTGGAAAGCAATATCCCCTGAGGTGCAGCAGATATAGAGCGCACAGCATCAGAATTACCAGAATTAGAATCAACAGAGTGAGAACCCTCTTCTGCCTTCCCAGGAGAACTTACAGCTTCACCATTTGAGTTCTTCTCCACCATTGCATTTTCACCTTGCTCCTGAGAAACCAAGGCCAGGGCACCAGCTAAAGATTCCCGCATCTTGGACCTTACAGATTCAAATGACTCAGTCTGAAACTTTGGTGATGGCCGCATCTGTGCAGCCTGATTCCTAGAAGCCAGCGCAGATTTATTTGGAACTGATTTCTTATTCAATGCTGGAGAAGGCTGTGATCCTGGGGAGTTAGAAACAGACTGCACCTGAACAGTTCTTTTACTAAGTGCAAATATTGGTTGCAACCAAGGCCTGTGTTCCATATGTGCCACTCGTTTGTTCAGCAATGATAACTTCTGTGGAAGAGAATTAGGGGAAATTGGTTCCATTGGTGCCTTACGCTTGTTCAAAGTTGGTAATTGATGTGCTCTCATGCTATCCAACATGGTGGGATTTATTTCTCCAACAGTCTTATTAGACATTAAATACTGCTGTGATAGCTGAGTATGTGCTTGGGATTCGATATGTCCACCTTGCTGGTTTGACACTGAGGATAACTGCGACCCAAGGTCAGTAGACACATATCCCATCAGTCCTATTGGCATACTTGAAGGTATCTGCTGCTGTAAAGATTCATTGGTCCCAAATCCCATCAATCCCATGGACATTGGTGCATCCAATTTGCTGGAAATGGGTTCCATAGGTGCCATTTGGTTACCAGGTATTGATAATTGCTGAGATACCAGATCGTTTGACATGCTAGACCGGCACCATAAAACACATATACAAATACCACAGCGTTGTAAATTAGTAAATAAATCATCAATCCATTGTAATACTATTAATTCAAGCTCGCATGTTCACTTCATCAATGAAACAAAAGAATGACCATGCAAACAAGCTCCAAAACTAAGGAACATATGAAATAGTGATTTAACTTTTCCACAATATGGAATCATTAAAACTATTCAAAATAGAAAAAAAAAAAAAAAAAAAAAGAAAGAAAGAAAAGACCGCTGAATAAATATATATACATATATATATTTAACTTAAGGAAAATACTCGATCGATTATTGTAAAAGTCCAAAATTCAGAAAGACGAATAAACGAAAAAGAAAGTAATAATAATACTAAAGAAATTATAACCAATTGCCATGCTTTCAAAGCACAAAATCGAACCAACTGATTAACATTTCCTTCAAATTAAAAACGATATTTAGCCAAAAAAATAAATAACTAGTCATGCAAAGTCAAGAATCATCAAAACAGAAACAAGAAAAAAAAAGAAAAGAGTAACATTTCTTGCAAAGAAACGGATTTAAATCTAAAACCCTAAATTCAAAAAGCATAGAAATTTTCAGAAAAGAGGTTGATTGAAAATAAGGTCTAGGGTTTTGAAGTATGAAGCGTACCTGAATCGAGAGGAGCAGAGCAGAACTGAACTGAGAGAGAGAAGAGATGAGGGTAAAGCTTGATGAAAGCTTATTGGAGGCTTTGAAGAGATTGATTGGTTACGGAGAAATTGTGAACCCTAAATTAATTTAAAAAAGGAAAAGAAAAAATCTAAAGTAATAGTAGAAGATTAAAGATACCGAATGAGTACGACGTCTTTTACGAGTCTTGTGCTTATCCCGTGTCAAAGGCGTTAAAACGTTAGCATTTTCCTAGGGCGGATTAGTGGACTGACAAGTGGGCCATTCTGTCCTTTTATTCGGGCCCACCATGATTTTAAGCCCACGTGTATCGGTTCTGCAAATCGGATCGAATCAAGAATTGACTTGACCCAAGTTCTTCAATGGGTCAGATTAAGATATTTATCAAATCCAAATCCATCGTCACACAGATTTTTTTTTTATTGGCAATTGATTCATTTTTTTTGTTTAGATTTTTATTGAATTTATGTATTTGCATTTTATTTATCTCATATAAAATATATATAAAATACAAAATTACTTATTTATGAAAATTGTTCATTCATGTTAATATTGACGTGTCAAATACTATACATATTTTTTATTTGAGTAAATAGTACTCATGATTAGTAAATTTTGAATCAAATTTTATTTTAACACTTGAACTTTAAAAAGTTATAATTGAGCTTTCTATTATTTAAACATGTATCAATATAATCCTTTCGTTAATGAAATTGTCTAATTTAACAAAAAAGATCAAGTGGCACGATACATATTAAATAGAAAAAAAATTTAATAAAATAAATTTAAATATGTGAAATTAAAAAATTCAGAAGAAAAAATCTCAAATAAAAAATTTCCAATCTTCATTTCATCAAATTCAGCTAACCCAACAATAATTTACTTTTATTGCCAAAAATCTCCATTACACCAACCTTCACCTTTGATCATCATCAATCATTGCCTTTACTATAGCTTACCCGAAACACAAACACCACCAAAACCCCCACCAAACAACCTCCTCACTTATCCAATCGAGACTCATCCTACTTAGCAAAAAAACAACATAACAACATAAGAAAAACTTAGCCATAGTTTGTTTTAAATAATAAAATAATCACAAAAGACATAAAAAACCTCAACAAAAAATAGCTTAAAAAAGATGATTTTGGGTTTTCATAATTTGAAGGAGATTTTTGGCTTGAAAGTTGGAGGAAAAAAAGAAAAAGAACAATACACTAAAATGGCACATAAGAATAAAATAAACCACACTAAAATGTGATGGGTTCCAAATAGTTGATAACATATGAAGAAAATGAACATATTAACCATAAAATGGCACATAAAGATATTAATTATGACACATTGACTTATGAGCTTCTACTCAAATATGCAAAGAGATTCGTACTTATTAACTGGACTGTGAGATATGTCAATAAATTATCTAAACAATAATCGAAAGAAACACTCATTGCATCTTCTCTAGAGAAAACATGTTCATTTTCTTCCCCTGCAGCCATAATCCCACCCTCTCTAGCACCTAAGTTGATTTCCCTAGACCATCATTATTTCTACTTTTCTTCACCTTGAACATGTAAGTTGGTAAAACATCTATTGACTCGGATATGGCTCATCTAGTGTGTGATAAATCCTCTCTAAATCCAAGGACAAAAATAATACAAAGGCAACAGTAAATCATAGCACATAGAATGAAAGGCATAGCATATCCAATACAGCTAAATGTAAGAAAAACCAAAGATAACCTGTAAAATGAATACAAAAAAAAAAAAGGATGAACTCACAGAAAAGGTACAAATGTGTAGTAATAGCAAACATGCCAATAGATAGTGGCTGGTACCTATACATCTTAAGAGCCTTACTAGTACACGAATGCAGACCAAAGATCTAAACATTGCCAACCATAAACCAAACAGCGAAAAAGCAATCTAAAGCCATTTTGAAGTAATCCACTAACGCCTTAATTCTGCACAATAAAACCAGCTAATTGTCAACTAAAGGCTATTGAGCATTATAATTATCATAACGATTTTTTGGTCATTAAACAAATTTGAAAACAAAAAAGAATAATCACTAATTTTTTTTAGTTAAGTGTGATTGACTACTTATTAAAACATACATTTTTAATAAAAATTTTAAGTTAATTAAAATTTTATCAAAAAAAATTTTTTAGATCTGTAAAAACAGTTTAGGTTTGGGAGTCGGTTACGTGTAAAGGAAGAATTAACACCCCCACAGTGTTAATTAAAAACAATACCAATTAATTATGTATTATCTTTCAATTTTGATAAAAAAGGTCTTAATTTTGGTATTTAAAATTTAATTTCCTTAATTTTCTTTTAAAACATATTTTTATTATTTTAGTATGTTTGAAAAATAAATAAGAACCTTACATATTGAAAAATCCTAAAAATATTCTGATATTCTAATGATATTAAAAGAAACCATCTCACTTATGGATTTTTTAAGAATTGTTATTCGAAATTCTCAAAAGTCCTATCATCAACAGTTCATATCTATCTGTAAAATCTATATTTATAATGCATGTAATATAATAGCTATAATTTAATCCCAATAATATTTTAAAATACATTTCTTATTCTATTAAAAAAAAAAAATTTTTTTGTTGAAAATTATTCTAAATGCTCCAATACTTTGACGGTATTTTACATAAATTTTCTCACTTAAAGATTCCTAAAGAATCACTATTCAAACTTCTTTAAGATCTCATCCTTAGATAATTTTTCATTTACTTTTATAAAAATATTAATATTTAAAAATCATGTAATAATATAATTATCTATAAATAAATTTATTTTCTAAAAAAAAACATATTCTTATAAATATTTATATTTTTATCATTTTAAAAAAATTGTTCAAATTAAAGAAAAAAAATAAAAACCTTGTATTGAAAAAGTTTCTAAATATTCTAATACTTTGATAATTTTTAGAAGTCTTTTCTCACTTAAAGAATTATTATGAATCACTACTTTGACTCTTTAGAGTCCCATCCTCAAAATTTTTCATTACTGTTTATAATTGATATATGCAAAATATGGTGCATATGAATTAATTTGTGATGCTATTGTATTATATAAAAGTTTATATTTAGAGGTGAAAAATAAACAAAATTTTTCGTATTGAGAATCATTTTAAATATTATAATTCTTTGACGATATGTTTAGAAAAATTCTCTCACCTAAGGATTTTTTAAGATTTTCTACTATACTTAATTAGAATCTAGTTCATTGTGAAAAGAAATGATATTTTATATTAAAATATATATATATTTAAAAATTGTGAAATAAACAAATTTTTCGTATTGAGAATCATTTTAAATATTATAATTCTTTGACGATATGTTTAGAAAAATTCTCTCACCTAAGGATTTTTTAAGATTTTCTACTATACTTATTAGAATCTAGTTCATTGTGAAAAGAAATGATATTTTATTAAAAATTATATATTTAAAAATGCTGCAATTAAGATTGATAAATTTAAGATTAGTTCTAGTTTGAAAACAAGGCAAATCTAGTTGAGTAAGAAAACAATGAACTTATTGCAATGATGATCGACATGCAAATTAGAAGGATCATCTGAAATTCATCTGGCTACTACAAATAAGTTATCTTATTGGTGGCTAGATTTTGGTGCAACAATTCATATTTACAACAAAAAGAATTCAAGAGTTATGAAGAATGAAAGGGACTAAAAAACATCCTTATGGGAAATTATGTTCCTAACAAAGTGATTGGAAAAGGAATGACTTAATTGAAATTCATCTCATGATAGAAATTAACTTTACTTAATGTTTTTCATATTCTTGAGATTAGAAAGAACATTATATCTGTAAATCTATTATGTAAGAAATATTTTAAGATTCTACTATAGAGTCTGATAAAGTTATAGTATCCAAAAATAAAATATTTATTGGAAAAAGATATTCCAATGATGTTATGTTTAAACTAAGTATTAATGAAATAAATAGTATTTTTTTATATTATTGAACATTATTCTTCTTTATGGCATGTTAAATTAGGACATTTAAATTATCAATATATGAATCATATGTCTAAACATGCTTATATAACATACCAGAAAAATCATGAAATTAAATATGAAACCTGTGTCAAACCAAAAATAAATAAGAAACCTTTTCCTAAAGTTGAAAGAAATACAGAATTGTTAAAACTTGTATTTTTGATATTTGTGAGCTAAATGATTTATTAACAAGGGAAGAAAAAATGTATTTTATAACATTTATAAATGATAATTTTTGTTATACTTTTATGTATCTAACGAGAACAAAAGACAAAACTTTTAATAAATTTAAAGAATATAAATCAATTGTTGAAAATCAAAAAGAAAAAAAATCAAAATTCTTCAAATTTTGATAAAGGTGAGGAATATTTTCTAAATTTCTTTTCTTTTTTTTTTTGGGAAGATAATGAAATTATTCATCAAAAGATAGCCCTTTATGCACTTTAACAAATGGTTTAAAAAAAAAAAAACCTTAGTTGATATGGTAATAGTATGTTGTTAAATGCTAAAGTACCTTTAAATCTTTAAGGAGAAGATTTTTAACAGCATGTTATATACATAAAGAATTCTTTCAAAGAAATTCTTGAAGAAGAAATTCTTGAAGACACCATATGAACTTTAAAATTATGGCTGATAACCATATTTAGATTATTTTAAAGTGTAGGGGTTAATTGCCTTTTATAAAGTACCTAATCCTTATAAATCAAAACTAGAACCTAACGGCATTAAAAGCATTTTGTTGGTTATGCACAAAATTCAAAAGCATATAGACTTCTTTATTTAAATACTAATGTTATTGTGAAATCTATTCATGTAGAATTTTTTAAAAGAAAGTTTATATGTGATACTGAAATTGATATGAATAAACAAATTGAAATGATTCCTATGATTACAAATAAAAAAAATCTAATAATTCTGTTGAACTTAAAAGAAGGTAAAGAACTAGAAAAGAGAACTTTTTGCATTTTGATTTTGTTTCTCCAGATTCTATTGTCTTCTTAGTAGAAGAAAATAGAATCAAAGTGCTTAATAAAACATCAATTTTATTAAAAGTAAAAAATACCCTAAAATATTTAATGAAGCTATGACTTCAAGAGATGTTACTTTTTAGAAAAAGGCTATTAATGATGAAATAAATTTAATTATGTCCAATAATACATGGGTCTTGGTAGATTTATCTCCAGGTTTTAAACCTATAGGATGTAAATGGGTGTTTAGGATAAAATATAATACAGATAGTTTTATATAAACCTTTAACGCAAGATTAGTTGTAAAAGGTTTTAAAGAAAATGAAGGCATAGATTATTTTGATACATATGCTATAGTAGCTAGAATAATATCCATTAGAGTTCTTATAGCTTTGGTTTCCATTTAAATTACATATACCTTAAATGGATGTTAAAACAACTTTTTTAAATGGTGACTTAAAGGAAGAAGTATACATGAAACAACCAGAAAGTTTTATTCTTCCAAGTAATGAAAATAGAAGTTTGTAAATTAATTAAGTCACTTTATGGGCTAAAACAAGCTCTTAAACAATGGCATGAAAAGTTTGATTCAATCATATTAGCCAATAGTTTTAAACATAATGAGTGAATAAATGTATTTACTCAAAATTTACTAAAGAATATAGAGTTATAATATGTCTCTATGTGGATTATATGCTAATTTTTAGTAGTAATATGATTGTCATAAATGAAACTAAAAAGTTTCTTATTTCTAATTTCAAAATGAAATATTTAAATAAAGTTGATACCATTTTAGGAATTAAAGTTAATAGACATAACAAAGGTTTCGTACTTAATCAAAACCATTATATTGAGAAAGTGCCTAATAAGTTTAAGTATCTTAATATAAAATAAGCCAATACTTCATATGATACAAGTATAAAGTTAATAGAAAATCAAGGTCATGTAACTACACAACTTGAATATGCTAATGTTATTGGAAGTATTATATATGTTATGCCTTGTACTAGGTCAGATATAACTTTTGCTATTTGTAAGTTATCAAGATATACAAGCAAGCCTAGTATAAGTCATTGAAAAGTTATAGGAAGAATTCTTCATTATCATAAAAGAGCTAAAGATTTTGGCTTATTTTATTTGGGGTATCCAGCTATTTTGGAAAGATATTCGGATACAAGTTGGATCACTAGTATAAGTGACAATAAATTCAGTTTAGGTTAGACGTTTGCTCTTGAAGATGGTGCAAATAGTTGGGCATCCAAGAAATGAACTTGCATTTCACATTCAACTATAGAATCTAAATTTATCGCTTTAGATACAATAGCCAATGAAGCAAAATGACTAAGAAATTTATTAATGGATATAGAGTTGTAGCCGCAACCAAAGACAGTCATTTCCTTGTATTGTGATAGTGAAGTTATTATGTCTAGAGCTTATAGTGAAATTTATAATGAAAAATCTAGACATATTGGTTTAAGACATGACTATATCAGAGAATTGATAAAAAAGTCGGGTAATTACCATAATATATGTTAAATTCGTTAATAACTTAGTAGATCTTCTTACCAATGCGCTACTAACAATTTGGTAAGAAGCACCATAAGTGGAATGGGTTTAAAATTCCTTTAGATGTCAATAATAGGAAACCTAACTTTGAATTAGTAATCTCTAATTACAAAGTTTAATAAGTAACAACAAGTTATTATTATGTATCTGTAAATACTAGTCAGCCCATTTTAAATATTTGAAATATTAGCGTAAATCGTTGCATAAATGGAGGTTAAGATTAAACTTTTAATGGAGTATATAAATTAAATGTCCATGGTAATTGAGACAAAAGAAGAAACTCTACTTATATAAACATTGAAGTGGTGCTGCTTCAATAAGAAAATTAGAAAACTTTCTTGTAAATGTTTATGAATAAAGATAAGCATATAGCCATAATAATACTAAAGCGATTATAAACCTCTAACATAATATTAAATAAATATTATATGTGTTATATCTTCAATTTTAGCAATAAAAGTTAAGATTTAATCTACGGACACCATCAATTTTGTTAGAATTTTATGATATTTTACTAATTAAAGGTTTAAATCGAAATATATTTTCTTATATTCGTAATATTTATTTGTGTGAAAAATTAAAGATTAAACACGAATATTCCAAACTAGTAGGAGATTGTTGATAGTTTAAAATGTGACGTATTTCCACATTGAATAGAAAGTTGTATTTAGTTTAAAAGAGATTACTTGTGTTATTTAAATAATTGGTCTAAGTATTAGAGTAGACCAAGTCACTTAGGCTTGTTAGGAGTTTTTCTAATGGGTCAGATAATTTTAAAAGTTAAAAAATTGGGCACTTAGGCATTTAGACTTGTTTAAAAAGATAGATTTATTTTTTATTAATTTTTTAGAATATTAATAAAATATTATTTTTATTCTAAATAAGCATATTTGAACAAAAAAAATGTGACTATCTGAATAAACATGTTTGAACAGGAAAACATGATTGTTTGATTATGATTGTTTGATTAAGTTTGTTTAAATAAGAAAACATGACTATATGGATTGTCATGAGTTCTTGAATAACAATTTTGGAGTTGTTTGTTTATTATAAATAAATATTTCTACTTGATCAATTTCATTATTTTTGATTAGAGAGTTTTATGATTTTATTGTATTCTACATGTATAATTACTTTAAGATAATATTCTTCATACCTCAAAGTCATATTTTTTTCTTATTAATTTTATTTTCTCAAAATTTTCTAACAATTTAAAAGTAATTATTATGGATACTACTTCATCTACTATCACACCTATTATTAATGATTTGGAATCAATCATTAATGCTTATTTTAGAATCAAGATGTAATTAAACTTGATCATTTCAATGGATTGAACTACACTAAATGAAAGGACAAAATAGTTTTCTTGTAAATTGCATAGAAGATATTTTATATATTTGATCTATATTTGCAATTAATTCCAAAACCTAACTCCTAAAGACTTTGATGCTATTAAGACAATAAAAAACAAACGTGAAAAAGGTAAATTAGTTTGTCAAGATTATATTTTAAATTTACTATTTGATTGGCATAACTACATAGACTGAGATGACTATGAGGTTGACTCCCTGATGAAAAAAAAAGACATAGTTGGTGGCGACAAATCAGAAATGACAATAGTTCCAACAGAATAGTACATTGTTTCTATCTTCAATTAGTTGTTAAATGGAAGCAACAATAACGTTTATAAATTAGCAATAGAAATACACTAGAATAAAGAACTATTAAGAACAAAAAAATAAATAAATTAAGTTAAAAAAGCACCTAATAATTAAAATTACCTCAAATCTAATTAAATAATTGCCTTTAAAAATCACGTCTAATGGCTAGTTTTGTCACTAAAATAAAAAATAAAAAATAATTAATTAAATAAATTCTATTTAAAAATAAGTTAAAAAAGCAAAAAAATCTCATAGTGAAATGCTGAAATTTTTGACTAAAAACTAAAAAAAAAACTATTATTATTTAAATTTTATAACAAACAAATCATCAAAAGTTGTATTCAAAATTAAAAGATCATAAAAGAAATAAGAAAGAACAAAAGAAGAAAAGCAATAAAAAAGGAGGAAAGGCAACATAGGAAAGAAAAGAGGAAAAAATAGCATGCAAAAATTATAAAAAAAAAAAGGATAATAGATAAAATAATAATAATAAAAATTAAATTAAATTAAATTATTTTTAAATAATAAATAATATTTTAAGTCAGATTTAAGCTTGAAAATCCCTGTCTGAAACTGTCGCCAATCAAATCAAGGTCACGGGCTTGATGGAAAATTCGTTCCATGGATTGGTGGTAAGTGTGAGTTTCTTCTAATTATATATTAATTTGTTAACCGTTAATTTGGCTTGTTTATTAATTTTTTTTATTGAAAATTATTTCATTATAAATCTATTATTGTAATTTCAACCAATATATCTAATTTCATTATAAAAAAATTTCATATTTAAATTGTTGGAAAAAAGTGATTGGGAAGAATTGGTGTCGGAAAGGATAGAAAAGAAACAATCAAGAAAAAAAAAACAAGGCAATTAGCTCATAAATATAAAATTAAAGTAAAATTTTAATAATTTTAGTCATCATTTTTTTACACAAATATAAATCTAATTTTCATTCAATGATAAAAAATGTTAAATTTAATTTTATATAAACAAATCTCTCATAAATATTAGTTATTAATATATTAACAAAAATTATTTAATATATTAGTAATGAAATTTTTAATTTTATAATTAAAATTAAGATGTGATATATGTCTCTTAATATATTTTTAAAAAATCAATTTTAAAAAATTATTATTATCTTAATTTTGTTTATGAAAATAAAATTTTATTATCAATTTGTTAATAAAATCTCTTAATAAAAATATATAATTTGTTTAATTAAAAAGTAAATAATAATTCAAGTTAATGTCAATTAGATCTTTTCAAACAAGATATTGGGAATATAATAATGTTTGCTTAATCTCAATCCAATTTGAAATATGAGCGTCACTTTTTTTTTAAGTCCAACTCATTTTTAAAATAAACTATTAAAATCCATCCATATTTTATTTTATTCTTTAAATAAAAATAAAAATAAAATTTATAATAAAAATTAATTATGATAAAATAAAATCTAAAAAATAATTTATTAATTTAATTTGATGTTTAAATAAATTTGTTATATATATACATATGATATTAATGTATAATATATATTATTTAATTTATTTATTTATTTTTGTGTAATATAATTATAAATATAAAAAATATATAATAATTATTCTAGTTGGAAGGACTCTGGTTTTAAATATCATACTCAAAATTAAATCTAATTTTAAATAAACCTTAAATTCAAATCTAAACCCATTTAACCAATTTACAATTTATATCCAAATACATCTAAATTTCGACCAAACTTTTAAACTTGGTAGGTCTGGTTCGCCGACCCTTGTACACTTCTAATCTCAATCAAAGTTGGGTTTGTGGGCCTAAGCAATGTTACCAACGTCATCAAATCGAACCAATCATAATCCAACGGTTGAAAACACGTGTCACGTCCGTATGAACGTACACCAACCAGAGCATGCATGAAAAAAAGAAGGAAAATAATTGTGCTTTCTTTTATATTTTAAAAAAAGCGCATGCCTGCATTTTCCCAGAAAATCCCACAGTTTTCGCATCAACCGAGAAAAATAAAATTTCTTTCCTTTCTTTTTCTTCAACAACAACAATAAAGACTCCAAAGAAACTCGACCTTGATAGTTAGATGGCTCTCCACCATAAAAACAAATAAAACAACAAGAAGAAGAAGCTTTCTCGCTCTCGCTTTAACCACAATTTCTTTTCTCTATCTCTTTCTCCTTCTCTTTATCTTTCTTTCTCTCCAAACATACCGTTTACCACTCTCACTCTCTAGAAATCTCTCTGGGTGGATCTTTCAGTTCCAAAGGTTCGTATATAACTTTGTAATCAATTCTCTCTCTTCTCTCGGAATAATGAGATTCAGATTCATCATCTAAAATTATTTATCTTTCTTTTCCTCATCTCCTTTTTGCTTTTTTTTTTTGGATTGATATTTGTGAAATTTGTTTCTTTTTTTTTTTTTTTTTAAAATTTGGGAGCGAAATGTTGGCGATTGAAAAATGTTTCTCCTTTTCACGATTCTTGGAGAATCCGTTTCGCTGCTTTGCTTTTCGATCTAAGCGCGTTTCTTTCTCCCCCAGATCTATCAACAAAATCTAGGGTTAGAGTTTCCTTCTTTCCTTCTAACAATGTTTGATTGATTTATCAAATCGGTTCCTGGACAATGTGGCTGTTTTGAATTTAAGACTCCTCTGGTCCTCAATTTAAATTCTCCTATTGTTTTTGAATTTTATCCCTCTAAAATTCTACAATGTTAAGGCAATTCCTCAGTAAACTCCCACGAAAATCCGGGAAATCGGACTTTCCTGAGCTAGCTCGGTCAAACTCATGCACGACAGCCGGGTCACAAATTCACGGATCCAACAGTTTGAACTCGGGCTCTGCCCGCCCCTGCGCTACAAAACGGACATCCTCAGCCGTTTTTCCGGCGAGCGTTGTGGCGGGAATTGAACCTTTGTTGCCCTTCAAAGACGTCCCGAATTCAGAAAAGATGAACCTTTTTGTGAGTAAAGTTAGCCTTTGTTGTGTAACTTTCGATTTCAGTGACCCAACTAAAAATTCAATTGAAAAAGATGTTAAAAAGCAAACCTTGCTTGAGTTGTTGGATTTTGTGGCTTCTGGGTCTGTTAGATTTAGCGAACCTGCGATGTTAGCTATGTGTAGGATGTGTGCTGTGAATTTGTTTAGAGTTTTCCCGCCTAATTATCAGTCTAGTGTAAGTAATGGTTGTGAAAATGATGATGATGAGCCGATGTTCGATGCAGCTTGGCCACATTTGCAAATTGTTTATGATTTGCTGCTTAAGTTTATCACTTCTTCGAGTCTCGATGCGAAAGTAGCTAAAAAGTATATAGATCATTCCTTTATTTTGAGATTGCTTGACTTGTCTGATTCTGAGGATCCGAGGGAAAGGGAGTGTTTGAAGACTATACTGCATAGGGTGTATGGGAAGTTTATGGTTCATAGGCCATTTATTCGGAAGGCTATAAGCAATATATTCTATCGGTTTGTTTTTGAGATGGAGAGACATAATGGAATCGCGGAGTTGTTGGAGATTTTTGGGAGTATAATCAGCGGATTTGCTCTGCCTTTGAAGGAGGAGCATAAGATCTTCTTGTGGAGGGTTTTGATTCCTCTGCACAAGCCAAAAACTTTGGGGGTTTACTTTCAACAACTGTGTTATTGTGTTACTCAGTTCATTGAAAAGGAGCCAAAGTTGTCCAGTTCAGTGATAAGGGGTTTGTTGAAGTACTGGCCCATAACAAACAGCCAGAAGGAGGTGATGTTTCTTGGTGAGTTGGAAGAGATTTTGGAAGCAATTAACATGATGGAATTCCAAAAGGTTATGGTCCCATTGTTCTGGAGGATTCGCTGTTGCGTTAACAGTTTCCACTTCCAGGTATTTTTCTGTATACCAAGATATATTCTCTTTCATCTTATTTATGCACATTAGATGGTGCAATTTTCTTCAATTATTGATCTTATACTAGTATGTCCTTATCTTCATTTTCTCCAAGGTGGTGAATTGACTTGGATTAATTTTCTGAACAAATTTTAAAAATCATTCTCTGCACCATCTATTTCACTTTTTCTCTTTCAAACTTTCTAACGTACTGCATTAAAAGATGTATCTATTAACATGTTAAGAAATGTAATGGCTAGACTTGCCTTTGAGTTGTATGAAATGTTTCTCGTGATATTTTATTCATGTGAACTTTGGTTGCATTTACTGCTTGCTTGGGGTGCATTTCAACTTCTTCTCCTGTTGGTCTTTCCCCATCCATTTCTATAATTTAATGCCAGGGCTTATGGCCGGGGGGAAATTTTTGCTCTGTCAGAAGGGAACTGACGCTAAGATAGCCTACATCATCATGTTTGACCAGAAGTGAGCATAACTCTGGACAACTTGGGGGTAGGCCCTGATTTGATGACTTATATAATGCCTAAACTGGGGGTGGGTACCTCATGGTTGGGTTAAATAAGAAAGAGCTTATGTGCATCTCTATATTTGATCTAAAGTAAACCTTACTCGGGGTCAACTTGGGGCCCAGCCACAGTATGTGGGGAACTTCTTGATGTCTTATAATGAGTTTGGGAATGTTGTGGTTCTGCTGGTTAAACTTTTTAGCTATGAAGTACGGACACGGACCCGGACACGTGATACAGGTATGACACAATACGGACATGGTGACACGGCAATTTCTAAAAATGAAGACACTGATACAACAGGATACGACAATAAAAAATTATATTTTTATATACTATAATCATCACTTAAAAATATATGGTAGATATTGGGTTGATTTTCAAAAGATACTTACCCTTGTGGAAAAAAAAATTGATGATAGACATAATATGGTGTCATTATCCACAAGAGAATTATCTTTTTTCTTTTTTTTCTTCTTCTTTTTTGTCATATCCGGCCAAGTTTCGCATGTATGTCAGCATGTCACAAGTGTCAAAGTGTTGCACATGGATACGTGAGGGGTTTAGAAGTGTCCCTGCTTCATGGCTTTTCGGCTATTAATTCTGAAATATAACCCATAGTAAACATTGTATTTCAGAATCTATGAGTTAGTCATCTTTATTTTACAACAATAGAGTTGTCTATCTAATGCAACCAACCAGACAGTAATTGACTAGAAGTTGTTTATTGACTATCTATTTGGTGTTTGGTAGCCTTCTAGTTGGCGTTAATGACAACAAGCTTGCTAGTATCTTCTTCTCTGACCAAAGGCATTCAGTTTCAGCCATGAATTGCAAATTTCTTTCCTTGCTTAAACTTAACTTTGAACTATACTCTATGGTTGTAAGGTGTTGATACCTTTCATCTTTTTCGGTCCTTTTTTGTTTACTTGCTGCTTATATTGACTTAAAAGAAGTTAAGTGCCAACATGTCTTTGTTTTAGTTAAGTGGCTACTGTAAATTCCTTCATTTGTAATAGGAGTATAAATTTACTGCAAAGAAAGGCTGCCCTCACCTTGGAGGATTCTTCAGTGGACTAAATGCCTTCCCAGGTCCAGTGTTTAAATGTTGGTTTAGTTGGGGAATATGTGTGCCTCTTTTTTCCTTTCTTTCTTTTTTCCTTTTTTTCTTTTTCTTAGTTTAAGAAATGCTTTTCCTTGGCCTCCATTTTCTCTCATATGATTTTTATACTCACTTGATTGCTCTAATTAATCTGAGATGTGGAAAAGATGGTTATAAGTTTAAATCTAATTAATCTACTTGTTTCAGGTGGCTGAAAGGGCACTTTTCTTTTGGAACAACGATCAAATTGTTAATTTAATTGCACATAACCGGCATGTGATTTTGCCCATCATACTTCCAGCCTTGGAAAAGAATGCCCAGAACCATTGGAATCAGTCGGTGGTCAACTTAACTTTAAATGTCAGAAAGTTGTTCATGGAGATGGATGATGGACTGTTCATTTCTTGCCATACTCACTTTAAGGAGGAAGAGGCAAAGCTAAGCATATTAGCTGAGAAACGGAAGGAAGCATGGGGGCGACTAGAAAATGCAGCCAGTCTCCAGCCAATAACTGGAAACACTGCTGTTCTGGTAACTCCTTTGGCAACCTCAATCCCCGGCTAAATTGCCTTCATGAACTGTTGTTGCCATGAGCTTTTTGATTTTTCCTTTTTTTTCCTACCTTTTATAATGATGGGAAATGTATGCAAAATGGCTGCTATTAGGGTGGTGGTGGGATTGATTTTTGGATTTTCCATTGGCAGCCCTTTCCGTGTAACTTGTTCTATGTATTCTCCGATGCAACTGTGTGGGATGGTAATTGGTTCCTTGGAAAGATCATGTGAAGGGCCATGCAGTGGATTATACAAAGTTTATGTAATATCTAATTTTGTTGATTCTCTCTCTTTCTCTCTCTCTTAACTGTCATAGATCAAGGTGGTTGATTTTTTTTTTTCCATGGCAAAGCCAACATTTTTGTGTGGTGATTGGCAAAGACAAGGGGGAAGGGGGGGGTTTGTGGCTCGAGTTTTAGACACTGATGGCTCCTGAGAAGATCGTTTGTCTTGTTGTTGCTGGTTTTAATATTTGTAAGGTGATGAGAACGCTAGATGTTGAAAACGCATTTGATTCAGTATTCCGCTTTTTAACAGAATGAAATAAATATGAAGCTTAGGGGTATTATTTTAAGCATTTACTATCATTTCTCTTGTTACAAACATTTTATCATTTTAATTTTTAATTATCATATTATTCTTTTGGCATAAAATTGTAAATCACATAATAAGTTCAATTATTTTATTTAATTACTTTTAAAAATGATATAATGAATATGAAATTTAAATATTAATTTAAACATATATATTTTTTATTTTTTAGCCGCAATGTTTTTTATATCAAAAAACTATAAACCACACGTATCACAAGATGGGTCCTACCAATTTCTAACACATTATTAAGCGTCAATTAGTGGTAAATATGTCGTAATTGGTTGACATCTAGGAAGGTGAGGGTTAGTGGAAACGTGGAATCTATCTTCTTCTTTTCGATCAAAGAAAGAAACGTGGATTGCAATTCAAGATTTAGGCAGAAAAAGAATAAATTACCATCTGGAAGAAACAATTCAAAAGCATAAGAAAGGAAAAAAAATAAAAATTATTTAATTTTTTTGTTGGGTGTCTTGGATACAAAGAGTCATCTTCAAATGAAAATTCAAAATTCAAAATTCAAAATTTGATGATTAAGACTTCAAATGCTATATATGCATGTTTGTGTGACAGATTTAGAATGTTGGAGTCCTTGATGTGAACAGTCACTTTATGCATCTCTTCATACTTCTTCCATTGGGGCAGCCTTTGAACAATGACCTTAAACCAACAAACAATTTCAAAGATAGAAAATCATTAGATCTCCTATTTAACATTGTATCACTCAAAAATTTGGGTTTGTCTAAGCACTTAAACCAAACCACTGCAAATAATTTTTTAAAAATATTTCTACTTTCTTTTGTTTTAAATATGTGAAAATTTAAGAATCGTACATATTAATCATTCATGTAATTAATTTTTTGAAGTTCATTATCCTAAACCTTAAACTCTAACATCTTAAACCTTAACATCTTATTGGAAACACATTTGCCATTCCATGGAACAAAAAAAAAGTATTTATGCCATTGCCATACATGTCTAACTCAAAACGATAGACATGCTTAATTTTTACTTGTGCTAGGTTTGATGCATAAAAGTTAGCATTAATTGTTTTAAATAGGGACTTAAATTCAAGTTCGAATTCTTTCAGAGAGGGCTCCCAACGCACCGACGTGTGCATATGAATGGCTTTCAAATCATCAATCTATCCATGTACCAATTTCATGGTAGGAGCAATATCTATAGCATACTCCCACCATTGCAGGGAAGAGACAGCGGCAATAAAATAGTTCTGCGACATACCTTGCCGGAGTTCTCCTAATAAATTTATATGCGATTTTTTGTTAAAATTATAATCGTATGATTTTAATATATATATATATATATATATATATATAATCATGTAAGAGTGTCTGTTTTGAATGATAGGTGTTTAAACCACAAATGGTTAGTAAATGTGATCTGACTTTTGAATTTGATGTATATGAAGAATATGAAAAGAAATATACTGAGAGAAGAAAGCATGCCTTGTTGAGATATCGAAATTCTGTATTGGTTGTTTCATTCAAAAGATCTTTCCTATCAACAATCTGCAAAGAATATCAAAGAGATCACAAACATATTCTGATAAAAATTTGATGCTTTAATAAAAATAAAAGAACCCACGTTAAGCTTCTTCATAACTCCATAACGCAAGTTCCACAGCTTCCACCACCTCCACAGTTCATTACTTTTCCCTAATCTCAAATCTCAACTTGGGAACATTAAAAAAAGTTACAAAAGCCAAATAAAAGTTTCCATTTCTTAAAGCAACTTACATTGGCAGCATAAAGCTCAATCTTGTTATCCAACATGATGTTCCTCAGCAACTTTTCTCCGCTTATTGCTTTAGCTTTATCCTCTTGATACGACCCATCACTTCCTCGATTCGGCTGCCACATTTCACCAATATAAAAAATCAACACTCCAAAACTTCAGTAAAAAAAAAGGGTTCATCTTTTTTCATGTAAATACAGTACCCCAATAAAATTCCAGCTCGATTTCAGGACTTCCGGATGTAGTTAGTGAACTGGTTTCAGGAGAACTCGTTGCCAGTGTAACAGAAACATGTCTCTTCTAAGTTAGGTTCCTGTAACTGTTGTTGTTCAACGAGAATCCTGTTGGTTGGACTTGGGGAGTTATGGTAGTTAAGTTCAGGGAAGCCATTGTTTTTTCTGTTTACAAGGTTTTAAATTCTCCCAAACCTCTCTTCCCTCACCGAACGGTTGATTCGTCATTTTGAGCATCAAGTGTAGTATGGTAACTTAGCAATCTCTGAATATATTTGGATTTAGAATGCAACACAAAAGCTGAATAATGACTTGAGAAAAACTACTGCATGTGGAATTCAGATAAAATATAAATTATACTTGATTATTCTAAATTGCATAATTATGTTATTTATGTATTTGAATTTTTTTCCGAGAAATTATCAAATACTAAGTCATTATTAAATACATTGATAATATAATTTCTTAAATACCACAAGTGGAATTAACAAAATAACATATGTTTTTTAAAATATATTTAAAAAATAAAAAATTAATTAAAAAATAATATATTTATAATTTTTTAATCTCATTTATAAAATTAAAAACTCATTTACATTGTATCCAATTTTTTTTTTTCCTTCTCCCACCTTAACAAAATGGGACTAAAACTACATATCAAACAGTTGTGCTTTCTTTTAAAGCTTGGACTGCATAATCAGTCGGTGAGGTTTCAATTCTTCTGATTTCTTTCCTAACTGTTATACGCATTAAATACTAGAATTATTTGCTTGCTTTTGCTTTGTAAAACTTTGGCCCCATTACATGCTCAAAGTAGTTAGGTCTCTTCAAATTTTGGCCCTATATAGACAAAACATGTACCTACGTTACATCCTCAACATGATGGACCCTAATGTCTGCTCCATATGAATTATCCTTGCTCCATGGACCCTTTTTGGAGGAAAGGTTATCTGATGAAGGAATTGTTCTGTTCTTTCTCAGACTTTGGCTCAACAAAAGGACAACCTGACCTGACTAAATAATTTCTTTGACAGGGAGTATTTAGTCTCAGGTGATTTTTAGCAAATATCTTCAGTACAATTGCCAGAAATTGGGCATAGGAAGCTGGTTTTACTTCGCATCTGCATTGCGTCTTTGACAGATTATGTATTTATTGTATCAAGTGAGTTTTTGTTATGCTAGATGCAACTGCAAAAAACATAAATTTTTTTTTTTACAAAAAGGTTATGAAATAATAAATATATTAAATATTATTTTTTAAAAATAATTACATGTTCAGTGTTGAATCATATTTCATTGCATCTCCTCATGATTACATCTTCGTTTCCTTGAATTTGCTATAACTCTATTTCTCATTTCATGACCATGAATCACTTTCATTAACTTCATGTATCTGCTGCAGCACACTCCGAGGCGAAATTTGGAGTATTTAATACATGATGGGTGTGGGGTCTGAGAAGGAATCTGATCCATTGCAAGACTTCTGCAAAACGTATGGCCCACACGGGAATATTTGAGGGGTGTAAGAAACACCAACTGCTTACACATTATGCGGTAACTTGTTCCTTCAATTCAAGATGTGATGGCATAATATCGGTGGGTTTTGATTGCCATGTGAATCACATCACTGATTATTTTTTTGGTACTCACATCACTGATTCTCTGTATCATCTAATCTGATTTTATGATTTTATGAGTTTGATCATTTATAATATATATAATTAGTCATAAATTTATTAAATTTATCAACGAAAATAATATTTAAAAATTTTGAGAATATTCAAGTAAAATTTGTTTTTTTTTCATTTATGGACACCCTCATTGTACCATTTGGATTCGACTTTTTTACTTGTAATGAGCAATTATGGACTAATGATATCTTCTCCCAAATAATTTGTCATAGTTGAGTTGGAATTTGATTGTCATGGATTGGATTGTATAGTGTAGATGTTACATGTTATGCTTTTGAGATTTGGCTTGAGAGAGATCAGATTGTAGAGCAAATTGGCTTAAAATTAAGACAATGACAAACCGAGCTCGATCATTTTTCTTTCTCCTCCTTTCACTTGCAGTTTACAGGCAAATGTAGTAATCACTATGTTTAGCTGAGATGATATGGGTGATAATGACAGAAAGATCTCCGGTTCATGTCCTGCATTTGTGATCTTACTTAATAATTAACAAATAACCCAAATATATAAATATAGTTACATTAATTATAACTCTTATTTTTTAGATCCTTGAATTAAAACTAAATTCATAATTAATTTAAATTAAAATAATAATTGAAAGATCCACTAATGTTAGTGTATCTCTTATATTATTTTTGAACCATTGGATCAAATTGAATTCATGATTCATTTAAAACAAAATAATATTTCTGAATATTTTTTTTACCACACCAACTTATTGTTAACAAAATTAATATGTGAGACAAAATATTTGACGAAGATAAAGTTGAGATATTAAATAATAAAAAATGATATAATTCAAAGTCAAAATCATACATTAACCCCAAAAAATATATATAATTAGTTAAAAAAAAAAGCAAGTTGGGCACTTGGGTTCAGAATAGTAAATAATAGATGATGATTTGAAACTTAATTACATGAAAAAAGCAATGAAGAATTCAGCACGCGAAAAGAAGGGAAAGGTTGTAATCTGTGATGTGAGTAACAACGGCATTTCAGCATATTTGATGTTTCGAATGTCGAAAACTGAAAGTAACAGTTCTGTGACTCAAATGGTAAAAATAGATTGATAGAAATAGAGGTGTCGCTTTCTGTTTTCCCTGCCTCAAATCTTGAAGAAAAAATTGCAGCAAAAGCATCTTAGCAAGCAGGGTTTTTTTTTTTTTTTTTTTTTCTAAAATCTTGGCAAGAAGTTTAGATGTCCTAATAAGAATATCAATTTTACTTATATTTGATGAAAATTTTAATTTTTTTATTGAATAAAGATGAAAATAAATATTATATTATTATTATTATTATTATGGATAAAAAAATTTTAAATTTTTTATTGGATACGAAAATAGGTAATATAATATCAATATCGCACTCTTATTAAATCTTACATATATATAAATATTTATATATGTATTTAGTAAATAAGTTTTAATTAAATGATTTAAATTATTATTTTGATTAATTAAAAGTAATATCCTTTTATTTTAAAAATATATATTAATATATATATATATATTTATAAAAATTATATAAATATATAAGATAAAAATAAAAAACTAAAAAACTAAATTTTAGTTTTTATTTTTTTAAAAAACTATGAGTATGAGTCTCATTCCTATTTAAATACTAACAGAAATGAAGATAAAAATAAATTTAAAATATTTATTAGATATGAATACAAGAATGAATATAATATAAAATTTTGAAAATAAAGATGAAAAATATTATATATGTTACATTACATTCATATGTCTCAAATGTTATAGAAAGGAAAAAAAGTTGCTTATGTCAAAAGATGAAAATTAATAGTCTTTTTAATATATTATTATTATTAGTTACATATTAAATTTTTTAAATTTAATTAATTTATATAATTATTTTTAAAAAATAAATTTAATAAATCTAAATTTTAAAATTCAATACTTACAACCTATTATTCTATTATTCTACAATCTTTATAAAAAAAAATCTTATAATAACCCTCATAAAGATAGGTATAACAATTTTAACTCAATTCATATTCAATATTCAATAAATTTCACTATGTAAATCATTTAGCTCCTAATAATCCATAATTAAAGCGTAAAGTGTCGAGAATGAGAAAGTAAATTAAGATTAAAAATGGAGACTTAATTTGATGATTAAGATTCAAGATGTTTAGTTTTAATAGTACATGCTCTTGAATTGGAATTACTGACACCTCTTATTAATGTTAAATTTGAGTGCATTATCTCACAAAAATATGATATTTTTTCTGAAAATTGAGCAACCTGCTTATATTATCTAAAATATTTTTAAGAATAATGGATTTTGATTCAGCAATTTTTTTTTAAATTTTTTAATTCAAATTTATTTGAAAATCATGAAAAAGTATAATTTTTTATGAATTGGATAAATTGGTGTAAATAAAATTACTTAAACCTAAAAAAAAAAAATACAAAACCAAATTTAAAAATCTTTTTCACTTCAAAAAACTATTTTTTTTGGAAATGTTTATATTTTTAATTATTTTGAGTGGAGAATTAACTTATTAAGAGGAAAGTGAAATGCTTTACACGCGGGCCAAGTGGGAAAAGGACGGTGAGAGGGTGAAGAAGAGCAAATGGAAATGACGGTGGGCAGAAGTAATAATGGTTTGGTTCAAATCCAATTTGATTTAATTTTTTAAATATTATATAATATTATAAAAATTTAAAATTTAATTTAAAATTTTTAAAAAAATTATTTAATTAAAATTAAATTAAATTAAAATTTATTGATTTAATTTAGTTTGATTTATTAATTTTTAATTTTTATATATTTAAGTAGATTTTGATATAAAATTTTTATTTTTATTTTATAAAAATTTTAAAAATATATAAAAACTAAACAAAATAAAATTTAATTCAATTTAATTTTTTTAATTTTTATTTAAAATTTGATTTAATTTAATATTTAAATTTAATCTAAATCAAATAAAAAAATTAATTCAAACGAAATTAAATTCTATAATTTTAAATCAATTTTTAAAATTTTCGATTCCTTTTTACACCTAATGATGAGAGCAGTCAAATGTAGTTGAAAGAGAATCGATGGCCCAATATTCCACCCCGCAGTCCTCTCTCTTTCCCTATTGGCGCACCTTTTGACCTTTTGCCCACAAAATCCTCCGTTGCACGTGTTTTGCTCTCTAACCCTCCACTTCCCATCTTGCTTTTCACTCCCCCTATAAATTTTCACTTTTTTACAATAGTTGCTAACCCTTGTGTTTTTTGGTTTTTGCCTTCCAATCCTTTCATTTGCAAGAATTTACAGTAAACACTTCCATCCGCAAATGTCGTTTGAATCGCTAATGGATGTTAGTTCAAGTGATAAATATTTAAAAAAAAAAATACTTAGTGATACTACTTAAGCTTATATATTAAAAAATAAATTTATAATTAATGCATTATTTTTTATTAAATTTGATAAAAATAATACATTCAATATAAAGTTTTTTTTTAGAATAATATTTAACTAATTTTAAATAGTGCTACATATCCATATCTTTTTAAATGTGTTAAAAGAGTTGCAAATTGCAATAAACACCCTGCTATATCCTTCTTTTACCACCTTTCAATTAAAACAAAATCTTTGTGGGGTGTGATTGCACAATTCTTAAGAAGTATGGGTCCCAATAAAAATTAAAAAAAAAGAAAAAACCAAAGATCAAAGTTATCAAACTCCCCACGGCAACCTCGTATTTCGTTTAAAAATGTGAATGGATAGGATAGGAGTAAAATAAAATATTTTTATTTTTATTTTTAAATTTAATTTATATTTTATTAATATTTTAATTTATTTTTATTTTCGATTTCACGAATATTAAATGAATGTGAAGACTTAATTATTAAAAAAAAATAAAAATTATATTTTTTATTTTTATCTTATATATTTAGATAATTTATTGTAAATATATATTAATAAATTTTTTAATAAAAATTTATTTATTAAATATATATAAAAAATATAAAATATAAATATAAAATGAATACTATATTATTTATCACTATCTCAGCATTTAATAAAAATTTAAAATTATATTTATTTTCGTATCGATAATATAATATTTATTTTCATCTTTGTTCGAATAAAAAATCGAATTGTCCGTTAGATACGGTTAAAATTGTCACCTTCAATTTCACTTCACCGCACTTCTCTCGTAATGCAAGAACAACTGAAACTACGAACACAAACAGCAACAAAAACAAAAACACCTGTGCTGTAGAATAAGACAACCCAACATTCGAACACTGATCAGAGAGAGAGAGAGAAAAAAAAATGCCCCCCATTAAAACTGAGAGAACAACCCCCAAAAAAGGGAGAACCTTTTGCTTTTTAATGCTCTCTTTCTCTCTCCCTGTTCATTCCTCTTAAAAAGACTTTGATTCGAAGTTTGTCACCCTCTCTCTCTCTCCTTTATTTTTTTAAAATCGTGCTCTCTTTTCTCAGTTTTTGTTTTCTCTTTTTAACAAAAGAGTTTGAGAGGGAAGTGAGAAGCTAGGCTATGGTGGAGCAGCAACAGCAGAAGAATGATGATGTGGAGATGAAATGACCGTACTGAAAATGGCTCAACAAAGCAAAACTACCAACACCAACAATGGCAACACTAACAACACTTCAAATTATTTGCAACATCACCAACAAGTAAAGCCAACAATGTTTCATGATTTCTTGGGCATGAAAGCTACTGATTCCCCTTTCGTTTTAGCCCCTAAGGCCACTGATGCAAGGATTTCAGAGGCTTCCCCTTCTGCTTCAGCCTCTGTTGGAGCTTCTTCTGGCGGTGGTGGTGCTGGCCGTGGGCTCATCTCTTCCACCTCTGATCTCGGTTCCGGTTAGTTTCTCTTTCTTTCCCTTGAAGTATTTTTTTTTTCATTTTCTTCAAAGCTGTAGTGTAAATGTGGGTGTTCTCCTTCTAGTTTTCAGTCTCTTTACTTGGGTTTGTGTTTAAAATTTTTTTCCCTTCTTGTTTTTGATGAGTGGTTTTCATCTGAAGAACTCAGAGTATAATAGCTCATCGGAGAATGACGGAATGCGGAAAGTATGATTCTTGGCGTATAGTTTGATGGGTAATTTTAGGTTTTGGTCTCTGCTTGAGGCTTAAAATGCTTGATTTAGCTGTTGAAGTAGCAAGTCATACTCTCATGGTTGGGGTTGGTTTCTATAATGGATTAGTTTTTGTGAGGTCTGCAATGGGGTTTAGCTCCCCCGGTCATCCCTTTTCTCTCCATGCTTTGTTTTGTCTAATAATTTGTTCCTTATTTTACTCTGGGATAGATAGCTATGTAAAATAAGGGGATATGGTTCCACTTTCAGGGGAGAATTTTTAAGTTGTCTGATTTATGTCTGCTTCTATTTTTTTTTTTTTAAAGGTAGGTTCGACCTTTATGGTGTGTAATGACTTTATCTACTCAATGCTGCTGTGCAATGTCTTAGTTCTTTACCTGATGTTGTCGTCTCTTGTGGGTAGAAGGCGATGATGCGTCTATTCTACAAATTTTTGTTTTTCCTCAGAAACATCTCATTATGAAATTGCAATATATAATTCAGCATTCCATGCCGCTAGCTGTTGTACATTTGCTCAGCATGGTTTGCTTTTTTACTTCAGTATGTTAACATTCCTAATCTTCATGCTTGTCTGCTTTTATTGTACCGCTGAGATCGGCAAGATGTTTGAAAGTACCTATGTTTTCTGAATTGGGATTCTACCCATGACAATTAAAGTTTGATTCATTTTCTCATTAATTAGCAGAAAGACAGGTTGGGAATCATCTCGAGGGCATTCCATACTATGGTCCAAGGAGTGAAATATCTGGGCCAGAAATAAGCAATAGATTGGTAGGAAGTAAGAGAAGTAATTCAGATTCGGCCTTTATGGGTCATGAATCTGTTGAGAGCTTGCATTTGATGAAGGTATTTGTTATGATGTGATCACGTTTTACCTCTCTCTTCTCTAAGTTGTTATTAGTCATTTACATTTACTAAATGCTTTTCAATGTATTTATATTCAGATGCTTCATAATGGGGCCGGGGGAGAGCGACCTAAAAGGTCCAACGAGGATGAAGTGTTCCTTGGTATGCAGTCAATGAGGCCTTCTTCTGCATCTCTCATATTACAGCCTCACACTGGTAGCAGACTCGAAGGCAGTGCATCCAAATGGGAGCGGTCTATCCCCATGATAGGCTCTGCAGTTCAGTATGCTTCACGTGGTGGGCACTTTGTGCCTTTTGTGCATCAAATATCTTCCAACAGGTTCAAGGATATAAATGTTGGTCCTTCTGTTATCTCTCACTCAGCTGCTGACGAAGGATCTAGAACTGGAATTAAAGGCCCTGGAATTTTGAGTTCTATTAGTGCTAGTGGTGTTCCCACTGAAAAAACCTCATCTGGGGTAATGCCAAGTGGGGACAGGCCAAAATCTGGGGCTCATATTTCAGATCCAGAGTCTTCAGTTCCTCCAAGGTGAATTTAGTATATTCTTTGTTTCTTGTTTTTGGTTGTTTTGCTTTGATAAGAAAAAGATATAGACAATGATTGCTGTATTTTCTATTGTGCTGACAGTCAACAGGGAATGACATCTGCCAGCAGACAAATGACCATATTTTATGCTGGCCAGGCTCATGTTTTTGATGACGTCCATCCGAACAAGGTTGGCTTTCTTATCTGCCAATGGACCTCAAGTTTTTCAATTTCAATTGATTTCTATAAAGCTTGCTGTGCATGCTTATAAATGCTATATCTTATTCAAGTTTTTCATCTAATTCAATATTTAGGTCTAGATCGCCTAGGCTAAGTTGATATTGCAGCTATATCAGGTAATCCATAGAATTGCAAAAGCAACTAAGTTTCAAATTTCTCTGTTGCTGATTGAGTCAGTGTCTTGCACGAGAGGACCATTGAGCTTAACACCATGTAGAATATAACGAGAGGTTAGACCTGCATCACTAACTTAACTCCATTTATTGAAGCTTAGAAGTTTTCTCAAAGTTTGATATGTAGTCATGTTTTCAGAAGCATTAGATGAGATAGCCAGTGGATTCTTCTGATATCCACAATGGCTTGCAGAAAAGAAGCAGAAATGAACCTGTGATATGCTCCTTTGTCCGGAGTATTTGTTGATTCAAGTGGCTGGTTTAGGGTGACAGAATGTGGCCAACTTGTTCAAATGATAGAATACTGTTTTTTTACCAATATAGGGGCACTAACAAAACAAAATTTCCAAATTCAGAAGCCTGACATTTATATGCAGGAGTTCTTTTACTTAAACATGATATTGGAGTGGAGTAAAGCTCCTGTTCACGTTGCTGCTTCATAACCTGAGTGTTTGCAGTTGATTACTCTAGGAAATGGAGCTATCAATGTTCCCTGGATGCATCACATATGCTTACCATTAAGGCTATTTTATAGAGGATTGCTGCCTTAGTTTTAAGTTTACTTATTTGTGGTGGAAATTAGAAAATTAGGGCATTGTTATTTGGGCTCTATATATGTTGATTTTACAACTATCAAGGATTTAATAATGTGGGCTATAAACTAGGGTACAACATGAGCTCATATATATAGTTCTTTTGAAGACCTGCCAGTTACCTCTGATTATTGAGAAATTGAGATTTTGACTCGAGAACTGAAGATTGTTGCGGACTTCTGAATTTTAATGCAGCCAAGATTTTCCTAAGTTTCTTCCACTTTGTTTCTTTTTTCACTCAATTTTTCGTCTTTGAGATACTGTTGCCAAGTCATTGGAGAATTGCCTTAAAGAACACATGGCTATATCAGTTTTAAGTTGTCTTAACTAGAATTAATCCCTCTGCTCTCTTTTGGGGTGATAAAAAGTAGGATTCCATTTTCTGTTTTTTGGGAGTCAGTTATGTTCTTTTATGGAAAAGGTTAGCTTGTCTTGAATGCCTGATATCATTTGCCTGTTTAGAAGATTTTAATTAAGATTGTAATTGCATGCAACTTTTGATAATTCTGCTCATTTGAGTTATTCGACTGGTGTTATGTTGTCAGTTATACCATGTTGTTTCTCATTGGTTTTTGCTATGGGTGAAACATCACGTCTACTAGTCACTGTGTTGAGCTCCACTTGGAGCTATAAGTCTCCGGTATTTGAGCTATGGGAAACCAAAATTCTTTTTATGATTTTAGGTTTTGATGCTCGGAGAGGGTTGATTTTCAGCTACACTTCTGTTCACGGCTTCAACTGTGATGTTTGATGGCTATGCATAATCCTAAGAGATTTTGTTTGAGACATTTATGATCCTTCAACTTTCTTCATAGAGGAGGAATGTTGTTATAGGGGCTTGAACATCCGTCGTTATAGTTACTTTCCTGTTCAAATTTTAATTGTCACAGGACAGAGTACTGTTTTATTTAAAAAATGACTGTGCTTTGATATAGGTGGCAAGTAGCTCTTTGTTTCTCATAAAACATTGTTGAGCATCTATCTTCAGGAATAATGTCAGTACTCCGTACTAAATGAGTCAACGTGGAAGCAGATGTTTCTAATCCACTTCTAATGTTATTTCTTTGCATTTTATTATTTTGGTAATAAAAAAAAAAGCTTTTTTATTTAAGCACATTTTTGTTTTTTTTTCTGAAAAAAGAAATAGCTGCATTTTAAGGTACCAAAGCAGTGCCGACCCATAAACAATGCTAGTTCTTACTAAACAACAGGTTAATGAAATCCCAAAGCTTCCTGTGATACCGTCTTTGAGTTAAACGCATGAATTAGGCCTTTCTACAGTACCTACTTGTTACCATATGTTACTGCTTTGAAGTATTGAAATTTAACGTGTCCATGCTCCAGTTCTTTTTACTTTTCTGTTTGTTTCCATTTCTCTTTAAAGCTTTCATTGGGTTTTTTTAATGTCTTATATTATGTCAGGTTTTTAGTGCCATGAATTTCTTAACATACATTTCTGGTCATGACCACTGTTTGCTGCATGGTCATTTCAGGCAGATGTCATAATGGCATTAGCTGGATCAAACGGAGGATCTTGGTCGACAACCTACTCTCCTAAATCTGCTGTGAGGCCAGTTAGTGAAAATTATTCACCCAGTGGGGAACCTGAAGGAGTGGGTAGCATGGTTTTCTCACGGGAATTTCGGGGGAGGATAGCTGTTGCTGGTAATACTAGTCAAGGAACTGGTTCCGGCGAACGAATCTCAATACAAACAGGTGATCCTTCTACTTCCTCCGTTGATACGTAGTTTATTGGTTTCCGTTTGGGTTGCATCAGTATGTTTTAGTAGTTTTCCCTAGCATGACATAGAATAAATGTTCTATTGTCTCTCCAACTCCCAATTAGTTACCCCTTTTTTGTTTTTTTAATGAAATTGTCATTCATGAACACATAAATGCAATCTACCCCGGATTCAAATATAATTCTGCAATCGATAAGAAATGCTCTCTAGTTTAGTATGCTTATGGTGTTCATCACTCTCTAAAATGTAGGGGTTCCTCAAGGCATTGTTGTTAGTACAAAAGATGCAAGAAATCCAGTTCAAGCAGCAGAACCTACTACTGAAGATATAAGAGACGTATAAAGTTTTAAGCAAGTTCGAAATAGATTCAAATCTATTGGCCATGCTTATTAGGAAGAACGAGCCATTTCTTGTTTATGTCATCAATGCTTTAACTTTTTTTTTTTTTTGAATTTTCTGGCATTATTATCATTATTAACTTTTTTAGAAGTAAAGAGAGGGTGGGGTTTTGGGGGGAGATGGGGAGAGTACTGTCTTGTTTGTAGAGTAGACAATCGGATTATCAATCAACCATCAGGTGTAGATCCTTTTTAAGCTTTTCATGTGCTCTTAATTTGCTTTTCGATTTTATTTTTTTTAATAAAAGCACGCAGCAACATGAAAATGAGAGAAAGAGTTGCAAATGATAAAATTTGAACTTTAAATTTGTGAGATGTTATTTTATAAATATAATTACATAAATCAAGTTAAATTTTAAATTCGTTTTTAGTAATTTTTAACTCTAAGTACATAATGCTAATAGCTGATTCAGTCACTGTCAACTCCTTTTGATTAAATCCTTCTCTCAATTTATATGGTAAAATAAAAGGAAAAGGTCATAATCGAACATGGCAATTAACCTCATATGGGCACAGTTCAGTGATAGTATAGATCTGTAATTCTAAAATACTGCAAGATTTTCTTCATTGTTTCCCTTCGATTCCTAAATCTTAATTCTCAAAATTTTAATGTGAATTTTTGAATTAAGTCGGGGTTGGAACAATGCCCCGAGCTCGTTTGAACGGGGCTTATACATAATGAAAGAACTATTAATATTAATTAGAAAATGTAATTTAGCTTCACGATAATTTTTTTTTGTCGTATCATTTTTGAAATTATTTTTTGAATTGTAAAATCATTTCTAACATAATTTTTTACTGAATATCTTTAATTGATTCAAAATTTAAAGTATAATAATAAATTTGTTTCAAAATTAAAAATATGATGGCAAAATTATACCTACCGAAAAATTGATGGTAAATTTGACTCACCCACATAAGTATGGAGATAAATTTGCATCTTATCTAAAAAGCTTTTACGATATTTTTTTATGTATTTTTTATTTGAATTCTTTTCAAAATTTTAATTTATAACCATGTAAAATTTAAATACAAAAAATTGCTTGTCACGGAAAAGACAGAATTTCAAGAAAAAACCTTTTTGTTTATTCTTTTCTTTATTTGCCTTTGGGTAAAGGTTGGTTTGAACATTTGCTTGTGATAGACTTGATGGTGGTGGCTTATTCTTAAATATGCAAAAAAAAATAAAAAAAAAAAAATCCCAGCTTGCTTTGCTTTCAATATTAGTACGACGATGACAATGACGATGATGCAGTAAGCTAATGACTTATCTAGCATTAAGAACAACTTGTCAGATGTTAGACAAAAAATGCAAGGGGATAATGTTATGGTTGTCATTCTAACTCTTATATTAACATTATCAAAGAAAGAAAAAAACTGTAATATTAACAGTTCACACATAGATGTGATAGCGCCACCCTAAATACCAATTTCTAATAATTCTAAACAGCAATATCAGCAAACTATTTAATAATGAGAATTGGTATATCTCAGTCATTGTGGTGTCAATTCATGTGAAAAATGTTTGTGTGGAATTTGGTGAGATGATGCAGCACAAATGTGGAATCATCAGTTGTATATGAAAAGCAAGAGAACTGTATACCAGTGGCAGGCTTGATAATTTGCTTTTGATTGGGGAGGAAAATTTGATCTCCACCCAACAATTTCCGAAGTTAATCACTTAATTAATCCCGTTTAGACTTCCAGCAGGCATACGATTTGCGGCTTTGACTGCACAAATGATGCTTCCACATGTCAACTTGAAGTTAGGCAGAAGTCTGCCTTCGAAGTCTCTCATTCCTTGCACATTCCTCCTGAAATATTGAAAGCTATATGTCAAAATTCCAAGTTAAGCAGCAAACGAGGACCATTAGAACACTCATCACTTCTATGCCCCTCATCTCATCACTTCCCCAACTACCTCTCCTGGCATATTGATGAAAATTACAATGATCCATCAACGATCATTCCGCCATGGAAATGCAATATTCACTTAAGCCACTACACCAATATTTATATTTGGGACGAGGCATCATGCTGTTTGGTGAAATAATATCTTCAGCTTGAAGCTTAATATATGTTTTAACACAGACAAAAAAAGCACAATCCAGTGTTTTCCAGTCTAGACCAAAACCTTTTCTTTTGCCAAATGGAGTACGAGGCTCCTAGAGGATGTTGGAGCCTGGGCTAGATTAGATTCCATTGAACTCAAATGATGACTAAGGCATAAAATTTATTATGAGCACGTTATCTCCTCAATACTAACTCATGTATAATGTAGCTGAGGCTGACATCCAGTAGTAAAAATGAGTTCATCAATATGCAGCCTAGGTTGACATCCATGTTGCTAAAGAGCGACCCAAGAGCATCAAGGCTCAAAATTTTCAAATTCCCAATTGTTCTACTAGATCATCGGAACTAGCACACAGTATAGTTTCATTTAAAAAGAAGTCGGTTCTCCCCATTCTTGCACCAAATAGGTCCAAAACCACTACAGAAACAATTTCAACACATTTCTTTTCTGGAATGAATGAAAATTTTTTTCATATCCATTATCATTGACATCATTGCCTACCTGAAAAGCTTTTAAGAGAGAATAGCAGCGTCTTTGCTCCATTACTGCAGCAGTATACCTATCTTTGAGAGCATCAGAAACCTTCTGCTCTTCCTGAAGTCCCAGTTGCACCTTTTCTAGCTTCTGTAAAACAAATGCTTCATGAGTACACCTCCAAATAATTTAAAACATCCTTAACATCAAAGTAGGTTCAACTCCTTAATTAGTTTCTGTATTCTACTTCTTTTCTTTCATTTCAGTTAATCAAGCACAAGTTCCATGTTTGGTATGATTTAAATGAGCAATTATAAATTACTCAAAATAATGACCATATTTGCTTCTAATTTCTCAAAATATGAAAAAGATAGTATAAACAATAAAAAAAATATTTATTCTAGTTATGAACTTAAGAATATATGGTTTTGACAAAAAAATTTCAAAACTGCACTCCATTTTATTGCCTAGTGTATCACAAGAAAAATCTTTACCATAATTAGCAATCTTAATCTAACTATAGCTCTAAGTTTCCTTAGCGAAAGTCAACATAAACCATTTCTTATTAATGCAAAAGATGCAAGTATGGACTTATTTTATCAATTGAAAAAACTGCATATAAAAAAATTAAGAAAAAAAAAAAGGAATTATGAAAAGAAGCAGACTTAATTAGGGCATATATTTTTTGTACCTTTTTCCTTTTAAAGCATGCACATAAGTCTACCTACGTGCAAAGGATGTGCAAGGTAGTTTTGTTAGATTACAGTAGAAATTCAAGCCCATATGAGCCTTTTCTCCCTCCATTCTGAACAATATAATATACAGGGTAAGGCCTAGATAGGAGGGCAAAAATATGAAAACACCATGAAATTTCTATACCATACAAGCTAAATACAAGGCTCAAACTATGGGCCCCATTGATTTGTGTTAATGCCAGTGAAGCTATTGCTTTTCTTGAAGTTGAGGTAGCCTTGGCAATGAAGTGAAGTTTAAATGCTAGAGACATGGTTTGAAAGGTTTTTGTGGGAGTTGGTTTTGGCATTGGGTTGTTGGGCACATGCTTGGAATTTTTTTAAACGTCTCTTCTGTCAAGTTCTGGATGGTGGAAGAGTTATGGATGCTTTTTTGATGGGAAAGTGGAGGAAAATGAAGGAATTTTGATCTCTTTCATTCTCTCTAAGTGTCATTTTTTTCTCTCCCTTGTTGATTTTCCAAAAAAAAACTTCATCTCTTCCTTGGTTATTATATTTTTTAGGTACAATTCCTCGGTTATTATATTAATCAAGACATGCTCAACTAGATATAGGGTGCTGACAGATGTATTTTACCACATGCTGAAAGTATCACATATCACCACCATTTGAACTTTGCAATGGCATCCATGTGCCTGTGTTAGCCAATTTTACTTTATTGCATTAAATTTCAAAGTACATGGGTCTGATTAATCCATATCAAAGTACATGTCGAAGCGAACACTTTGCACTATTATTGGCCAAAAAAAAATGATGCACTAGTACAATGACCAAATGAATAGTTCAACCAACTGAAATGAGAAGAAGCAAATATATCTATGCTATTTTCCAACTTGCTAGCAAGGAAGATAACAACTACCTGTTGGCTGCCCTTTACAATTCCTTCCATGGACTCAAGTAATTTCATGCGACCAGCAGTGCTAGCAATGGCATCCTGAAACTGCACAGATGTAAATATAAAACAAGTCAGCAATAGTGATAAACTATATACTATCTACACTATATATTACGTAATGCTCCAGTAAAGGTATTGACTATGGTAGCATATTTCAGATATTCCAGGCCTATTTCACTTTGATAAATTGGGAAATCCTAAAGAATGCTGTTCTAATTAATTCAATCACAAGACAAGGCCAGGTTGATATAATGAGGCAAAACCTAATAACCAGAGTGCACTAGGGTTGTCAAGAACTACATTCAAGTATATTCTGAATATTATAATATCATTTGAACTGAATTACTACTCTAAACATCTGTGGAAAAAAAAAAAAGAAATACTGTAACCATCGGCATGGTTAGTAACAATGACCAAAAACAAAACCATTTCAGGATTAAAGAAAAAGATGCCACTACCATTTTGTAATGCTGATATCAATTTCCTTTATGTTATTTAATATTGTGATTGTATCTGTCAAAGGTTATGGCATTCATGTTGCTTATATTGCCATTGACATTTAAGAAATTGCTTCATGTTTTAAGTCATAGTGTGGCAAATGAGAACAAACCAATTCCTAACCACTGAAAGAGATCAGTGAAGCTGCTATATATCTTCCTCATGTTAGCAGGCAACAACAAAGTATCACAGAAAAACTGCATTTGACAAAATATCAGACTCTCCATCTAATTAATCAAGCAAATTAGCTGAAGCAGAAATTAACATTGATAAAAGTACCTAAGTTTATTGCTAGCAAAGAAGCATGAAGGAACTAAAAGTGACTTAGTATAACCCAGAAGAAAAAAATAACAAATGAAAGAAATCTCAATCATTTGACTTATACCTGTGAAGTTATGGAATTCAGCAAGGATGTTTCCTTTAGCATCAACTCTTTAATTTCTAAAAGTGCATTGTAGGTAGCATAGAATTTCCGAGTTTGTTGAAGTTTTTCCTTTACAATTGCAAAGGGAAATATAAAATTTTAGCACTAATAGAGCTAGCTGAATATAAGAATGCATTAATAGGTCAAGCAAAGGTTTGAAAACAAGCCAGGTCAAGATCACACACCTGAATATGAGCATTCAGCTCTGAAAACCGGTGTTCGTACCTGCAAATGATGGCTGAATTAACATCTGGTATTAAACTTGATCCCTAGAAGCAAGAAGATGAAATTTTAAAAAGCAATTGTTGTCTTAGTTTTTTGTCAATTTTCTCAAAGGAATGAGACAATGATAAGGAGTCATCTACATTCTACAGAACTATACCCAGATTGATCATATGGATAATCATTGTCAGAGCTGAGTGATAAAATAGATATACAACAAACAAAATGAAAAGTTTCATAGAGCTATTTGGTCGAATTTGTTTCTAAAATTTAACTATAGTCTTCTGACCTAAACTCTAAACGCTCTAACAGTTACAAGTCATAAAACATCAGATTACGCAGGATTGAGTGTAACAACTCATGAATGATAGCCAAAAAATATTGAGTTCGAACAACGTAAGAAATATCAAGTCTTTGAGGCCTAAAACTTGGCAAGCAATACGAAAAGAAAGGTGAACATACTGGATGAGTTCTGACTGGGAGGGCACATCATCCAGCTGGCGCTTTACGGAAACTATTGCCCTCAATCTAGCTGCAAGTTCCTATGGCCAAAATATACCAGTATAGCTAATAAGTATTTGTACACAAAGGAATTAAAATCTATGACAATTTAAATATTTTACCTTCTTTGCTGAATTAAGCTTCTCCAATGATTCATTTATGGAATCATCTAAACCATGAGAGAGCGTCTCACTGTCAGACCCATTTGCCAAATTTTCCTCCAAATCACTAACCTTAGCTTCCAATGAAGAACGTTTTGCATCAAAATCAGACTGAATTTCAGATTCTTGTCTTTCCATTGTCTGAAAAAATGTTTAAGAATAATAACTGCGAATTGCCAACCAATAAAAACAAATGCAGAATTACCAGCACTATTATTGAAAGTTATTACATTTGTTAGAAAAACATGTGTTTTTTTTTTTTTGTTCTCAAATTGCATATTAATATATAAATAACAATAAATTGATAAGTGGAAAAAGTTTAAACCTTTAATTTCTCCAAAAGGGATACGAATTGGTGCACTTTGGAATCAGCACCTTCCTTTCTAATTCTCTCTTGTAAATTTTGTAATTCATTGAGAAGACTAACCTTTCTTTGATTCTGTATTATCAATTAGGTCATAAAATTTGGGGAAAATTAATAAATTCATCCATAAAAAATAAGAAAAAGAAGGTTAACAATTTTGGAAAAATGAGAAACCTGTTGATCTAAAATTGACTTCAATATCTCAATTGAAGCTCTCAAACTGTTCAATTCCTGATCGTCGCTGCCCTTTTGCATTGTTTCGAATCCGCTATGGTTTATGAATCTTTGACTCGAACTCGGACTCTGAGTTGGGCGTAGCTGGACGCTGTAGCAAAGCTGTTTTCTTTTTTTTTTTAATTAGCGATCTGTTAAACCGTTGTTTCCCCATAGAAGAAGATGTTATTAGTGGGCTCAAGTTTTGAGGTTTAGGCCTCTCTTATTGGTCCATTAGATGCAGTTTTGACCCAAATGGGCTACAATCCCATTGCTTTGTTCCCATATTAACGTATCTTGCTTTGTAAAATTGTTCATGGGCCGGGCTTGTCATGCTTTGGCTTAAATTTCAAGCCCTGCAATCTGATCCTACAAAGCAGTGGACTGAAAATTTTATTGTACGAGGCACATTTGCATTCTCTCCGGCTGGAGGGCTCACACCTTTCATCACTCGCAGTAGCTCGTAATGTTCCATGAATGACTCTGGTTCTTTCCCTAAATGCAACTATCAATTATTATCAAATCAATGATCTGGCTTAGCTCGTCCAGTTGCTTCGTCAAAACTCAAAATGTTAATGTAGAGCTGAATTTTTTTAAAATTACAACCATAAATCATAGTTACATTTATATAATCAATTGAATAATTAACTATTATATAATAATCAAATTGCAATAATTAAATAATCAATTAACGAACTAAAATATAACTAAACAATTAAACCCAAACATAATAAAACTTAAATCTAAAACCTCTTTACCACTAAACTAAGGCCTTATTGGCATGTAGAGCTAAATTTTGATTACCAAGAGTAATGGCCATGAGTCTATATAAGTTCAACGAAACTATTTGTTGATGTTCTTTTGAAGAGGGTGATTGGTTGCTTTGTTAGATGGCTATTGGAAAGCTGACCCATAAAATAAAAAAAGATCAAAGGTATCAGAAATAGGATTTCAGAACACATTCCAACTCAAATCAAATAGTATAAAAAAGTTGTCATTCATGTAAAAAAGTTCACATCATGGTTTGTGCCTAATTGATATGTACTAAGAATTAGTTATCATTTATATTTAGTACCCACCAGCATTAGTAAGTTTTTTAAAATTGTGTGACTGTAATTGTGTCAAATTAGACAGAATTTTCAAAATCCATCTCTAGTCATGACTTTTTTTCCTGGGTGTGAAGTATCTATTTTTGAAACATATTACTCTTTGCATACATTTTCTGACTTTGTATTGTTTTTCTTTTCTCTCTCACTTTTAATCTTAGTTTTTCCTATTTAGTTTAACTTCACATATTTATTCTTTTGATAACTTTATACCTTACAAAATTATTTATTTTTGTTCTATAGATATGGATGATGAGCAAAAGATAATTACTTGCTATTAGAGCAAATTTATCAACAAATGACGAATGTTTGCACAAACATTTTCATGTTAATGCATACCATTGTGCAAAGGTGTCACAAAAAACATGTTTTGAAGGAGAGAACATTTGTTAGGAATGAAACTAGGTTGGAATACTTGAATAGAATAATACATGGGAGTTATAAAACTCGTGTAGATTAACTTCGAATGAATAGGTATATATTTGATATCCTATGTGAATTATTGCTTATAGTTGGTAAGATAAAAGTAAATGGGTTAGTTACTTTAGAGGAACAATTAACCATTTTTCTTTTACATATTATAAAAGATTTCTATAGGTCGGGTGAAACTATAAGTAGGTATTTCAATTGTATTTTTAATGGAGTCTTGCAATTGTAAGATATTTTACTTCCAGCACCAAATCCAATTCTTGATAATTACACTAAAGAGAGATGGAAGTGGTTTAAGGTAAGCTTTCAAACATATGATTAGCTTTGTAATGGCTAGATAGAGTTTGGTTTGGTGCTTATGTTATTTTAGTTAATAAAATCGTTTAAGAGTATTAGATGGTCCCTATATTACGATGCATGTACAAGAAACTGACAAACCAAGATTTAGGACAAGAATGGGTGAAATAGCTACTAATGTCTTAGGAGTGTGTACACATGATTTAAGGTTTATCTATGTATTGCTAGGATGAGATGGTTCTGCATCAGATGCTTGGATTCTTTAAGATGCTATTACTAGACAAAATGGCTTGAAAATGCCTACTCATAAGTTTAGGTGATCGATACCTTATTAGTTACTTTATTCTTAACTAGTACAATTATACTTACACTTGTGTGTGTGTGTGTCTATATATATATATATATATAATAGGTTACTATTATCTTGTAGATACTGGATATGCAAATAACGAAGGTTTTTTTGCCCCATATCGAGGAACTCAATATCATTTGAAAGATTGAAGTAATGGGAACCTTCAAGCAACCATGAAGAGAATTTTAATATAAAGCATTTTTCTGCTAGAAATGTTATAGAAAGAGCTTTTGAATTACTCAAAATGCATTGGGCTATTCTTAGGGGTCCTTTCTTTTATCTTGTTAAGGCACAAGTTCGAATAATAATAGCATGTTGTCTTCTTCACAATCTAATTAGAAGTAAGATGTTTGTAGGTTCGACTGAAGATGACCTTGATAAGGATAGATTAGAATTCATATTAAATTCATCTTCAGATGTAATTAGCACGATTAAAACTTTTAATCAATGAGCTACATGGAGAGATAACTTGGCTATAATTGTGTGCTGCCATCTATTTCTGGAGACAAGTTTTGGCCTACCATAAACATGGGAGACATAGACCCACGATTACCTAGAAAGATGCCTGATAGACTAAAAAAGAACATAAATCGAGAGGAGTGTGAAATTTTTAATAGGATAAAGTTATCAAAGAAAGGAAGGAAACTAAGGTGTCAAATCTGTTTCATGTTTGGTCACAATTCAAGAAAGTGTCTAAAAAAATATAAGTTACAATCTATTTATGATTATTTATATTTAATTTACAACTTGCTTAATTTAATGTTTTGTTTTTTATGTATTACAAGGTAGTAACATAAAACAAGCTAAATGAAGTAATACACCTATGCCTCATTCACCTGTAAGATCAGAACAACATACCATAGCAACAACCACATTACGTAAAAAAAACTATAGCGACCAAACCACCTAGAAAGGCTCAACAACCACATCATCCAGATGGAATACAGCCACATAACCCAAAAAAACTATAGTAGCCATACCACTTAGATAAACTACAGCTAGCCACACAACCTATAGACTACTGCACCTATAACGAGAAGATAAGATTACAGATATTAAATGTATGGCTCTTTTATTGTGTAAATTTGTTTTGCTATTAGATGATTTAAGATTTATGTACCTATGCTAATGAATGAAATTTTATCAAATAGCTTGGACTAAAAGGATAAATGTTGATCCTTGCTCTAAAAATTGCTAAAGGAGCATCAACATTAGTAACAACTATCGATGGTTATTTAAATAAAAAGATTACAGTTGATTTAAATGGTGTTACAAGATATAAAAATGAAGAATAATTTTTTCAAGGTAACCTATTTATGGTATCACTGGATATGACCTAATTATATACATTGTTTGGTAATACTTTAATGGTTTCAATACAAAATATAAGAAATGACTTATTAAGCCTTAAAAGGAAGAGACAAACTACAACAACATTTGATGACACTCTAACTCTTTTACATGAGATACCAAGTACACAATAAAGCAAGGTTGAAACCAAAATGTTAGCTTTATAGGTGGGATGGTGATCTGAGAGGAGGGTGATTTGGATTTCTTCAAAGTCTTCCCAAACAAATGATTTCAATATAATTGAATGAAAATTAAAACAATAAGCACTTTTGATGAAAATATAATGCAAACAATAACAACAAATGAACCTAAAATCAAATATAAACAACAATAAATTGTAAGGAGATAGGGATAGAGAAATAAAAAATAATGATTTATAGAGATTTGGTCCTTTTCCATAAGGCATCTACGTCCTCTCTCTTGGTTGTCCACACCAAGGCTTCAATCCACTAATTGAAAAAAAATTCTTACAAGATACAAACCTATCTTGTACTAAATTTTTATATTTTTCTCAAGTCTTAGATAGCAACCTTTACCTTTACAATATCAAGAGGATACCTCACCTATTGTTCTCTTCTACCCTTGTATATTAAAGGTAATTTTGCAAACAATAGAATAACCTTTCTAAGGCTAAGTTTTTGCAAAGTTTAAGTATAAGAAAATGATGAATGAACAACAAAAATAATTTGGATACAATAAATACAAAGATATGGACTTTGAAGCTCTAAAAACTCTTGATTATTTGAGAGAATGAAAATATAGCTAGTTGGCTCTTGCTCTCTTGATTCATCAATCCTCTTAGTGTGTTGGAGTGCTCAATTTATAGAGAAATTGAAGAAGTAGCCGTTAAGGAAGCTTGGGAAGTGAAAATAGCCATTGAATGCATGAAAAAAATAGCCGTTAGTGTGATTCCGCCCAGACCAATCGATCCCTTGCTTGAGGGGATCGATTGGTTCATATTTTGAACCATTTTTCACTTGAAAATAACCTAACGATCAATCTTTTTTTGTAGGGATCGATTGGTTAATGGGGTGATCGATCCCTTATGTGGGGGGATCGATCTCTTTTCTAGATTTTCAGTCCTAAGAACATTCTGTTTGAAAAATCAATTGATCCCTTCTAGAAGGGATCGATCCTGTTTATGCTGGGCGGTAGTCTCCTGATTTGCACTCTACTTACTAATTTGATTATATCTTGAGTTATACAAATCCAAATTACAAACCATTTGAAGATTTAGAAACTAGATGTAAAGGGTTTTCTATCCATTTAAAGTTCATCACCTAATTTACTGTATACGAATTATAGTGAATTTTCAAATCTACCCCTTATGCAATTTTTAGACAACTATAATGTGTCTAGTAAAAATTCAAAATATTTTCTTAGAAAATTTAAATTTTGATTTTATTTGATCCATTAGAAAGTAGACTCAAAGAACTTTTCAACCATATAAAATTTAAATATTAAGACTTTGTGAATTAATAGAGAAAAATAAAACAAGTTCAATGTTGGAAAACTTTATTATTGTAAAACAGCTTTCTTAAGTTAACCTTTTTCTCAAAACTAATATTATCAAAATTGTATTAAGTCCAAAATAAATAAGTTCACTTTAAAAACAATAATTAGACTTTGATTTAA